ACCCTGACATCTCGGGTGTCCTAAAAACCATTCTCTGCTCCCTCCTCTCCGTTCTGTCCTCCTCTCCCGGTGCCACCCCGCCAGGAATTTGTGTCCCCAGAGCCGGGTTTTGGGGAGGGAGGGATGGGGACGCGGAGCAAACGGCGTCGCCAAAACCTCACCGCCCGCCCCGGGGCTGGGGGGCTTCTGTGGGACCCTCGGGGAAGAGAGGGTCCCCCCCGCGGCACGGCACCACCGAGGGCACCTCCGGGACCGAGCCGTGCGCTCGAGACGGGAGCCCAGGACCTCCTGCTGCTTTTTGGCCCCCGGCGAGGCCGTTCGGAGGGGCGGCACGGACGGTGCCCCCCCGCGGGGCTGGGGTACGGTTATCTCTGCTTTATTTTGTGATTAAAACCAAGGCAAACGAGGTTAGCCCAGATTTCGGGAGCCGCCGCCGCCCTCCGGCAAAGAGACACCTCGGGGAAGCCCAGCAGCCGAGCGGGACCGCGGGGCAGCCGGGTGAGTCCCCCCCTCTCCGCATTTCGGGTTCCTTCCCTCCCCCAAGGGGGGGTCCCTCCACCTTTTCCAACCTCCTGGGGGGCTCGTGGCGCTTCCCCAGGGCTTGTCCCACCCCCTGGGGGCTTCTCCTGCCACCTCGGTGCCACCAAAACCTCCTTCTCCATCCAGGTCTCGGGCTTTCCCGGCGGCAGGACCGTGCTGCAGGACCCCCCCCCCAAAAAAAAAGGGTCTCTCGCAGCTCTGGGGCGCAGCATCCCCGCTGCAGCTCCTTTTTAGCCACTGGGGGGGGGGTCCCTGCCCTCCGGCCACCCCGAGCCCCTCGGGGCCACCCATGGGGGCAGCGCTCGGCTGGCGCGTGACAGAAGCGGTCGCCGGGGGGGTCCGCCACGGTGCCGGCACCAGGTAGGTCCCCAGCCTTTGGTGGGTGTTTTTTGGTGCTGGGGGGGGGCAGGCTGGGATAAAGGAGTGCTGAGGACTCGGAGCCAGCGGGCTTCTTCCCTCTCTCGCTCTTGTCTCGCCCGCCCAGGCTCCCTCCGTCCTTCCTGCAGGGCAGTGCTGCGCGCGCTCCCCCCTTTTGCTGGAGCTGCTCTCGTCCCGCCCGGCCCACCAGAAGCCCCCCTCCCACCCCCCCAAAAAAAAAAAAAAAACACAAAAAACACACAAAAACAGGGGCTATTCCGCCTCGCTTCCTCGCCCAGAAGCTGGGAGACGGCAGGTTCCAGGCGTCACCGCAGGGCTCAGGGGCGCGCGCACGGCTCCCGATGGGTGGGGGGCCAGCTTGGGGCAGGACCCCCCCCCCCCCACCTCATCCACCGGCTCTGGGAGGGATGCGCCCCCCCCACGGCATCGCCAACACCCCCGGGGAGCTGGGCGAGCTTGGCACGAGCTTGGCACAAGCTTGGCACGGGGCTCAGGTGGCCGGCACCGTGGGCGAGGAGGGGGCTGTGACACCCGACCCCCCCTGGCCGGACCCCAAATCCGGCTACCGTGGTGCTGGGCAAGCTGTGGGACGGTGACCGAGCCCTCGGGCGGGTGGTGGCCACCGGGAGGTAAGTACGGCCAGCCCGGGGAGCTGCCCAAAACCCTCCCCGGCATCCCACACCCCCCCCCCGAGCCCCCCAGGCAGCGAGGAAGCCGACCAAAACCCATCCTCATCCTCCCCACGGCTCCTTCATCTCCTCCTCCTCCTCCTCCCCGCAGCCCTTGGGCGCACGAGGGGCTCGCGGGTCCCCTTCGGGTGCCCCCCCGCTCCCTGCCTGCTTGCCCGGCTGGCCGCTCTGCATGCCCCCCCCCCGTGCCCGCCGTGCCCCCCGTCGCATCCCCTTTCCCCACGTCTCATTGCAGAGAAGAAGCAGCAGCTGCAGCCCCCGAAATCTCGCCTGCCCGGCCTGAAGTTTCGCCTCCAGAAGCGGCCACGGGGCCCCTCCTGAGCCGCGCCGTCCTCGCCACCTTTCTCAGGAACGCCGCGGCCCCCGGGCACCCTGCGGGGGCCGAGCAGAGCCCCCCACCCTCGGGCCGGCCCCGGCAGCCCCTTGCTTGACAGAACTGGTCGTTGGCCTTATTTTTATTATTTTTTTTTTGGGGGGGGGGGGGTTTAAGCCCCTACCCTACCCCACCGCGCCGCCCCGGTCCCGTCGTTTTTTCGCCTCCTCCGGTTCGTGGCTGTGCGGCTGACCTGGGGTTGTGTTTTTTTGTTGTTTTTTTTTCTCCCCCCCCCCTTTTCCCCGTTTTTATCGTGTCTGTGACATTTCCTGTCGATGAGTAAAGAGGGACTCCCGCGTCCTGGTCTTTTCTTGTGCATCTTTGGTTGTCACTGTGTGTTTTTCTGCCTCCCCCGTCTGTGCCAGCAGCAGGTAACGGTGGTGCCCGTGCGCGAGCCCGGGAGAGGAGGACCCCCCCCTCCCTTTCACACCCCCCGGAAAGGACGCCCCCAACCCGCTTGCTGCTGCCTTGCTTGGCTGCCCGCAGCCCCCCTCAACCCCCCCTTGGCTGGGTTTGCTGGCTGGGCAGCAACATTTCGGGGCTCACCGGTGCTTCGGGCACGGCCACGCGGCACAGGGACCCCCCCCTTGCTCTCTGCAGCCCCCCCCTGTTTTTACCGGGCTGCCCCCTCGTTGTGCGCCCCGCTCAGCCCGCCGAACCCTCTGCTCTCTCCGCAGACAAGGACGAGTGCTCCAAGAACAACGGCGGCTGCCAGCACGAGTGCCTCAACTCCTTCGGCAGCTACGAGTGCCAGTGCCGCAGCGGCTTCGTGCTGCACGACAACAAGCACGACTGCAAGGAAGGTGGGTTTGCACCCCCAAAAAATCACCCCAAATCCGTGCGCCCACCCCGAACCCTTCACTCTCCCCGCAGCCGGCTGCAACCACAAGGTGACGTCCACCTCGGGGACCATCACCAGCCCCAACTGGCCCGATAAGTACCCCAGCAAGAAGGAGTGCACGTGGGCCATCAGCACCACGGCCGGCCACCGGGTCAAGCTGGTAGGGGCCGCGGGATGGGGGCGGCACCGGGTGGCACCGGGGCCGTGCCGTGCGCCGCCCCGCTGAGCCCCCTCCCCGTGCCGCAGACCTTCACCGAGCTGGACATCGAGGCGCAGCAGGAGTGCACCTACGACCACCTGGAGGTCTACAACGGCAAGGACGCCAAAGCCCCGGTGCTGGGCAGGTTCTGCGGGGCCAAGGAACCCGAGCCCATCGTCTCCTCGGGCAATAAAATGTTCCTCAAGTTCGTCTCCGACAACTCGGTCCAGAAGAAGGGCTTCGAGGCCACGCACTCCACCGGTACCGGCCGCGGGGTTGGGGAAGCCTCTTTGGTTTTGGGGAGGTTTGGGGGGTGCCGTGCGGGGCCGGGGGGCCCTCCTAACCCCCCCGCTGTTGGCTTCTCCCCAAGTGTGCGGGGGCCAGATGCGTGCCGAGGTGAAGACCAAGGACTTGTATTCGCACGCGCAGTTCGGGGACAACAACTACCCGGGCGGCTCCGACTGCGAGTGGGTGATCATGGCCGAGGAGGGCTACGGCGTGGAGCTCATCTTCCAGACCTTTGAGATCGAGGAGGAGGCCGACTGCGGCTACGACTACATGGAGCTCTTCGACGGCTACGACGGGACGGCCCCGCGCCTCGGCCGCTTCTGCGGCTCCGGGGTGAGCTCGGGGAGCCGGGGTGGGGGAGAGGTGAGGGCGCACGCAGCCAGCTCAGCTCCCCCAGGGGGGTTTTTTGGGGTTTTAAATGAGTTTCAAACCCCCCGTGCGTGGTGGGAAGGAGGCACCGCGATGCTTTTGCGCCTCCTGGCCACAAATTTTGGCACCTCCCCAAGATGCTGGTGGTGCTGAGCGCTCCTCTCCCCCCTCCTGGCAGCCCCCGGAGGAGATCTACTCGGCCGGAGACTCGGTGATGATCCGCTTCCACTCGGACGACACCATCAACAAGAAGGGGTTCCACCTTCGCTACACCAGCACCAAGTTCCAGGACACGCTGCACACGAGGAAATGAGAGCCGGCGGCCCCGGGCCCCCGCGTGGGCAGGGCAGGAGGAGGAGGAGGAGGAGGAGGAGGAGGGCAGGGAGGAAGGAAAGGGGCAGCGCCGCCACGCACAGACTGCACGGAGGAGCACACAGGCAACCTCAGCACTCAGACACGCGCGCACGGGGCGCCGGGGCTCGGGCGCCCGCGGGCACAAGGGCAAAGGGGGGGGTCCCCTGTGCCGGTGGCCGTCCCCCGGGGGCCGTTCCCCTCCCTCGGGCCGGCCGCAGCTCTCTGAATGTACAAACCAGTAACCGGGAAGAGCCCGCCACGCAGAAGGTGCTGTCTCTCTCTTGTAACGATGAAATAAATACTCTTGTACGTGGACACGGGGACGGCCCCAGCCTCTTTGCTCCACCCGCGGCGCTGCCAACGGGGCGTCCCCAGTCCTCCCAGTTCTCCCAGTTGGATTTTCACGGGGTGCCGGCTGCTGGAAGAAGCCAACCCGAGCGCCGTGGCCGGACCCTGTGCTGCGTGGCCATCCCTGGGGCCATCTGCCGGATCCGGCACCGGCGGGTGCCACCGGTGCTGGCAGCTCCACCGCCCAGCCTGGGCGCACCAGGCAGCACACCCACGGCCCCACAAAGCCCTGGCTCCTTCTGCGGGGAGGCCGGGGCCGTGCGGAGCCCCCCCCCGTACCCAAACCAGATGGCTGGTGGGGGCGGCACGGCCCCCGCGCCCGCCTCGCGCTCCCTCGTGCCTCGGCGCTGCGGCTCCGGGAAGGCAACCCGAAAGCGCTCCCCGCCGTCATGTGCTTGCTGCGAAGGGGGGGGTGGTGGCAGCAGGGGCTGCGAATTTCAGCTTGTGATGGGCACGAGGACGTCAGCTCCTGGAAGATTTTGGAGAGGGGAGTGCCCCAAAGTGCTGAGCCCAAGGGCAGCGGGGTGCCGTCCCCGCGTGCCACCCCGGAGCCGCACGGGGCTCTCCGCACCCCTTCCTCCTGCCCTTCCCGCGGGCACAGAGAGGCGAGACACGGCCCCGTGGCGAGCGCACACAGTTTATTGATACACCGCCAGCACAGCACAGGGTTGCTCGGGGTCTGGGGGTTGTTCTCTTCTACCGTTACAGCGTGCATCGGGTACACAGAGACCGGGGAGCGGGCCGGCACGCGAGCGCCATGCTGCCGACGGCTCATGCTTGGTGGGGGCGGCAAATAGGGGGTGTGTGTGGGGGGGGGGACGGGGGCGCACGGATTTCCCCCCCACGCACCCCGAGCACCGGCCCCCCGGCTCCTCCGGCTGCCTCCCGGGCTGTGGGGCCGGGGTTTGGGGCGGCAGAGCGAGGGCTGGGGCACAGAGCGAACACGGCACAGCGCTGCACGACACCACTGCGGACAGGCGGATCACGGCTGCGCCCCCCCACCCCACCCAGAGCCCCCCTATCCCCCGGCTGATTTAGCGAGGGTTCCACTTCTCTGGCTGCAGGGTGAAGGCGGCTGGAGAGTCCCCGAGGCGCTCAGCACCCCCACGGGGGAGCTCAGCCGGGTCCGGGGGTCCGGGCGAGGGGCCAGGGTCCCCTTGTGCTTTTTGTCGGGAGCAAGGAGCAGTTCGAATCCGGGGGCGCTTGGAGCCTTCGTGCCGGAGCTGCCGCCCTCCCCGGTGGGGTGACAGCGTGGGGCTGGGCTGGGCAGGGCCCCCCCCGCGGGCGGGAGGCAGGGCTGGGGCTCCCCAGGAGCTGCGGCGTGGGCTGGGGAGCCCCAGAGCCAGGAGGAGAGGGGGGGGGGCTCCCCAAAATGAGGGCAGAGCTCGTGCCAACGAGGATGAGGACGGTCGGCCAGTCCGGGAGACGAAGGCTCCCTCCCTCGGGGCTCGGCTGGGGGGGCCCTCCCCAAAAAGAAGCGGGTGCCGCCGGGTCCCCCGCAGCTCCATGCGGCCCCGTCCTCCCCCATGCGCAGCGTCCTTCGCAGAAGCACCCTGGAGGGAGGGGGTGGGGGGCGCCGCGCTCCCCGTGCGCCCCCCGTGCGCCCCCCATGCTCCAGCCCTGCCCGCAGCCGGCCCCCCCCCCCCCTTTTTTTTTTCGCTTAACGCCCCACGCTGATGTTGCACGTCTTGCAGCTGGGGTCCTTTTTGGCGTTGGCGGTGGAGAGGCTCATGAGCTGGTGGCCGCTGATTTCCCCCAGCACGCCGAGGCTGAGGTCCACGGGCTCGGTGTAAATCACCTCCAGGATGCTGTCCTGGGCATGGCGGTACACCAGCTCGCCCTCCTCCACGCAGCACGTCAGGAACTTGTTGGAGGAAATGTCCAGCTGGGGCAGGCGCTCCCGGCAGAAGAGATCCCCCGAGGAACCCTTGGGTGCCAGGACCAGGACGACGTAGTGGTAGGCGGTGTACATGCAGTAGAAGTCCGCGAAGTAGAGGTTGGTGTTGGGGTTGAAGAGGCGCTGCGCCGGGATTTGGAAGCGGTAGCGGCCGTAGGGGGAGTCCTGGGGGGGCTGCCCGGTGTTGAATTCGGTGTTGCAGCTGAAGAAGATGCCGTGCAGCATCCCGCTGGTGGGCGAGCCGTGGCTGCCGCTGTTGTCCTTCAGCGACGGCTTCATCACGTTCCCGCAGTGCATCCTGCAGGGGGCACGGGGTTTGGGGTGGCGGGGGGCGCACACACACACACGCACACGCACAGGGGCAAGGGGATAACGGGATAATAACGGCCTTTGTGGGGGGGGTACCGAGGTGTTTTGGGGACTTTTTTTGGTTTTTTTTTGGGGGTACCTGACGTGCTGGAAGTACTCCTTGTGCTGGTTGCGGTAGAAGACGGAGAAGCGCAGCATGCGCCCGGCGATCAGCTCGGCTTTCTCCTGCAGCTGGGCCAGGTGCTCCTTGGCGTAATCTGGCAGCGGGGACGCACCGCGGGGAGGGGGACAAAAGACATCAAGGAACGACCCCCCCCCAACCCATATTTCCCCCTCCTTTCTCCTCTCTCTCTCTCTGCGCCCTGCTCGCAGCTCGCGCTTCCCACGCCGCCAACCTCCCACTCGCCAGCTGCCGCTCCGACCGGCCCAGCTTGTGCGAGCTCGCGGCTTCGCCCCCGTCCTCCCCAAATTTTTCCGAGCCCCCCCCCCACAAGGTGTCCGTGCTCACCCCCGGTGCAGAACTCCACCGTCTCGCTCCAGCCGGACACCAGGTACTCGCCGTCGCTCTGCTTGACGGCCGTCTGCACCGCCACGCTGTACTCGGTGCGGGGGCTCAGGAACCAGTGCCCCCGCACCGTCATGGGCAGCGGCACCGCCTTGGCCACCAGCTTGGTGGGGACGTCCTGCGCCGAGGGGACAGGGGACAGCGTCACCCGGGTGCCCCCCCCCACCCCACAACCTTGTCCCTATTTCCCTCCCTCCTCGGTGTCCCTGCAAAATGTCCCCGATGCGGCTGCCGGGGACGCGGCACCGCGCTCGCCACCCGGCTGCTCGCTCCCCAACCCCAATTCCACCGCGCTTCCCGGTGACCCCCCCGCGTCCCCCTCCCCAAATTCACAACGAAACCCCCCCCGGGTGTTGGGGACCCCCATTCCCGGAGGATGCTGGCTGTGCCAAGAGGGCAGCGAGCAGCACCGCAGTGCAGAGCCGTTTCTGTGGCAACGGCAGATGCTGAAGTCGGGAGACACGAAGAGGGGGGGGGAAAGGGAAAAAAAAAATAAAAAATATAGATATAAAAAAAAAAATAGCTTATTATCGGGGAGGAGACAAAAAAAAAAATAATGTTAAACATTAAATAGCGTCGCCGTGGCAACCGTGCTGCTAAAAGCGTCCTGAATTAGTGACTCGGAGCCCGAGGGAGGAGGAGCGCGGGCGGCTTGCGCCTCCGCGGGGGCTCGGGGGGACCCCGGTCCCAATCCCGGTCCCAATCCCGGTCCCAATCCCGATCCCAATCCCGGTACTCTGCACATCCCAGCTGGTAGGAGCCGGGTCATTTCCCAAACAATTCATTTTTGACCCCAAACCATCACGGGGGTGGGATTTATCGCGGTTCTCCCCCCCAAAAAAAACCCTCCCGTGGGTGGAAGGAGAGCGGGGTCCCGGCGCCCCGGAGCCCCCCTCCCCAAAACCCCGTCTCACCCGGTGCTTGAACTTGTTGGAGTTCTTGTTCTCCTTCTTATTGAGGTCGATGAAGTAGTGGGTGACCCTCTCCAGGTCCCCCTTGTCCATGGCCCAGGAGATGCGGAAGGAGTCGCAGGTGATGTTGTTGATCTCGATGTTTTTTGGGGTGGAAAGCAGCTCCATGGCCGGCGAGGTTTGGGGAGGGGGCCGAGCTCCTAACGGGGGGGGCAGCAGCAAAGAGGTTGGGGGGGGGGACGTTTGATGAGAACGGGGGGAGACGGTGGCACAGATGGCAGCGGGGAGGGAAAAAAAAAAAAAAAAAAGCCAAAAAAAGCCAGGAATAGGGAGCGGGGAGCAAATAAAGGGGGGGGGGGGGGAAAAAAAACCCCGGCCGCTCCCCGGGATGCCGCGGGGGCCCCGGCCGAACGCCAGCGGGTGGGTCCGGGGTTTGCTCAACACCGGGTGGGGAGAAGAAAAACAAGGGGGGGGGAGAGGAGGGAGGGGAGGGTTTGGGATAATTGCACGCAAGAAGCTGGCACCGGAAAAGCTGGATCCGCCTTTGCCCTCGCCCGCGGCGGCGCCGTGCCTCAGTTTCCCCAAAAAATAATGTTGATTTGCCCTAAAAATGCCCAAAATGTACACCCGCCGCTCGCCACCTTTAGGGTACATTTAGGGGTGCGTCAAGGTGGTTTGGGGAGGATTCCACCCAAAATTTACCCCCCCCGGTTTGGGGCACGGTGCTGGGCGCATTTTTGGAGAGGACGCGGGGGCCCCGCTGTGCGCCGCGGGGTGGGGGCACGTGCCGCCAGCCCCCACCCACACCCCGCAGCACCTCGCCCACAAACAGCCCCGAAACCCCCCCAAAACGCCCCCTCACCCACCTCGGCACCCACGTGGGGGGGCACCCACGTCCACGCCCCCCCCCAACCCTCCCACCCCCTTTCTCTTTGCGCTCCGCTTGCCCCCGCATCCCCACGGCGATCCCACTGTGCCACCCCCTCGCCACCCCATGGGACCCCCCCAAAACCCTCCCCATGGGGCCAAAAATCATCAATTGGGGGGGGGCAAAGGGATAAATGCCCACCGCCTGGGGAGGGGGGGGGAATGCCCGCGCATCGCCGTGACCCCAAAATGCTGGGGATGGGGGGAGAGGCCCTTACCTGGCCGTGCCTGGGGGGGGGCTGCGAGGTGCCAAAGGGGAGGGGGTCCAAATGGAAAGGGTGTGGGGGGGGGTCCCCAAAAAGGGCTGGGAGGGGAGCGGGAGCTGAGCTGGGGCTGCTCTGCGCCTCCGATCCTCCCAGGCGGCTCGGAAATAGCAAACACCCTACGGAGGGGAGGGAGAAAAAAAAAAAAAAAAAAAAAAAAAAGGAGAGAAATGGGAAAAAAAAAATTAAAAAAAAAAATAATAAAATAAATCAAAGCGGCGTGGAGGAGAAAATGGGGGGGGGGGGGGAACCAATGGGGCCGCGAAGCGTCAGGCGCCGAGCCCCCCGCGTGCGCCCACGTAAAAGGGGGGGGCGTGCGCGGGCACACGCGTGTGTAGGGCCGTGGGGGGGTGTGCACGCCCCCCCCCCAGGCATTATAGGGCTGGGGGCACCCCTGGGGGTGGGTTTTTTTGGGGGGCTGCGCCCACCCCAAGATATATGTGGTCCCCCGGTGGTGTCCGAAAGGGGGGTGAGGGGTGATTTGTGTGTGGGATTGGCTTTTTTTTTTTGGGGGGGGGTGAGGAATTTTAGGGGGGGGTCTGCAGCCCCCCCCCCCCATAGCCCCCCAAGCCCAGCACCCCCATGTGTGGGGACCCCCGGGGTGGGGGGGGCACCCCAGGCTCCCTGGTGCTACTGGGGGATACTGGGAGGCACTGGGAAGCGAGCGTAAAACGAGGGGGGGGGGCAGCGACCCCCTCCCCAAATTCCCCCCCCCCCCCTTTTTCCCCATCACTGCCCCCTATGAGCCCAAAGGCCGGGCACTGCCCGCCCCCAAGATGGCGCCGCCGCCTTCAGCGCGCAGCCGGGCAGCGCCAGGCACAAAGATGGCGGCTCCCATAGCCGCCGGTTGTGACCGTAACAAAGATGGCGGCGGCGGCTTCCTGCCGGGGACGCCAGGCGGCGCGACGCGCAGGCGCAGTAGGGAAGGGGGGGGCAGCGCCGGTGGTGCCCGGGCTGGGTAAGGGCCGGCGTGGAGGGGGGGGGGGGCGGATTTTGGGGTACGGGGGGGGTGGGGGGGGGCTGGATGGGGCCTTTTGGGGCTCAGCACCCGATTTGGGGGCAGGATGGGGCTTTTTGGGGTGTGGGGGGGGCTGGGGGAGGGGAATGGGTGCGTTTTGGGGGGGTCTCGGGGCACCCTGGGGTGGGTGGGGGGGTTGGGGGGGATTTTTGGGGTTTGGGGGGGATTTTTGGGGTGGGGGGGCAGGGGGGGAGTGTGGGGGTGTATGGGGGGGCCCTGGTTTGGGGTGAGGGGGTGGGGGCTTAGGGTATGGGGCTGAGCACCCTGGGGTGGGGGGCAGTGGTTTGGGGGGGGGGGGCACCTTGGGGTGGGGGGGGGCAGGAGGGGGATGGGCACCTTGGGGTGCCGGAGGAACTTTTTGGGGGGGTTTTGGGGTGCACCTGGGGTGGGGGTGCAGGGGGTCACTGATTGGGGGTGTATGGGGGGGCTGAGCACCCTGGGGTGGGGGTGCAGGGGGGTCCCTATTGGGGGTGCATTTATGGGGTGCAGGGGGTCCCTGTTTGGGGGCGCGTTTATGGGGTGCAGGGGGTCCCTGTTTTGGGGTGCATGGGGGGCTGAGCACCTTGGGGTGCTGGGTGTCCCTGTTTGGGGTGCATTTATGGGTGCTGGGGGTGCATGGGGGGGGCTGAACACCTTGGGGTGCTGGGTGTCCCTATTGGGGGCGCATTTATGGGGTGCAGGGGGTCCCTATTGGGGGTACATGGGGGGCTGAGCACCCTGGACTGGGGGGTGCAGGGGGTCCCTGTTTGGGGGTGCATTTATGGGGTGCAGGGGACCCCTGTTTGGGGGTGCATGGGGTGTTTGGGGTGCATGGGGGGCTGAGCGCCCTGGGCTGGGGGTGCCGGGTGACCCTGTTTGGGGTGCATTTATGGGGTGCTGGGGGTGCATGGGGGGGGCTGAGCACTTTGGGGTGCAGGGTGTCCCTATCGGGGGCTCATTTATGGGGTCCCCAGCAGGGTCTCCGTGCGCTCACCCCATCCGTCCCCTCTCTCAGGATGGCGGAGGGCAGCTCGGGGGACGCGGGCGCCGCGGGCAGCCTGCGGCCGGGGCTCCCGGGGGCACGGGGGCTGCTGGGGAGGCGCCCGGCCCCCCCCCTCAGCCCCGGCCGCCTGCCCTCCATCCGCTCCCGGGACCTCACCTTGGGAGGCGTAAAAAAGGCAAGTGCCAGGTTTCCCAAAACCTCTCTTTTTTTTATTATTATTATTTTAGGGGGATAGGGGACGGCGCACACGCCCCCCCGGGGGCAGCAGCGTGGGCATTTTAGGGGTGTGGGCACCCCAAAACGTGGGTGGCTCTGGTGGAGCTGGTCGGGGTTGGCAATGCAACCCGACCGGTCCCGCCCCGGCGTCCCTGCTCCCGGGCACGGGGACACTGGGGATGGGGACATGGGGACGGGGCATTCCCTGGGGGTCCACTGGTGGTTTTGGGGGCTTTTTAGGGACAGGGCACCCCCGGGGGAGCTCAGGTAGTTAGGGGACTTTTTGGGGATGGCGCGCACTCGGGGGCTGCACAGCGGTTTGGGGAGCTTTTAGGGGTGGGGTGCAGAGGTTTGGGGAGCTTTTGGGGATGTTTTGAGGATGTGGAAAGGATGGGGAACCCCCGGATGTGCACAGGAGTGTGGGGACTGTTTGGGGACCTTTTGGGGATGAGGCTCCCCCAGGGGTGTGCAGTGGTTTGGGGACCTTTTGGGGACAGGACACCCTTGGGGGCTCATGGAGGTTTGGGGACCTTTTTGGGAATCTTTTGGGGACGTGACAAGGATGGGGCACCCCTGGGGGTGCACAGGAGTTTGGGGACCTTTTGGGGACCTTTTGGGGACAGGGCACCCCCAAGGGTGCATGGCAGTTTGGGGTCCTTTTTGGGAACCTTTTGGGGACCTTTTGGGGACAGGGCCCCCCTGGGGGTGCACAGAGGTTTGGGGACCTTTTGGGGACACAACGAGGGTGGGGCACCCCTGGGGGTGCACAGGAGTTTGGGGACCTTTTGGGGACATGGCAAGGACAGGGCACATCTGGGGGGGGCACAGGAGTTTGGGAACTTTTTGGGACCTTTTGGGGACAGGGCACACCTGGGGGGGGGCGCAGCAGTTTGGGGACCTTTTGGGGATGTGGGGAGGATGAGGCACCCCCGGATGTGCACAGGAATTTGGGGACCTTTTGGGGTCCTTTTGGGGACCTTTTGGGGACAGGACACCCCCGGGGGCGCACAGCACTTTAGGAACCTTTTGGAGACAGGGCACCCTTGGGGGCACACAGCATTTTGGGGACTTTTTGGGGACGTGACACGGACAGGACACCCCTGGGGACGCAGGGCGATTCGGGAACTTTTTGGGGACGCGCCGAGAGCCCCGGGCTCGCCCTGCAGCCCCGCCACCCGCACGGTTTCTGTGGCTTTCTCTCGGCTCCTGCCTCGTGCCGCGACTTGTCCGCTCTCGCCCGCAGAAAACCTTCACCCCCAACATAATCAGCAGGAAGATCAAGGAAGAGTAAGTGGCATCGTAAGCATTTCCCTGCCTTCCCCGGCCCCGTTTGGCGTGCCGAACGTGCCCGGAGAGGGAGCCACGGTGCCGAGGGGGGGGCTGTAGGGTAAATCTGTCCGCCCCCCCCCGTGCCCAGGCCCAGAGAAGATGTCACCGTCAAGAAGGAGAAGAAGGAGCGGGAGCGGGACCGGCAGCGCGATGGGCACGGCCGGGGTCGGGGCCGGCCCGAGGTCATCCAGTCCCACTCCATCTTCGAGCAGGGCCCGGCCGAAATGATGAAGAAAAAAGGTAGCGGGAGATGAGGTTTCCCCCAGGGAGGGGTTTTGGGGGGTCCCAGGCGGCGTGGGGTGAGCCCAAAGGGGTTCCCTGCTCCCCAGCGGGCTCCTGGGACAAGGCGCTGGACGTGTCGGACTTCGGCCCCTCGCACATCATCAACATCAAGAAGGAGAAGAGGGAGACGGACGAGGAGACGAAGCAGATCCTGCGCAGGCTGCAGAAGGACGACGTGAGCGGGGGTTTTTTTTAGGGGGACGGGACATCCCCAGGGTGCTGGGGCTGGCTCTGAGCTCCGTCCCCGTCCCCTCTCCCCACCCCGCAGTTCCTGGACGACCCGGGGCTGAAGAACGACATCCGCAACAAGCCGGTGCAGCTGCCCCTCGCCCACTCGGGCTGGCTCTTCAAGGAGGATGCAGCGGAGGAGCAGGAGGACGCGCAGCCCTGGCTGCCCAAGAGGAAAAGACAGAGCCAGGATCCCCCCCTCAAAGGTGCTTGGGGGTCCCGTGGGCGCACCGGGGGGGTCCCATGGGCGCAGGCGTGCCGAGACGGGGACGCTGCCCCTCTGCCTCGCGCCCACCCTGCTCCTCTCACCCCATGGCAGTGAAGGAAGAGCCGTGCGACGAGGACCCCCCGGGTGCCACCAAACCCGCACGGGGCCCCCCCGGTTTCCCGCGGGACATCCCGGTGGCCGAGCTGCTGCAGAGGCTGAGCCTGGCGGCCGAGGACGAGCTGCTGTTCCTACAGCTGCCCGACACGCTGCCCGGCCAGCCGCCCACCCAGGACACCAAACCCATCAAGACGGAGCTGCAGACCGAGGAAGGGCAGGTGGTGGTGGTGAAGCAGGAGAAGAGCCAGGTGATAGGGGTGGTTTTGGGGTTTTTGGGGTGGTTTTGTGGGTTTTGCGATGATTTTGTGTTTTTTTGGGGGGTGGTTTTGGGGTTTTTGGGGTGGTTTTGTGGTTTTGGGTGGTTTTGTGGTTTTTGGGATGGGTTTTGGGGGTGGCAGCATGGTGATGGTGTTTCTCGGTGGCAGGAGGCGAGGCAGGCGGAGAACACGTGCACCCTGGCCGACCTCCCCGAGGGGCAGGTGGGGAAGCTGCTGGTCCGCAAGTCGGGGAAGGTGCAGCTGGTGCTGGGCAAGGTGACCTTGGACGTGACCATGGGGACCCCCTGCTCCTTCCTGCAGGTACTGGGGGGGCGCAGGGATGGGATTTGTAGGGCTGCGCCCTAAAGGGGCACCTCAGGGACGCCACTTGAGCATTCCCACACCCTACAACGGGCAAAGGAGCCTCTCCCCGGCCCCTTTTTCCACCCTAATCCTGAAGAAGGGTTTTGGCCGCCCCGCTGAGCCACCCATGGGTGCTTCTCCCTCCCGGCAAGGAGCTGGTGTCGGTCGGCATCGGGGACAGCCGCACGGGCGAGATGATCGTCCTGGGCCACATCAAGCACAAGCTGGTTTGCTCCCCGGACTTCGAGGCCCTGCTGGAGCACCGCCACCGGTAGCCCCATGGCAGGGGGGGGGCAATGAGCCAAAGGTGCCCCCCCCCTGCCTGCAGTGCCCCCCCGGAGGGCTGTGGAGAGGGGTCTTCAGCAGCCGGATCCGACCTCGGTGCTGTGCGCCCTGCAAGGGAGCAGCGGCGGGGATGGGGGGTGCAGCTCTGCGCCCCCACAAAAAGAGGGTTTGGGGGGTGGGGGATTTGGGGTCCCTCCTCCCCGGGCTCTGTGTGCGCCCTGGGGGCGGCGGGATGCTTGTTTTGGGGGAGAAATGCAATAAAAATGGCTTTCCTCCTGTGGGGGGGTCCTTGGTGTGGTCCCCCCCCAACCTCAGCCCCCAGCTCACCCTGTGCAACTGCCCCTGCCCTTTATAGTTGCTCCATGGAATTGCCCCCTGTCCAACTGCCCCCTAGAATTGCCCCTTGTAACTGCCCCCAGCCCCTAGCAATTACCCCCTGGAGTTGCCCCCGGCCTCTTGTACTTGCCCCCCTCAGTTGCCCCCACGCAATTACCCCATGCCCTTTCCAAATAACCCCTGTACTTGCCCCCTGCCCCACGTAATTGCCCATCCAATTGCCCCCAGCTCCCTGTACTTGCCCCCTGTTCTTGCCCCTCCAATTGCCCCCAGCCTCTTGCAGTTGCCCCCTGTACTTGCCCCTGCCCCATGTAGTGCCCCCAGCCCCCTTTACTCGCCCTTCCAATTACCCCCAGCCCCCTTTACTTACCCCCAGCCCCCTATAACTGCCCCCGCTACCTCCCCCCTCACAATTACCCCCCAGCCCGGAACCCCCGCCCCTTTCCCGGAGCTCTCCGCGTGGCCTTTCCGCGCCGGCGCGCCGACCGCGGACCAATCGCGTGGCGGCTCGGCGGGTGCGCGGCCAATGAGAAGCGAGCGCAGGGCGCGCCGGCGCGCCGCGAGGGCTGATCCTCGTGTGGGGCGGCCTCGCCTCGGCCGGGGGCGGCCTCGCCATGGAGCCCCCGCCGCCGCCTTTCAGCCGCCCCCCCGGCCGCATGAGGGGGACCCCGGCCCTCATCCCGTCCTGGGCTCGGGGACAGCCGGGGCTCGGCAGCCCCCGAAGTCCCGGGAGACCCCGGAGCCCCTCGAGCCTCCCCGGAGAGCCTCCGGTACCCTCAGCCTCCGCGGTGCCTCCGGTGTCTCTCTCCTCGCTTTTTTGGAGCCTGGGTTTCGGCACAGAGCCCAGCCCCTCGCTGGAACCGGGGGGTTCACCCCTTGGTAGGTCACCGTGCCGTAATGGTTTGGGGGTGGTGGAGGCCTGCCCGGCCTCCCTGAGCTTCCCCCCCTCCCAGCCTCGCTCCTTCCCCGCAGGCCGTGGTGCTGCCAGCGCGGTGAAGGCTGCGGAGGATTCCCCAGTACGGCCCAGTTCGGCGGTGGGTGCTGGTGATGGGGAGCTGGTGCTGCCCACGCGTAGGCCGGTGAGTCGGGAGGCCTGGCTGCTCGGCCTCTAAATTCAGCGTGGGGGGTGTACATCAAACGGGGGGGCTGTGGCAGCGCCCCTCAGCCTCTCCCCACATTTTTTGGGGGGCGGCACAGGATCCTTTACCGAGGCAGAGGGGACGCGCCACCCGCCTGCCCCCCCTGGCAGAGCCACCCCGCTGCTCCTCGCCAAGCCCAGCCTGGGCCCACCCGGCGCCTTGTCCTCTGCGGAGCCCCCCCCGGCCACCAGCAGACAGTAAGTGACTGGCGTGGAGCCCCCCCGGGGGGCAACCTCCCCTCTCCCCCCCCCCAGGACCTTGCTTGCCCCTCCTGCCTCTGCGCCCTCCTCTCTCCTAGGACACCCGGAGCGAAGCCAGCGGCGAGGGGCACGGCGGTGCCCGTGGGGCTGAACTCGGTGCGGATCCACTGCCAGAACGAGGCCGTCTACCAGTACCACGTTACCTTCAGGTAGCAGCACTCAATGGTGGGGATAATTAATTAAACGCCACGGTTAATTAGCAGGCCCCCCCCCCAGGGACACCCGGCTATCCCCACCGCTAGATGGAGCGGCCGGCGCGGCCACGGCGCACGGGCAGGGAGCGCCTGCTGAGGGTTGGCTCTGTTTTTTTTCCCCTCGCCGGGTTCCCAAAGCCCTGGCAGGGGGCAGAGGGTGAGGAAGAGGCCGGGGAAGGCGAGCAGAGGCTGGGTGGTGCAGTGCTGCCTCCCCGTGTCCGCAGCCCCGAGGTGGAGTGCAGGAGCGCGCGTTTTGGCATGCTGAAGGAGCAGCGCTCGGTGACCGGAGACGTGACCGCCTTCGACGGCTCCATCCTCTTCCTGCCCATCCTGCTGCCTCAGGTATCATTCTGGAGCTGTTACACACCCCAGGAGGCTGTTTTCCCCCAAATTTTAGGCTCGGGGATGTCCCCAACCTCCAACCCTTGTGTTGGGTCGCCGAGCATCCCTCCTGCCCCCCCTCTAAGCGTCCTCTCGCCCCGCAGCCGGTCAGCCTGAAGGCTCAGAGGAGGGTGGACGGGGAGGAGGTCAGCGTCACCATCCAGCTCACCAAGGTCCTGGAGCCCAGCTCCGACCTCTGCATCCCCTTCTACAACGTGGTGTTCCGCAGGTGAGGCCAGGCGGCCGCGCTCCTCGAGCCCCAGCCAGCCCCCGTGGCCCAAAATTGCCTCATTTCCCCCTTTTTAGGGTGATGAGGATCTTGGACATGAAGCTGGTGGGGAGAAACTTCTTTGATCCTTCCCAAGCCAGCATGTTACAGCATTACAGGTGGGTGCTGGACACGTTTTTTTGGGGGATTTTATGCTGATTTGGGGACGTCCCTGTCCCTAGAGAGAAACACCACCGTGGACACGGCGCTGAGGAGCATCCTTGGGTCGGGGCTGTGGGAATTTTTTTTTTGGGGTCTCACACCCGTCCATACAGCCCTGCAGACAGCTCAGCTGCGGCAGCACGTGGCTGGGAAGCCGGGAGCTTTTTCAGGGCAGCTCTGACCCTGCTCTTGGCCAGCTCTGGCGAGCGTGACCTCAGAGCGCCGCTTTCAGGGGTTATTAGCTGAGAGCTGGCAGCCAGCTGGGAAATTATTTGTGTGTGTGTGTGTTTGAGCAGTCTCTGGCCAGCAGCATGGCCTCTGGCTCTGCTCGGGGTGTAACCCGGGCGCTGCTGTGCTGCTTCCCCTGGGCGCAGGCTGCAGGTTTGGCCGGGCTACTCGGTCAGCATCCGCCGGAGGGACGGCGGGCTCTTCCTCCAGGTGGACACGGTGCACAAGGTGATCCGCAGCGACTCCGTCCTGGCTTCCATGTAAGAGAAAAAAAATAAAAAACAGAGGGGGAGGGAAAAAAAACACATTCCCAGGAGCCACGAGCCCCCGGCTGGCTCCCCGTGGCTCGTTTCTGAGCGCACGGCACCGGGGCTCCTTCTCCTCCCCGCCGCAGGCACGCCATCTACAAGCAGAACGCCGCCGGCTTCAAGGACGAGTGCACCAAGCAGCTGGTGGGCAGCATGGTCCTCACCCGCTACAACAACCGCACCTACCGCATCGACGACATCGACTGGGACAGGACCCCCCGGGACAGCTTCACGCTGGCCAGCGGCGAGGAGATCACCTTCGTGGACTACTACAGGTGGGGAGCCTCGGGACGCGCCGCCTCGGGGTGGCGAGGTGGTTTTCCTGGGTTTGGTGAGCAGCAAGGAAACTTTTTTTTATTATTTTTATTATTTTTGGTGTTTTTTCCTTTAGCAAAACGTACGGGATCACGGTGAGGGAGCTGGACCAGCCGCTGCTCGTTCACAGACCCAAGGAGAAGAGGATGCCGGGGAGGAAGGTGAGCCTGGCACACGGGGATTTGGGCAGGGAGCTGGGAACGTGTCCCTGCCCCGTGGCACAGCCTGGCACTCTCCCACAGCCCCAGGTGGAGATGATCCTGCTGGTTCCAGAGCTCACCTTCCTGACCGGCGTCACGGAGATCAAGAAGGACACCCGGATGCTGAAGGTCAGCCTCGGGGAAGGGGAATCGGACCCCGATCTCACACGGGGCGGTGGGCGCAGCGCCGTCACCCCCATCCTCACCACCCCGTGCCCGCAGGACGTGATGCGTGAGATGCTGCAGAGCCCCCAGCAGCACTACGAGTGCCTCTGCAGCCTCCTACGCCGCATCCAGGAGAGCCAGGAGGCCTCGCACGAGCTCATGCGCTGGGGTCTGGTCCTGGCCCAGGACATCCACAGGGTAAGGGCTTCCCCGCGGCCAGGGCGAGCGGCACAGCACCAGGCACCCCCCGGAGCACCCCCCGGAGCTGCCCCCGTTGTTTTCTGCTCCCCCCCAGACCCAGGGACGCGTCCTGCCCACGGAGAGGATCAACCTGAGGCACAGCTCCTTCTTCCCCGCCGAGGACCTGAGCTGGAGCAAGGAGGTGTCTCGGGAGGCCTCCATCTCCACGGTGAGCGCACGCGCCCCGCGGAACAGCCCGGCTTTTGTTTTGGGAGCTGGGCTGGGTCCTCGTGGTGCTGGCACCCCGCTGCTCCCTGCTTGTCTGGACACGGCGCCGCGTTCCAGCTGAAAACCTCGGCTTGTTTTCCTTGGCTTTGCCTCCTGGCCTCTTTTTTTATTTTTTTTTGGAGGAGGTTGGATGGAGCAGCTGCTCTCCCTCCTCCTCCTCCTCCTTCTCGGCTGCAGGAGTGCCCAGGGGATGCTCTCCCCATCCCCAAATTCCCCGCGGGAGAGGCCAGGGCCACGTTTTGGGATCCCTGCCTCTCCTGTAGGTTGCCATGAACTACTGGCTGCTCGTCTACCCGCGGCGCCTCCAGGACCTGATGAAGGAGCTGGTGGCTGCCATGAAAAGCGTCTGCGGCCCCATCGGCATGCACGTCAACGCCCCAGCCCTGGTGGAGCTGAAGGACGACCGCATCGAGACCTACGTCAGGACCATCCGAGGCCTTTTGGGCAGCGAGGTGGGACCGGGGGGGTCCTCCAAGGGTTGGGGAGCCCCTGGAAGAAGGGGGGGGTCCCTGGGGGGTGGTGCTCAGGGCGCTCCCCGCGCTGTGCCCCGCTGCAGGACAAGGTGCAGCTGCTGCTCTGCATCACCAGCAAGAGCAAGGAGGATTTGTACAGCGCCATCAAGAAGCTGTGCTGCGTGCAGACCCCGGTGCCCTCGCAGGTGGGTGCAGGACGAAGCAGCCCCAGCCCCCGGGGTGGCTCCTCCAACCTCTTTTTTTCTTTTTTTTTCCCCCCCTTTCCTCCTCTTCTTGCAGGTCATCAACGTGCAGTCCCTGACGGGCCAGTCCAGCAAGCTGAGGAGCATCGTCCAGAAAGTTTTGCTGCAGATCAACTGCAAGCTGGGGGGCGAGCTCTGGGGGATCGACGTCCCCCTGGTGAGGCGCACGGCGGTGCCGGGGGGGGACCCTGGGTGTGCGTGGGGAGCGTGCAAGAGGCGTGCAGGCAGCGGGGGCCGTGCGCCTGGGCTGTGTTTCGCCTGCCTGGCACGTGCGTGCACAGCAGCTCCCTTGTTCCCTGGAGTGAAAGGGGCATTCAGGCCCTCCCCGATGCCTTTGTGTAGGGCGAGGGGATGGGATTCCCTTGGGGAACGCGGATAAACCATCCACGGAGCTGGCCTGGCACGTTTTGTGCATTCAGCTTGGGGTTGGAGCTCAGGCAGACACCAAAAGCGAGGCGCAGTGCTCGTGCCTGACTTTTTTTTTTAATTATTCCCCCCCCAGAAGCAGCTGATGGTCATCGGGATGGACGTCAGCCACGGCAGGGGGACGCGCTCCGTCATCGGCTTCGTCGCCAGCGTCAACCAGTACGTGGTGCCCTCACCCCCAGCACCTCTTTTCCTTCCCTGGAGGGGGGAAAAAATAAATAGCGTGGCACCAGCGGTGCCAAATCCCTTGGCACTGGATCAGGCTGGGGAAAAAAGGCTCCGTGCCCCCGTGCCGGGCTGGGTGGTGGCACAACCGCCCCAAATTTTGGCTCGCTGCCCGCAGGGTCCTGACCAAGTGGTACTCGAGGGTGGTTTTCCAGATGCCCCAGCAGGAGATCGCCGACAGCCTGCGGCTCTGCCTGGCCGATGCCCTGCAGTGCTTCCACGAGGTGAGGGCTCCCCAAAAACCCTCGAGGATTTCGGTGCCAAAACGCCCCCAAATTGTCCAACTGGAATTCATGTGAGCGAGCAAACAGCCTCGGGGCAGCCTTTGGACTGGAGGTGACCTCTGCAGGAGGCTCGCCTTATCTCGGGGCCGCGCGGACCTGCCCACGGGATCGCTTTGCACCGGGGCGAGTGCCACGTTGGTGCTTTGGTGCTGAGCCACCGAGCCCCGTCCTGGTCCCCAGGGGGGGGCAAACGGGGGAATCAGAGCAGCTCCCGGGGCTGCGTGGTGGGCAGGGGGGGTTTGGCAGCCGGGCTCTGCCAGCTCTTGGTGTTTAATGTCCCTCTGTAAGTGCTGGAGAAAAACCCCAAAGTTGAGGTTGCTGCGCGTGGGCAGTGCTGGTGCAGGCGGTGCGTCTTTCTGCCCCGCCAGCCTGTCCAAAATCTGCTAGGAAATGGGGGAATCTGCTTGGAAATGGGGAAAGAATGGGGAAATCTGCTTGGAAATGGGGAAGTCTGCTTGGAAGTGGGGGAAATCTGTTTGGAAATGGGGGAAATCTGCCTGGAAATGGGAAGTCTGCTTGGAAGTGGGGGAAATCTGTTTGGAAATGGGGAAAGGAATGGGGGAAATCTGTTTGGGAATGAGGGAAGTCTGCTTGGGAATGGGGGAAATCTAGTAGGAAATGGGGGAAAGAAATGGGGAAAGTCTGCGTGGAAATGAGGAAAGGAATGGGGGAAGACTGCTAGGAAATGGGGAAAGAAATGGGGGAAATCTCCTCAGAAATGGGGTTGCCAAGGCCGAATGCTGCTGGTGCTCCTCACCCAGGTCGAGGGCGATGGGTGGAACTGGCAGGGTGGCAGAAATTCGTCCTCCTGGGGGCCGGTTGGGCGTCAAGCACCCAATTTTTGGCTGGATTTACGCCTGCCCCTGCTCCACCTGGTTCTGGGGGCGATGCGGTGACCCCTGCACCCCCCCCTCAGATGAACCACTGCCTGCCCAAGAAGATCGTGGTGTACCGGGACGGCGTCTCGGACGGGCAGCTGGACACGGTGGTGAAATACGAGATCCCCCAGCTGCAGAAATGCTTCGACACCTTTGAGAATTACCAGCCCAGCATGGTGGTGGTGGTGGTGCAGAAGCAAATCAGCACCAACTTCTACACCGACACCTCGGAGAGGCTGGCGTGCCCCCCGGCGGGGACGGTCATCGACCACACCATCACCAGTACGGAGTGGTGAGTACTGGGAGGGCCGTGCTGGGCGTTTTGGGGTGGTTCTGCCTCTCACAGACCTTTTTTTTTATTTTTTTATTTTTAATTTTTTTTATTTTTCTCCCCTTGCAGGCAGGATTTCTACCTGCTGGCTCACCGCGCCCGCCAGGGCTGCAGCGTCCCCACGCGCTACGTCTGCGTGCTCAACACGGCCAACCTCAGCCCCGAGCACCTGCAGAGGTAAGGACAGGCCTTCCCGCAGCCAAAACCAAGGATTTTGGGGAAAAAATCCCGTGGGAAGGCAGCGAGGGCCTGGCTGGGGCTGCCCTTAATGCCATTTGGTGCGATGAGCAGCGAGGGGGCGAGGAGGAGGTTTGGAGCCGTTTTGCTTCACCTCCGGGCAAGAAATGGGTTATAAATGGGGGTAAAAACCTGCTTGGGGTGGCGTTGGGAGGGAGCTGCCGTGGTTTCAGAAGTGCCCAAGCAGCAGGCGTGTAATTAACGCAATCAGGAGCTGGCAGAGCCCGACCTCGCACCCGTGCGCTCGGGCGAAACGGCGCGGAGCGGCCACCCGGCACGGCTTGGCGGCACCGCTCCTTGCCTCTTGGTGCAGGGCTGCTTTTGGGGGAAAAAAGGGGAAAAGAAAAAAAAAGCTAAACAAGCACCGACGCGTCCTCCTTGCCCTCCCCAGGCTGACCTTCAAGCTGTGTCACCTCTACTGGAACTGGCCGGGCACCATCCGCGTGCCGGCGCCCTGCAAGTACGCGCACAAGCTGGCGTTCCTGGCGGGGCAGGTGCTGCACCACGAGCCGGCCCCCCAGCTCTGCGACAGGCTCTTCTTCCTCTGAGCCCCCCCTCCGACCCCAAAAGGGGCTTCAGGGTTTGGTTTTGGGGTGGTTTTGTGTTTTTTTTTCCCCGCGCTGCTGATTTTGTCCGTTCCTTTCCGTCGTTGCGCTCACGGCGCTCGTTTTGGGGGAGCTTCTTGTTTTGGGGTGAAAAAGGGGGGTTTTGGGCCACGCAGAGGCTCCAGACTCCGCTCTGCTTTCAGCCTTACTGGTGAGCACTGGGACGAACCACCCTGTTCCCAGTTTGGTGCTGGGCACCAACCCCCAACCTCCATTTATTTCCCTCGGCTCCTGCCTGTCCCCCCTGAAGCAGCTGCTGCTTTTTAATATTTTTCCCAATTTCTTTATTTTTTTCCTTCTTTTTGCTCCTCTTTAACAAATCCCGTTCCAGTTCGGCTGCTTAACGCCCCCCCCTATTTAATTAATTTATTTAATTTATTTATTTTGTTTATTGTATTTATTTTAGTCTGTACCCAAAATTTCAGCCACCTGGGCTGCTAGGAGAGCACCCAAAAATATCCCCAAAACCCCAAATTTGAGCATTTCAGCTCTTCCAGCCCCTCCCTTCCCGTGGCAGGAGCCTTTTGAGCCTGAATTTGTTGGGAACCCCCCAAAAAACCCTCCTAATTTCACCCTGAGCCTGCCTGACCGCCCCCCCTTTGAGCAAACAGGGGCAGGATGAGAGCAGGCACCAGCCCCCCCTCCCCCAGCCTTCGTTCAGAGTTTGGAAAAGAGAAAAAAGGGAAAAAAAAAAAAAAAGAAAAAAAAAAAAGCTATTTATTTTTCCTTTTTTTGGCTGTAATTGCAGGTTTCCCTTCAATAAAGCTGTTCCTGGCAGCACCTCGGTGTCGGGATCTGGGGGGGGGCACGGAGGGGCGCAGCGCCGTCACCTCTCCAAAGGGGGATCCCCGCCCTCCTCCTGGCCAGGGGATTTTGGGGACAAACCCACCGATTTGGGGACAAACCCACCGCTTTGGGGACACTTTGGGGACCGTGCCAGCACCCCCTGGGGCCGCTTGTTTGCCCTCCATCCCTTCCCAAAACCCTTTGAGCAAATATTTAGGCTCTGGGCGAGTGCTGGCGGTGCCTGGGGGAACCAACCTTTTTTTTTTTTTGGGGTGGGGGCTCGGGGTAGGTGCCCCCCCCCCGTCCTGCCCCGTGTTTTTTTTTCCGCTTCGTTAATGATTTATCCTCATTCCCGGACTTTGGCAGCCCGGGCAGGCGGCAGCTGGTGCGTGGCGGGGTTTTATTTTATTTTTTTGGGGGGGGGGTGAATGGGTGTGTGGGACCCCCCCCTTTGTCCCCCAGCTGTAATAGGGGGGCTGCCCCCCATCCCCCCGGAGCCTCCCGGCCTTAAATTGTAACCGCTGGCTTTAATGAAGCGGCGTTAATTAGTGCTGGGAGCTGAAAGGCTCCCTTGTCCTGGCTGGGGGGGGGGGGAAAGGGGGGGGGCGAGGGGCCGCTGCCCCTTTTTTGGGGGGGTCAATGGGGTGCCCCATGCCCCCAGGGGATGTTTTTAGGGTCTGGGGGGTGTCCTGCCCTTTTTTTGGGGGGGTTATTGGGATTTGGGGGTGTCCTGCTCTTTTTTGGGGGGGGTTATTGGGGTGCCCCGTATCCCCAGGGGATGTTTATTGGGGTTTGGGGGTGTCCCGTCCCTTTTGGGGGGGGTCATTGGGGTGTCCTGTGTCCCCAGGGCATATTTTTTGGGGTCGGGGGGGTGCCCTGATACTTTTTGGGGGGGTCAGTGGGGTACTCTATGCCCTAGGGGTTGCTTGGGGGGGGTTCTGGGGGGGTGCCCTGCCCGTTTTTGGGGGGCCTGGGGGTGGCCCAGCGAATTTTGGGGGGGCGTTAGGGCTGCTTTGTCCCTTTTGGGGGGGGTCAACTGGGGTACCCTGCCCCTTATTTTTTTTTGGGGGGGGTCTGAGGGTGCCCAACCCCTTTTGGGGGTGCTCAATGGGGTCCCCCTATATCCCCAAGGGATGCTTGAGGGGGGGTGCGCCCTGCCCCCCTTTTTTTTTTGGGGGGGGGGTCAATGGGGGTACCCAGCCCCTTTTTTTTTTTGGGGGGGGGGTCCCCATCACATGTGGGGGGTCAGCAGGGGGGGTCCGCGCCCCCCAGGGTTATGGGGCCGGGGGATGCTCCGCGCCCACCCCCACCGGTGCCACGTGTTGTGGGGGGGGGAAATGGGATCGGGGGGGGGAAATTGGGACCGGGGGGGGGGGCAGGGGGCGGGACAAGGGGCGGGGTTTGGGGTGACGTCGGTGGAGCCTGCGCTGTGCGGAGGGGGGGGGAGGAAGAGGAGGAGGAGGAGGAGGAGGAGGAGGAGAGGTAGGGATGGGGGCACGGGGATGGGGTGGGATTGGGATTGGGGGGGGAACTGGGGGGGGACGGGGGAAATCGGGATGGGAATTGGGATTGGGATGGGGATGGGGTTAAAATGGGATTGGGATGGATTTGGGATGGGTTTGGGATGGGTTTGGGATGGGATTAGGATGGGGGTACCGGGACCAGCACCCCATCAGGATGCGCACCGCCGTGCGCCCCCCCCAGAAAAAAGCCGCTGCCCGGTTTCGCGATGCCCAAATGTGGGATTTTGGGGATTTACCCCCCCCTCCGTGGGATTTTGTGGGTTTTGTTTTTTTTGGGGGGGTCTTTGGTGGGTTTTTAGGGGTTTTGGGGTCATCCCCGCGCAGGGTGCCGGGAAGCGAGGCCTTGGAGGGGGGGGGTTTGCAATTGGGGTCGATGAATTTGGGGCGGGAATTTAGGGGAAATGAGAGGGGAGAGAGGATTTGCCCCCCCCCTCATCGCCCCCCACCCCGTTATCCACCCGTGGGGCTTGGGGGGGCTCCGTGCCAGCCCCCCAGAGGCTGTCCCCATGGGTGGGGGGCCGGGACCCCGAGCAAAAAACCCCAAACCCCGCACCCCCGAGGACACCCATGAAGGTCACCAGAGGTGGGGGCACCGGGGGGGGGGTCCCCATGAGCTGGCGGTGATGCTGGGGGGGGTCCCAGTTTGCCACCCCCCCCCTGCCTTTTGTAGGGCAGCTGGGGGAAAATTTGGGGTCGGGAGGGTTTGGGGAGATGGCAGAGACCCCCTAAGGGGGGGTGGGATTTGGGGGGAGCGTGCGCCCCCCCCCCAAATTTGGCTGCCCCAGGGGGGGACGTGGCGGTGCCAGCGGGGATGGGAGCCAAGCTTTGAGACCTGGGGGTGGCACCGGGTGGCCCCATACGTTTTGGGGGGGGGAAGCACCCACCCCAAAGCAGGGTTTGGGTCAAGAACGAGGGCGTTTGGTTCTTGTTGAGGGTTTAGAGTTTGGGTTTTTTTTGGGGTATCTCCACGGGGGCACCGCCAGGCTGGGGAATTCGCCCCCCCCCCCTGTTTTGGGGTGGAGAAGGGGTTAAGCGAAGGCATCCAGGCTAAGCCTTGGCAGGAGGAGACCAAAAGCTCCCGGGCAGAGCTTGTAGGGGAGAACAAAGCCCCAAAAATCCATAAAACCCCATAAAACCCCCAGGAATGTGGGTGCCGGGGCGGGGGCACCAGCCCCCGGTGGGGACGGGGACCCCGCGTGGCTCCGAGGCTCCCCCCGAGCTCGTCCTCGGCCCCGTGGCAGCCCCGTGCCTGGCAGCCCCGTCCCGATCCTACTATTTTCGGAAACAATTGTGGGGCCAGGCTGCAGCAACGCCTCGGGCCTGGGTTTTTTTGGAGGACACCGAGCCCCCGGCAGCGTGGCTGGGGGCGCTGGGTGCAGAACCCCCCCCCTGGGGTGGGTTCCTTTCCCCTGTCCTCTGCCAGAATGGGGTCAAAGTTTTAAGTTGTGGGGAGGGAAAACCCTACACAACCTCACCCTACAGCCCAGTGGTGTTTATCGCCCTGCTGCTGCTTGCAAAAAACCCCAAAAGGGGTCCGGGACCCCGGTGGGCGCACGGGGGTGGCGGATGCTGAATCCCAGGCTTGGCACGGGGAGGGCAGAGCTGTTTTATTTTTTAATTTTGGGGCGCTTTCATGAATCCTAAACCCGCCGTCCAGCTTCCAGAAGGGTTTTTTTCCAAGAATGGGGCCGTGCCTGGCCCCATGCACCCAGAGGGCGAACCCCGGGCTCCTTTTATTGATCCTCGGCGCGGATGAAAGGGAGCAGCGAGGGCACGGGGCTGAGTCCCCGCAGATACCCGAAAGGGCTCCCGCAGTTTGGGCTCGGAAGGAGCAGGGTTCGGCGTAATTAACAGGGTTAAAGTATAACCTTAATAGGTTCGCCACCCCTGACCCCGCACCTCCCAGACCCTTTTTGGGTTGGCCGCCGCTTTCCTCGCCCAGCCTGGGGCTGTGGGATCCGGGAGGAGCTGGCGGAGGGCGTTTGGCACCGGGGGATTTGGGGATTTGCTGCGTGCTGAGCGCACTCTGTGTAGGACCAGGTCCTTTCTGACCCTTTTTCTTCTCTCCCTGTAGGGCCCCCAAAGTGCTGCGGAGCTGGGGAGCCCCCGGGAGCCGTGTCCCAGCCCTCGGCACACGGTGAGCCGGGAGGGGGGGGGGGCACAGGGTGCTGGGGAGGTGGGCTCGGAGGGGTGGGAAGAAACAGCAGCAAACAGCCAGCACCAGGTCCCTCCTCGGAGCTTTTTGGGTGCTTTTTGGGCAGAATTTTCCCCCCCCCAGCCCTGGTTTTGGGCAGAAATCTGCTGGCCTCTGCTGCCACCTCCTGCTGGAGCCGCGGGGCAGGAGGCTGTGTGCGCGCCCCTCTTTTTGGGGGAACCCAGCCAGCAGGAGAACCCCATTTTCGGGGTTCCCAACACTTTTGGGGTCGCTAAAGCTAACGCCAGCCCCCTCCTTCCCTTCCAGTGCCCCCCGGCACCATGAGCTGCCCCTCAACCCTACGGGGCTGCTGCCTGCTGGCTCTGCTCTGCCTCCTCCCACCCCCTCGGGCGCTCGCTGGCGGCGATGCCGCGGCCCCCCCGGCGCTTTCGGCCGCCTCCTTCCTTCAGGACCTCCTGCGGCGCTACGGCGAGGGCGAAACCCTGAGCCTGAAGCAGCTCAAAGCCCTCCTCAACCGCCTGGACGTGGGAGTGGGGCACGCCAACGCCTCCCACCCCCCCCAGCAGCGCGCCAACCTCTCCAGGGTAAGAAAAAAAACTTCGGGGACCCCCCCCCTCTCCGAGGTGGCCACCCCGGAGGGGGCTCGAGGCAACCTCTGCGCCTCCTTCCTCGCCAGTGCTTCAGCTCCTCGGAGCTTTTCGCCATCCACAACCTGAGCGAGGGCTCGGCCGTGGGGCGCAGCGAGCTGCGGGAGTTCTGCCCCGCCGTCCTGCAGCAGCTGGAGTCGGGGGCGTGCGCCGCGGAGAACCTGGAGAACGAGGAGAACGAGCAGACGGAGGAGAGCAGGCCCAGCTCGGCCGAAGGTGAGCAAGGACCCCCAGGACACGAGGTGCCCGAGCTTCCCTTTTTTAGGGGCTCTCGACCGCGGCTGGGTGTCTCCACGTGGTTTTGTTCCCGTTGCACGCTCGAGCTGCGAGCTCTGCGGCTCGGAGATGTCCCCGGTGGCACGCGGTGCGCGTCGGAGCCGTGCTTGTAACGCAGTTCCCCGGGATAGCTCGAGGAAGGGGGCATCACCACGAGCCCCCGGGGGCTGCTTGGCAATTTTGGGACCTGCTGCTCCAACGCTGGCCTCCAGCCACCTCCTGGTGCTGCCCCACACTCATTTTTCCCCCCCCCACAATGCCAGGAAAACCTTTTCCAAGCAGCTCGGAGGCAGGGCAGGTTGGTGGTGGCTTTTTTTACCCCCACCCCGCACCAAAACCCAGGGTTTGCGTCGCAGTGGAAGCATCCGGAGCAAAAGGGAGAGCTGCTCGGGTGCCCTGAGGCCGGCGCGAGCCCTTCCCACCCAGCCCGGCTCGGGGAGGGGGCTCCGGACCCTCCCCGTCTACCCCTCGCCGAGAGCCTCGGTAATGTCTGGCCCTGGTTTCTTCTCGTTCCGCAGTTTGGGGCTTTGGTTTTCTCAGTGTGTCAATGATTAACGTGGCCTCCCTGCTCGGACTCTTCATCGTCCCGTGCACCCAGAAGGCGTTTTTCCGCCGGGTCCTCACGTTTTTCATCGCCCTCTCCATCGGCACGCTGCTCTCTAACGCGCTCTTCCAGCTCATCCCAGAGGTGCGGTAGCAAGTCCCTGCCTCCCTCCTCTCTCCGAGGGCGGCTCTCTCTGCCTCCACCGATCGATCCCTCCGTCCCCCGAGGCTGAGGGCTTGCCTCTGTCCCTGTGCGGGGCTCCGCAGGGTTTTCCTCGCCCCTCCGAGCACCAGGAAACTCTCCGAGCGCGCACATCAGGGCGTGAGAGCACACGGAACAGCCCGGAGAAACGCCACCTTCACCCTCAACCCGAGGGCGTTTAAAAAAAACTAATTACCTCCTTTTGTTCTCCTTTTTTTTTTGTTTTTCCCCAACGGTTTACGAGAGCAACGTTCCCAGGAGGATTTGTGCTTACGCGAGGTTTCCTGGTGCTCCGACGGGCCCGACAGACACATTGCGGGTTAATTGTGGCGTAATTGCACGGTCCCGGGGTTGAAACAGGCAGGCGGCTCTCACGCTGGGCGCCTCCAAAATCCTCGTGCTCCACGTTTCCAGAGCAGATCCCACCCAAAACTCCTGGAGATCCACCCCCGGAGCTGTGCGCTTGAGCTGCTCCCCGAGCAGAGCGCCCTTTGCTCTGCGGCGGGTTTGTTTTTGGGTTTGCTTCGCCCGTGCTGGCCGCCTGCCTGCCAGACGAGGAGCTGCTTTTCGAGGCTCCTTTTCGACTCCAGAACCGCCGCTTTTGTTTGCTGAGCCTCAAAAACGAGCGCTGCGTTCGCTGCCGGGCCAGGGCTCCCTGTGGTGCCGAGTGCCGCGGTGCCGAGGCTGGAGCGCGCGAGATGCTCGGGGACCCCGGGGCTCTGTGGCACTGGAGTGGCCCCCTCTGTCCCATTGGGGGGTTCAAGGATTGGGGACAGGTTTCTGGCCCGAAAAAGGGCGAGCTGTTTGCTCCGGGGGGGGGGGGTAGAAATTCAATTTGGGGTTCCACCAAGGGGTTTCGCTCCCGACCCTTCCCAAAAAGCCAACAAATCGTTTCCAGAGCCACTCAGCGCCGGGTTCCCCGCTCTTGAACCAATTCCGGATGAACGAGCAATCACTAATGAATGTCCTCTTCTCTCCCCCCCCTTCTTTTCTCTTCTCCTTTCGGCGGGGATCCCTTTCTCCCCTCCGCCCCTTCCCCACGTTGATCTCCTTCCTTCCCCTTCGCCCCATTTCCCCCCGGGGTGGGGGTATTTTTTTGGCACGGCCGCCGCAGTCTGGGGTTACGGTTTCCTCTGCGTCACCGTCATCTCCCTCTGCTCGCTGGTGGGAGCCAGCGTGGTGCCCTTCATGAAGAAGACCTTTTACAAGCGGCTGCTCCTCTACTTCATAGCTCTGGCGATTGGAACTCTCTACTCCAACGCCCTCTTCCAGCTCATTCCCGAGGTACGGTGAGGACCGTCGGGTCTCTCCTCTTCTCTCTCTTTTTCTTTCTCTTTTTTTTTTTTTTTTTTTGGGGCTTTTTCCTCTCTCTGGGCGCTCGCTGGAGGGGGAGCCGGCGGAGTCGGAGGGGACCGAGAGCGTGGAGAGCGAGGTACGGAGGCTGGAAGCCCCTGGGGATGGGGGCCAGAGCTGGGATTTCGTAGCCGTGAGCCCTCTTTTGGAAGGGAATCGCTCCCTCGGCTCTGCCTCGAGGCTTTTTGAGCCTGCTTTTAGCAGCCCTGCCCCAGATCCGAGATCTTGGGGTGCAGCCGGCTGGCTGGAGGGTTAAGGTGGGGCGACAGAGGTGCAGGATGCTGATTTTGGAGCCCCCGAAGCCAGGTAGGGAGAGGTCAGAAAGTGTCAGGATGGTCCCGGAGGAGAGGCAGAGGCAGAGGGGGGGATGCTGCCAGCCCCCTCACTCGCCTCTTACCCGCAGGCTTTTGGCTTCAACCCCCAAGAAGATTACTACGTCTCCAAATCCGCCGTGGTTTTCGGGGGCTTCTACCTCTTCTTCTTCACCGAGAAGATCCTGAAGATGCTCCTGAAACAAAAGGACCAGGTGAGGCCGGGCTGGGGCTGCTCGGAGCGACGTCCCCACCCTGAGCACGGGGCTGAAAACCCCAAATCCCCCCCAAATCCCCCAGCTCTCCGCTGGGCACGCAAAATAAAACCTTTGCTTGCCAAAACCAACTTAATTAAACTGGAGAAATGGGATGCTCGTGCGATTTTTTTGGCAGCACTCTCTCAAATCCCAGCAATTTGGGTTCTCCCCTAACTCACGTTTCAGCAAAATTAGTTAAATCGGCACAATTTACGCATTTTGGGTGGGAAAGAGCGGGGCCAGCCGGGGAGGCTGACCCCTGTGGATGCCCCCCCACCCCGCAGCACCACCATGGGCACAGCCACTACAGCCCCGAGGCGCTGCCCTCCAAAAAGGACCAGGAGGAGGGGGTGACGGAGAAGCTGCAGAACGGGGACCTGGACCATATGATCCCCCACATGGGCAGCGAGCTGGACTGCAAGAGCCCCCCCGGGGATGAAAAAGTCGTCGTGGGCTCCCTGTCCGTCCAGGTGGGTGCCTCGTTTGGGGGATATCCCGAGCTGGAAGGGACCCGTGAGGATTATTTAATGGGGAGAGGGGGTTTGGGGAGAGGGGGTTTGGGGAGAGGGGGTTTGGGGAGAGGTCTCCGCAGCCACCCCTGGCTGAGCGGGTGGAAAAATTGCTTGTAAAAGAAAAAAGTGGTGGAAATCCAGCGGGATTTAAGCCGGTGAGGAGAGGGGGGTGTGGGATGGAGAGCGGGGTGCTGAGCCCCGTGGTTTGGGTGCCCGTTCCAGGACCTGCAGGCGTCCCAAAGCGCGTGCTACTGGCTGAAGGAGGTGAGGTACTCGGACATCGGCACGCTGGCGTGGATGATCACCCTGAGTGACGGGCTCCACAATTTCATCGACGGGCTGGCCATCGGCGCCTCCTTCACCGTCTCCGTCTTCCAAGGGATCAGCACCTCCGTGGCCATCCTCTGCGAGGAGTTCCCCCATGAGTTGGGTACGTGGGGCCTCGGGGGAGAAGCCCCCGGGGTGCTATCAGGGCTCTCCTGCCCCTTTTTCCGTGGTCTGGAAAATTTCCCGTTGGTTTTTCGAGGCGGTGAGTAATCGCGGGGCTAAAAATACCGAGGTAATCTGATGTCTGAGCTTTAATTTTAGAGGGGAGGCATCTGAAGGAAAAACAACAACACCGCTGGGGAGGGGCGGTTTTTGGGGTTCGGGTGCTGGGGTTTGCGCCATGGGCAGAGCTTGGCATCGGTGCTCGGTGTCCACCCGTGGTGCTGAGCAGGGCAGGATGCTGAGGGATCCTCGGCATCCCCTGGGTTGTAGCAGCTCTGGGGGGGCACGAGCAAGGGTGCCAAATCCTTGCTCGAGTGCCAAGTGAGGTCTCCGGGGAAGCTCAGGGGGAATTTTGGAGCAAAAAGCTCCTCGGTGCCGTGCCGCGTGGTGACGGCGCTCCCCGTCCTTGTGTCCTGCAGGGGATTTTGTCATCCTGCTGAACGCGGGGATGACGATCCGCCAGGCTCTCTTCTTCAATTTCATCTCGGCCTGCTGCTGCTACGTGGGCTTGGCTTTCGGCATCGTGGCCGGCAGCCACTTCTCTGCCAACTGGATCTTCGCTCTGGCCGGGGGGATGTTCCTCTACATCGCGCTGGCTGACATGGTGCGTGCGGGTCGGGACCCCGAGAGGGTTTTTTTTTTTTTTTTTGATGTGGGAGCTTTAATTTGGCCTCAAAAAAGGCATGGGGGGGTGTTTGAGCGCCTAGGACCCTAGGGTGTTCAGCTCAGCTCCGCTTCTCCTCCTGGGCTGGGGGTGCTGAGGACCCCGGGACGGGTGGGGAGCACCGGTGGGATGATGCCATCACCCCGACCCTCGCTCTTTGCCCCCCCAGTTCCCCGAAATGAACGAGGTGAGCCGGGAGGACGAGCAGAACGGCAGCACCCTGATCGCCTTCGCCATCCAGAACGCGGGGCTGCTGACGGGCTTCACCATCATGGTGCTGCTCACCATGTACTCCGGCCAGATCCAGATCGGGTAGGACCAGCCCATCCGGAGCCCTGTGCCAGTTTTCCCCCTTTTTTTTTTTTATTTTTTATTTTTTTTTGGGGGGGTGGGAAGGTTTTTTTTTTTTTTTTTCTTTTCCTGCTGCAAGCATCCGACTACCAGTGCGGGCACGAAGCACTACAGCAGAGGCATTGCTTCCAAAGCTATTCCACAAACTTCATCTTATTTCGACTCGAGGCGGAGCGGGGCCACGTCCCCCCCTCGCCGTAGGACCGAACTTGACCAGAGGATCTCCTTCCCTCCTCTCCTCACATCTCCTGGGAAGGACGGATTTGGGGACAGGAGCTCCTCCAGCTGTGCTGCTCCCCTCCTTGTTTTTGGAGAGGCGGGATGGGACAAAATGCTCTCCCGAGCCTTTTTGGCAAGGGGGTGTGATGGGGATGCGGGGACGGGGCTAGCGCTGGACGCCAGCCGCCTCCTGCTCACCTACAAGGGATGGATGCGTGGGGGCCACAAACCCCACCGTGCGTGGAAGGGGAACGCCCGGGGAGCTTCTGCTTTTTGGGGAGCACAAAGAGACCACGACGAAGCTGGCTGCGTCTCGGGGAGCTGCTGGAGCTCACGGTTTGAGCAGCGTCCTCGCCCTCTTCAGAAGCACATCTTTGGGGCCATTCCTGCTCCTCGTGTGATGGATGAGGAGGATGGAGAGGTTTTAAGAGGACACCAAAGCTCACCCCGTGTGCGTCGGGCTCACAGGGCACGGGCTGCGTCGGGGGAAGGCTGGCAGGACGCCGTCGCCTCTTTGAGGCTCCCTGCTGCTGTAAGGAAAAACAAAAATCCATTTTGAGGGCTGCAGCGCTGGCAAGAAGGGCACAAGAGCAGGGACGGCAGAGCCCTTAGCCCGGCCACAAGCTGCCCAGCCAGGGAAGAAGAAATCCTTGCACTGTGACCAAGCTCACGCAGACCCCCGGACACGGACACCCGTTTTTAAACGCTGCTGCTGCCGAGGTGCAGAGGTTCAGGGTGGGGAGGGGGGGGGGTGTTGTTTGTTTTTTTTTTTTAAAAAAAAAAAAGAAAAATAAGAAAAAAGAGACTGTGAACCTCTTTAGGTTGTGTGTTTCCAGCCTTTGGGAGTAGCCAGAGAAGGGTGTCGCAGGCACTTCCCAGCTCGGCTTCTGGGCTGGCTTTCCCCAGATTCACTAGGTGAATTGATTTATTATCATATTGATAACGTTGCCCACCCCGCCTGTGTCCCTTGAGGTTCCCCGCACCCCTTTTTCCCCTCTGCTTCCCCCAAAACTCATCCCGCACCCGGCAGCCTTGAGTTCGTGGCCACCGGGGAGCCGATGTGGGCGCCTTACCCTCGTGGGTTTGGCATCGGACAGGGGGGGCCAAAGTGGTGCTGGTGGCTCTTTGGGGCACACATCCTCGCCTTCCCTTCCACCCCAGGTGGCAGATAAAATGTGGGGTGCCACATGGGTGGTGATGATGGGGTGCCATCCTCGAGGTGGTGTGGGTGCTGTGAGACACCGGGATCACCAGGATTTGTCCCGTGTGGCAGCTTCCCAGGATGAATTCTGGGCTGCGGTTCAGAAATCGAGCTCCGATATTGATATGGGAAGGGAAGGCTTCTGCCTTTTGGTGCTGAGAGAGCTGCGGCCTCATCTGACGGGCGATGTGGAAGAATTGGATTTTGGGGACGGTGTCCCATTTGGGGAAGGCCGTGTGTGTGGGGCTGGCGGCTTTCCACGGGGCACAGGGCAGCGCGAGCACTGCCAGGGCCGAGTTCTTTTTGGCAGGAGGTTTTTGGCAATGTGCACGGATGGGAAAGCTTTTGGGCTGGGGGCGAGGGGGGAACATCCTTTGGCTGTCCCTTGAAATTCCGCAAGAAATGTGCAATGCAGAGAGCTGGGGGGAAACCCGCAAAAAGGGTCCTCAAAAAGGGTTCCTGTGGGGTTTATAGGGCAGGAGACCTCTCACCAAAGGTGGGAGAGGGCTCCGGCTTCAGGCAGGTTGGCACCAGGTCAGGGATGGGAGATTGAGGAGGGAAAGTGACCGAAATCGAGCTTTTATGTGTTTTTTTTGTTTGTTTTATTTTTAATCTGTCTTTCCCTTTCCGTGTCCGTTTAGAAGCTCACGTTCCATCTCAGTATTTTTTAATAACTCAGGTGTCGTCAGAAATACTTGTCGAAACAACGAGCGTAACTTATGTCACGTGGATTGTAAACTTATTTGTAAAATGCCATAAATAAAATATATTCTGTAATGACGGAGGACGCCAGGCGTGCCCCGTGCGGTGTCCCCGGCCGACGTCGAGCAGCCCTGGAAACCTCCCCACAGCACGAGCTATTTCGGGACCAGACTCCCTGGGGAAGGGGTGGAAGCTTTGCTAATTCATGGTTTTTTTTTTTTAAGGGGATGGGTTAAAGCCAACACGGGCACGGGCTACGGGGCGATGCCATCGGGCCCTTCCAGCGGCGATGTCCCCGTGCCGGGCAGGAGGTGGCACTGACACCCGTGGCTGTCCCCACGCTCCCACCTTGCATGGCTCCTGGGCTTGTTTTTGGGGCCAAAAACCCTCCTTGCTCTATTTTTTATCCCCTCAAACTCCAGCATTTTGCAGGAGGGAGGCTGAAGGCTTTGGAGGTTTGCGGGATGTGGTGTTCCTCTCCGGCTCGCACGAGGGAGCCTGACTCAGAGCCGCAGCCTTCGTGTCCTTGCTTCCCCCGCCTGGAGGAAATTAAAAACCATACTTTGGTTTTCTCCTCCGCTTCCCAGGCCTTTTTTTTTTTCTACCGCTGGCCTCGAGCTGCCAGCTCTGAGCGGCAGGCACAATTTTTAGAAAGCCCGGCCCGGCTCCGGCAAACAAGCCCTGAAATTCTGCGCTCGTCTTTAAAAATAAAAACGCTCCCCCAGCAAAGAAAGGTCGCCGCGTAAACCCTGCCTTGCTATTTATCCCCCGCCGATGATTGAGCGCTGTTAGCAGGGCTGTCAGGCAGCGGCCCTACACGAGCCTTAGGTTTCCCTCTCCCATCTGCTGCAGGAATACCCCACATTTAATTTTTTCGCCTCAAAATCCTCCTTTTGATGCTCCCGTGCCACCTCGGGGCCCGACCGAAGCCAAGGGGTGAAGCAAAAGCGGTGCTGCCCGGGGTCACCCTCGTCCCCGAGCGTTTTGTGCTATTTATTCCGAGCGCCAGCAATTTTATTTAGGCACCCATCTGCCGGGGCCGCCGCGAGCTGCTGGGCTGCGCCGACTTCTCCCCGCGCCCCATTTCCCAAGCTGTGCCGCCGGGAGGGCGTGGTGGAGGTTTATTTTTATTTTATTTTATTTTTACCCCCTTCTGGTTTATATTTTATAGAGATTTTTACCCCCTTCTGAATTATTTGTATTTTTATAGAGGTTTTTTGCCCCCTTTCAGTTTATTTTCATTTTATTTTTACAGAGATTTTTACCCCCCTTCCAAATTATTTTTATTTTTATAGAGGTTTTTACCCACTTTGATTTATTTTCATTTTATTTTTACAGAGATTTTTCACCATTCCCATTTTTTTTTTTTAATAGAGATTTTAACCCCTTCCTCTCAAAGACAGGAAGGAGCACCCAGTTTATTTTTATTTATTTTTACATATATTTTTATCCCTTTCATTTATTTTTATTTCATATTTATAGAGATCATTACCCCTTTCCAGTTCATTTTTTAACAGAGATTTTTACCCCTTTCCCCTCAAAGCCAGGAAGCAGCACCCGATTCATTTTATTTTTAAAGGCTCATTTTTATTTCCATTTTATTTTCACACAGCCTTCCACCCCTTTCCCCTCCAACCCAGGAAGCAGCACCCGGTTCATTCTTATTCCATTTTCACACAGATTTCCACCCCCTTCCCCTCAAAAAAAGGAACCAACACCCAGTTCATTTTTTATTTCCACTTTATTTCCATTTTATTTCCATCTCCATTTTATTCTCCCAGCCTTCCACCCCCTTCCCCTCCAACCTAGGAAGCAGCACCTGGTCCATTTTTATTCCATTTTCACAGATTTCCATCCCCTTCCCTTCAAAAAAAAAAAAAAAAAAAAAAAAAAAAAAAAAAGCATCACCCACTTTATTTCAATTTCCTTTTTTTTTTTTTTCCCCTTTCCATTTTATTTTCACACAGCCTTTCACCCCTTTCCCCTCCAACCCAGGAAGCAGCACCCGGTTCACTTTTATTCCATTTTCACACACAGATTTCCATCCCCTTCCCCTAAAAAAGCAGGAAGCAGCCCTTGGATTATTCATATTTCCATTTTATTTCCATTTCCACTTTATTCTCCCAGTCTTCCACTCCCTTCCCCTCCAACCCAGGAAGCAGCACCCAGTCCATTTTTATTTCCATTTTATTTCCACACAGATTTCCATCCCATTCCCCTCAAAAGAAGGAATCAGCACCCGGTTCATTTTTTATTTCCACTTTATTTCCATTTCCACTTTATTTCCATTTCCATTTTATTTCCATTTTATTCTCCCAGCCTTCCACCCCTTCCCCTCCAACCCAGGAAGCAGCACCAGGTCCGTTTTTATTCCATTTCCATGCAGATTTCCACCCCCTTCCCCTCACAAAAAAAAAAGAAAGCAGCACCCGGTTCAATTTTTATTTCCGCTTTATTTCCATTTCCATTTCATTTCCATTTTCTCCCAGTCTTCCACCCTCTTCCCCTCCAACCTAGGAAGCAGCACCTGGTCCATTTTTATTTCCATTTTATTTATAGATTTCCATCCCCTTCCCCTCAAAATAAATAAATAAATAAATAAATAAATAAATGAAGCAACACCCAGTTCATTTTTTATTTCCATTTTATTTCCATTTCCACTTTATCCCCCCAGCCTTCCACCCCCTTCCCCTCCAACCCTGGTCCATTTTTATTCCATTTTCACAGATTTCCATCCCCTTCCCCTCAAAAAAAAAAAAAAAAAAACGGAAGCAGCACCCACTTTATTTCAATTTCAACTTTATTTCCATTTCCATTTTATTTCCCCTTTATCCCCCCCACCCCCTTCCCCTCCAACCCTGGTCCATTTTTATTCCATTTTCACAGATATCCATCCCCTTCCCCTCAAGAAAAAACGGAAGCAGCACCCACTTTATTTCAATTTCCATTTTATTTCCATTTTATTTCCACACAACCTCCCACCCCCTATCCCCTCCAACCCCCCCCCCCCCTCCATAATGGCGGGCCGCGTCTCCTTAGCAACGCCCCCTTCCCCTCCAAGATGGCGGCAGGAAGGGAGGGCGAGCCGCGCTCCCACGTGACCCCGCCCTCCGCGCAGGCGCAGTAGGGGCGGCGGCGGCGGCGGCGGCGGTGGCGGCCGGGGGGGGGAAGCGCCGCGGAGCCGCCGCCCGGGGCCGGAGCCGGGAGCTGAGGCCGGGACCGGGACGCGATCGTTTGGCGGCGTCGGGAGGGGGGAGACCGGCACCGGGACCCCCCCCCCGGGGTCGTCTTCATCCTCCGTGAGCCCCCCCCCCTCCCCCCGGCACCATGTCCGGGCGCGGCCACGCCAAGCTGCCGACCACCGAGCGCATCGTTAAGGGTGAGGAAGGGGGGGGGGGGGAGTGGGTTTTGGGGCGATTTTTGGCGTTTTTAGTTGTTTTTTTTTTTTGGGGGTGCGGAGGGGAGAAGGAGGGGGTGTGAGGAAGCCTCGGGGTTTTTTGTTTTTTTTTTTGGGGGGGGTCTCGGTGTTTTTTATGGCGGGTTTTGTTTTGGGGGAAATCCGCGTGGTTTTGGGGGCGACGGGTTGATGGGAATCCTATATTTATTTTTTTTCGGGGGACCCTCGTGTTTTGGGGGGAATCCTCGTATTTTCGGGCCACCTTATCGTTGTTTTGGGACCCTCTTGATGGTGCCCCTCATTTTTGGGAGGAAATCCTCGTTTTTTGGGGTCTACCCTCTTTTTTAGGGGAAATCCTCATTTTTAGTGGGATCCCCTCTTTTTGGGGGGGGAATCCTCTCTTTTTGGGGGTGACCCTCTTGATTTTGGGGGAAACCTTCTTGTTTTTGGGGGGGAAGCCCCTCATGCTTTGGGGGGAACCTGATCATTTTGGGGTGAATTATATCATTTTAGGGCAATCTCATTGCTTTGGGGGAACCTTATTTTTTGGGAGGGACAACCCCAGTTTTAGGGGAGCCATGGGGGGGCTCTTGGTGTGTGGGGAGCCCCCCTCAAGGGGGTTTTGGGGAGATTCCCCCCCCCATGGCCAAACTGGGGGGGCTGCTCGTTTTTTTGGGGGGGGGGCACCTGGTTTTGGGGGGGCACCCCTGATTTTGGGGGATCCCTGAATTTCACATTAGGGAGATTCCCCCCTAAAAAAAACCCACTATGGGGGCTTGGGGCAGCGTTTGTGGGACAGAATCTGTTGTGCAGGACCTGGGGGGGGTTAGATTTGGGGGGGGGGGTGCTCAATTTTTTGGGGTCTGAGCAGCGTCCCCCTAATTTTTTTTGTAGGATTTGCTCCTTGTGGTGTGAGCTGGGGGGGGGGCAGGATCATACAGGGAGCCCCCAGCCCTATAACGAGAGCAGGGGGGGGAGGAATAGGGACAATGGGGACAGCTGGAAGGGAATGACCCCATATTTTGGTGCTTTTGGGGTTTTTTTTTGGGGGGTGTCGCGGCCGTGCTGGGAGGGGAACCCCCCCCCTTTTGGGGTCGTCCCCAGCCCGTGCTCCCTGCTTGGGATTTTTTTAGCCCGTCATGCGGCCGGTCACATGCGGCGCGTTAATGACCGGGGGCCCCAAACGAAGGGGAAAAGGGGACCGCAGGGTGGCTTTTTGGGGGATTTTCGGGATCCCTTTGTGCTGCTTGGGGGGTTTTGGGGTTTGATCCCTCAAAACCCAGCCCAGATCCCTAAAAAAAGCTGCAGGGTTTGGGGATTTGGGGTCTCCCCTGGTTGGATTTTATCATTTAGGGCTCGCCGGCAGCCCTGCAAATCCCCTAAATCCCGGCCTCGTAACATCCCCGCAGCTTTTAGGATCCACCCGGCCCCCCCCCCTGGCATCAGGATCGCAGATTTGGCCCCAAATCCCTTTTTGAACGATGCTGGGGGCTCTCGGTTTGCCCCCGAGCCCTTTTGGGATTTGCTCGAGATCCCCTAGAAACCTCCCCGGGAAACCTCGGGGGCTGTGATTAGGGCCGGGAGGTGCTGACACGGTTATTAAAAACCGAAATTGGGAGAGAAAAGGCGATTTTCCCCCAAAGGAGGGCGCCTGCAATTAGGTAGGACCGCCTTTACCCTATATATTTACATCTCCGGGGCCCTGCGGGAATGGGAACTCTAATTAAGGGCAAAAATGATTTTTTTTTTAATTTCCAGCGGTTTGATGTTTACCGATTTTATCATTTTTCTGCGTAAAAGTGGATTTGGGTAACTCCTGATCCTGAAAATGCTCATTTTTGGGGTTCTCTGAGGGGTTGTTCTCAATCCCCCGGTGCCCGGTTTTAACCAAAATCCTTCATTTTAACCAAAATCCTTCATTTTGGTGAAAAATGAAGGAGGTGGGGGGTGGTTTTTGTTATCCGTGTTGCCAAAAAACTTGAATTTTTGAGGGATTTGCGTATTTTTAGCATGATGCCCCAAAACTGGGGCTGGGCTCCCCTCCCTGGGGGTTATTTGGGGGTTATTTGGGGGTTATTTGGGGGTTATTTGGGGGTTATTTGGGGGTTATTTGGGGGTTATTTGGGGGTTATTTTGGCGTCGTCTTTCCGTGAGCCCCGTGGCTTTTTCAGGCTCATTTCTGCACATCCAACTTGGCTTTTTTTGCTTGGTTTTTCCCCAAAAATGATGCTTCCATGGAGCATCTTTAAATGGGGAAGAAATAAAGACCCTGATGCGATGCTTTCCCAGTCCCATCCCGTCCCCATTCCTGGGGTGATGGATTTGGGGCATTCCTGGGCTGAAACAACCCCAAAATACCGGGAAATTGGGATTATTGAGAAAAAGAAACATTTCTGAGCTGGAAACGGGGCGTTTTTGGGGGTCCTGCCCTGCGTTGGTTTGGCCACGTCGTGTCCTTTGGGTTTAATTTTTATTTTTTTGGGGTTTCCTCTGAGAACAGCAGCAGGTGCTTTGGGGCGGAGCCGGGAAGGGTCGCTGGGTTTTGTGCAAATTTGTTTTTTTTTCCCCCAGATATCAACCCGGGGAAGGTTAACCCCATCCCCTGCTGCTCGGAGACCCCATTCTGCAGCAAAAAAAAACATAATTGAGCATTTCCCCGTCCATAAGAGCTATTTAGGTAAAACTTGGGGTCCCTTTTGGGGCAGAGCCACCCTTAAATCTCGGGATATTCCCCCAAACCTATTTAGGTCCGGGCTGCTTTTCCAGCTGTGGCTTTCCCAATGAGCCCCATACTGGCCGTGCGGTTTTGGGGTGGAATTAGGGCTCGTTAACGAGGGAACAAACGAGGTGGAGCGTTATCCTATAAGGCAGGGATCGGGGTTGGGATGGCACCACCAGGCAGGACGGTGGCTCCGGAGCGGGGCTGTGCTTGGCCTCGAAGCTGGTGGAGCAAAACCTGGCAAAAATTCATTTTGGGGCGCAAATTCCAAGCGTTTTCCCCATCCTGACCCGATTCTGGTGGAAACACGGGGATAAAACTCGTCTAAACGGGGGATTCGGGCTCGATTTCTGCCAGCTGAGCTTTCTCCCAGCAGCCTGGCTCCGGGAGGAGCCTCCAGTTCCTTCTCCTTACCCTAAAAAACTCTCCCTCCTACGAATTGCTGAAGAAAAGGGATTTTTTGGAGCAGCGGGAGGACGCCGAGGATCCCCATCCCCAGCTCCTGGACGAGGACCCCAAACACGGAGGACGGACACCGCAGCGATACTATAACCAGCGATGCCACCCCAAACTCTGCAATAAGGCTTAAATTTATATTTTCAGCCCCATTTTAACATTCGTGGAGTTTTGGAGTTTGGAGGATCCCATCCACGGGGCTGCTCCCGTGCGCACCGGGAAGGTCCCAATCACCCCAAATCCCCAACGCTGCCCTCAACCCCTCCCAGTTTTATTCCCCGTAGCTTTAGGACCCCAATTTGGGGTTTTTACCCTCCAAAAGAGCTGCTCCGTGCCCAAAAGGAGCTGGTAAATATTCGGGTGACCCCTTGGGGTGGCTGGAACCGGGGGGAGCCGGCACCCCCCGCGCAGCCACGGGGCTGGGGTTTTACGGCTCCCAGCAGGTGGGGAATTTTGGCCACAAAGCCCCTCCTGTTCCCCCATTAACGAGCTATTAGTGGAGCCGCTGGCAGCTCCCGAAAACAGGTGGCGAGCTTCCCCGCCCGCTGACATCTAGGAATCCCCCTCTTGGCTCCTTGGGTGAGCTCCCTTTTTATTTATTTATTTTTTTAATTTTTTTTTTTATAAGTCGCTGCAGCTGCTTGCTGGAGACCTCGGGCTTTTTTTTTCTCCTCCTCTTTAATTTTTAATTTTTATTTTTATTTTTTTTTTCCACTCCAGCTTAGCCACAACCCCTTGGGAGCCAGTGAGAGGAAAGTGCCAACCCTGCGGTGCGACTGGAAGGTCTGTAGGGCTCGAGGGTCTCCAAAGGACCCTTTTTTTTTCCTCTTTTCAGGCCACTTTTGGGTGCTCTTTTTGCCACGAGGTGGCTGCTGGCTCGGGGCAGGTTGTCTCAATGACAACCCCAGGCAAATCCACGCCGCAGCACGGAGCCGAGGAACCTGGCACGGCTCAAAAAATCCACCTTGATCCCAAAGAGGCCGCCGAAATAGGTCGAGCTCGGGGTCCTCCTGGAGGACAGGCACCCGGCTCCCCCGACGGGGAAATCCCCCGGGGATGAGCGGGGCCGGGTTTAAGTCTCCTCTGCTCCACTTAAACACCCCTGGGTTTAATCCCCGCCAGCTCCTCGGAGGTGTGTCGGAAACCTCCTTGAGTCTCCGCAGTTTATTTTGGCCAAAAACCACTTTTTTTTTCTTTTTTTCCCCCTTTCCCAGCCCGATAACACTATTTAGATTCCGCGTTTCGCCAGCGGAATAGCTGACGGATAATTACGCCCTACCTGATTAATTAGGAGGTGCTGAGCACGGCTCCGAAGGGCAGCTGTACGGCTTCCCAAGCTTTGTGGCCTCCAAAATGCACAAATGGAGTTGGTTTTGGGTAAATTTGATTATTTTCTAGCCTCCTGGTGCTGCGCTCAGCTTTGGACGGGGCTGGGTTGTGCCCCTGTTGGCACCCGGTACCTTTCTGGGTTGTATTTCGCTGCCCAGGGCTGGCACTTGGGGTTTTTTTAATTTGGATTTTAATGCACCTGGCTTCTGCACAGCCCAAACGTGCCAGGTTTTGGTAACCGAGAGGATGCACGGCCTCAAAATTTGGGTGTCGCTCCTGGAATTGCTGAAGGGCAGAGACAAATTCGCCGCGGCCGATCGCTGTCTCCATTTCTCTCGACTCTGATACCACGATGACTGCTCCTCCTCTCTCCCCCTTCGAAGAAATCATTCGGTTTGGTAGGATTTGCCAGACAATGCAGGTATTTTTAGGGCACGTCGCTGTCCTATAAAAAAAAAAAAATGGTTCAAGGTAGGGAGCTGAGCGCGTTTCCTGAGCCTGGCGTCAGCTCCAGCAGCGCGCTCTGGCTAATTTTGGGTAAAACTTTGGAGCTCCAAACCCCTGCAACTTTGGAGCTCCAAACCTCTGCAATTAATCCTACAAACTCCTGCGATTAATCCTTTGTGTGCAAAGACTGATATTTCCTCGAAAACAAAACCCTAATATTGAGGAGGGGACCCAAAGCCCCGTGTGCCAGGCAGGGCTGCGCACACCGTGGGTGCACGGCCACGGCTCCGTCTTTTGAGAAGCAAAATTCATTTCTTGCTCCGTTTTTGGGTGCTCAGAGCCTCGGGAAGGCGCGTCTCTTACTCAGAACAAAAAAGGAAGATCGCTGCCCTCGGAAGAGCAGAAAGAATATGCAAAAATTTGGAGGAAAAACACCAAAATGGTGCGAATAATCGCTCCTGGCTCCCGCTGCGTTTACGCAAGGAAGGCGTTCGCTTGACTTGGTGACTTCTGAGCTACCAACGCTACTTCTGATGGCACAAACCGGTGTCGAGGGGACAAATTAAGTTATTTTTTCATTTTTTTAGAGGCTGGAGGAGCGATTTATTGGCTCTGCTTGGTGGCGGCTGGGTTGCCACGCTGCTCCTGCAGCCGGCTCGGGACGGCCGTGCCAGCGCTGCTGCTGCCGCCTGAGAAATGGCACAGATAATTCGTCAGGGCTCGGCCAGGCTCCGAAAACTCGGCGTGGAGCACACATCTGTTTCTGCAGGCTCTCGTGTAAACGTGCCCGGAGGCGCCCTAGGGGAAGGAGAATTTCCTGCAGACCGGCTCGGGGATTCATGCGGCGGAGACAGCGTGGCGTGTTCTCCCCAGGAACGTGTCTGGATCCCCAAAAATAGGGATTATTCCCTAGAAAATCAGTTTTTAATAGCTATTAGGACTAAGAAAAAGTTGAAAACTGACTTATTTCAGCTCCTGAGCCTCAACCCATCCTTGCTTTTGGGCACTTGAGGCCCTTTGAAAACCCGGTGGCTTCTGCAGGACCTGGTGCTGTGGCCGGGTTCTGATTTTCCCTCTAACTCAGCCCCCGTGCAGAGATTTCACCTCTTTTTCCTGAGCTGTGCTGCCTGCTGCAGAATGCCCCAAAATGGGGTTTTTCTCCCCAAAAGTACATCTGTAGCCCTCTGTTCCACTCGCTGGCTGTAAGACTCATTTGACAAAGAGCGAAAGGAGAAGGTTGGTGCAAAAATGCCCCTTGGATGCGCTCCCATCCGTTTCGGGAGCTGCAGGGCACTTTGTGTTGAAAATCTTTATTTTTGGGGGCATTTTCTGGACTCGATGCACCCAAAAAGCCCGGCTGGAACGGGAGCTCTTTGAGCACGCAGCGCTGGCTCCTTTTCCACCAAGGATCTCACCTTGCTCAGCCTCTAAATGACATCCCGAGGCTCTCCGTGGAGGCGTGGGGGTGGCAGGAGCCCCGTCCTCCCCTCTCCATCCCCTCTCGGAGAGCTCCCAGCGCCTCCCCGCTCCTCCTCTCGCAGCGAGCAGAGCTCTGCCCCTCCTCTGCCTTTTCCTGAGCTCCTCCGAGCGCAGCCGACCTTTTAATCCGTTTTCCTCCTCAAAAGTTCACTTCCACGGGTGCCCTCTGGCACGCGCCGTGCGTCCCGTCGGCAGGGCGAGGAGCGCGGCGCTTTTTTCGGTGTCGGATACCCTCATAAAGCAACACCCCAAACCTCAAATTTCCACTTTTTAACCCATTTTAACCCAGCCTGGATGCTCTGCGTGCAAAAGGAAGGTGGCACGGAGGTCGCAGCCCACGAGGAGCTGGATGTTGGGAACGTTTTCTCTGCGATTTACCCAAATTATCACCCGGGGAAGGGTGCGCCGAGGGCGCAAGGCTTCGGCACCGCTTCTTGTCCCCCCCCGGCTGCACTGAGGATAAAATTGAGACCTTAAAGAAAAAAAAAAGGAGCGGATATTTATGTCAGCTGCTTGCAGCCGCTCGCCTAAAGCCCTTACACAAGTTCTGCTGGCTAACAGGATTACTCGCTGGGACAACACTAATGACTTAAGTCTGTGTCCTCGTCCCCGGCTGCGGGGGGTTCGGGCGGCTTCTGGGGCAGGGAGGATTTCTCCTGCAGCCCCTACGAGGCTTTTGAAGCCAGATTGGAGAGCCAAAAAGCCCTTTTTTTTTGGGATGGGTCAGCAGGAGGTGTAGAAAATGGGATTGCTCCACACCTCCCATGCGTAACGCGATGTCCGTGCGGGGTGCGTGCGCCCCCGGCACGGTGCCGGTGTCTCCGGCTGCTCCAGAGCAGGGATTTCTCCCCAAATCCCTTCTCCTGCCACTCCTGGATCCGCGCTGCTTCCTTCCCCTGCTCCTCGTGGGATCGGAGCCACGCGAAGCCAGCGAGGGAACTTACATAAACCCTCCGGGCTGCTCGCATCGGCGCGGCCCCGGGTTTTATCTTGCATAACTCCGCTCGCACGGGCTACCAAGGGAAAAAAAAAAAGGCAGAGCAGTGCCAGCACTCTTCTCGTGGCTCTGCTCTGAATTGTGACGGGCAGCGCTGCTCCTGGGGTCCCACACCTTTTTTTTTTTCAGGCTGTCAGTCCCAGCTCCTGGCCGTGGGGGTCCCTCTGCGCCCGGTGGTCGCGTTTTAGGGTTTTAGGGTCTGGAAACGGAGCCACGAGGTTCCTGCTTCTCTTTCTCTTCTTCCTTCTGAACCGTTTGACCTTCAGATGCTCCCTGGCTTCCTTGGGAGTCAGCTGCCAGGCGCTCGGACAACTGCCCGCTCCCCAGAAGGATTTACGAGCCCTTCCCCTGGCGCTGCAGGCAGCGAGTCCCCAAAACCCTCTGAGTCCCCAAAACCCCCCCGAGCCCCGTGGGAGCGCTTGCCCCCAGCTCCTCCACGTGCCCCCTTCCCTTTGCTGTGCAAATCCGGAGAGCGTGGCATGAAATTCCCTAAATTCCCTTAAACGCACAGGGTTTTTTGGGGGGGAAACCGAAGAGGTCACCCCATTTTCCCCCCTCCTTCAGCTGCAGAGGTGCGTAATAGGGGCGCTGGGAGCTGTGTCCAGCCCCTGTCGGTGCAGGCGGGGGTCCTGCCAAAACCTCGTTAATTGGGGGCTGCTGGGCGTTAATTGGGGGCTGCTCAGCGTGGGGGCCCTTTCATCGCCTCCGCCGCTGTCCTACATTCGCCGTGCTTCAGACCTGAGGTTGGGAGCAGAGGAGCTCTGGTGGCTCTGGGCTTTTTCTCTCCCTGCCCCGTTTTTTGCATTTCAAAGAGCCACAAATCCACGGGGGCGAAAATCCACGGGGCGTGGGGGTGCCTTCGCCAGCCCTGGCTCAGGGATAACATCATCCACCTCTGACGTGGTTTTCCTCCCCTCCTGGCTCAAATTCAGCCCCGATCAGACAACGGGAGGTGCAGAGGAGGTGACAGCTTCAAAATCTTGGCAAAATTGCTCCAAAATCTCCTCCAGGGGGGATTTCCTCGCTGTGAACCCGCTGGTAAATTTGGGGTTAAGCTCCTCGGAGGCGAAGGCAGCTCCTCCGGGGTGACGATGTGCCGTGATTTAATTGGGAACCGGTGCGTTTTTTGCCCTCTTTTCCCCCATTTTTGGGTGCAATCCTGCTTTTGGGCAGCCTCCTGGCCACGACTCTCGTTGCTGAGCTCGGGGGCAGCCTCGGTGCGCACGGTTTCTCCGGCTGCGGGTGGCATCTTCCCTTCCCAGGGCATCTTTTTAAGCACTTTGAGTTTTTTTTCACTCTCTCTGGCATCTCAGCTTCTCACCCTTCAGGATCCCAGAGCAAAATTTCCCCTGGAGCAAGCTCGGAGCCTCCTGCCTCGAAGCCTGTGGCTCCTTCCCCATAATTTGTGCCGTTTTCCTAACGTCTCCCCTTCCTTTTGCAGCCGTCCCCTTCCCTCCCACGCAGAGGCTCACGCTGAAGGAGGTGTTTGAAGACGGCAAACCTCGCCTGGACGTCCTGAAGAGCCACCTGGTGAAGGAAGGGCGCCTGGAGGAGGACGCGGCGCTGAAAATCATCAACGATGGAGCCGCCATCCTGCGGCACGAGAAGACCATGATCGAGGTGGAGGCTCCCATCACAGGTCAGGGAGCCTCCTGCCCCCTTGTTTCACCCCAGAGCAGATTTTCAGCCCTTTTTTTTCCCATCGGGGAGGTTTTGGAGTTGTTTTAGCTCTCGGAAAAGAGGGTTTGGCACAGGCTGGGTGTGAAGCTGGGGGCAGAGCGCAGCTGTGCTGCTCGGTGCTGTCGCGACCTTTCTTTTCTTAGCACGTAACTCTCTGCCTCTCTTCTCTGCTCTTTTTTCCCCCCCCCTGCAGTGTGCGGTGACATTCACGGGCAGTTCTTTGACCTGATGAAGCTGTTTGAAGTGGGAGGCTCACCCAACAACACCCGCTACCTCTTCCTGGGAGACTACGTGGACAGAGGCTACTTCAGTATAGAGGTGACAAAGAAAAGCTGAACCTGGGGGGGGTGTTAATGCTAAGCCAGCAGACCTAAAAGCTTACAAACTCTCAGAATTCAGCTTAGCAGGAAAAAAAAAAAGCACTTTGCAACCGAGCCACCGCTCCCCTGAACGTATCCACCATGCGGTGCCAGAGATGGGGTCAGGAGGGAAGGGAAAATGAATTTTGGGGCCAAAAAGGTTGGAGCAGAGGCATTTAATGATGCATCTGGCTGTGCTGTGCCTGCCTTGTCCCCAGGCAGGGACAGGGGGTGGAACATCGCGCACCCCCTTAGGGTTTTGCAGCCCTGTGGGGTGCCAGGAGCTGGGGGGCGCAGGGAGCTGCTGGTCTTAAAAGGTAAAGGGGTCACCAAAAAGCCACGGGTGACACAGGCGGCGAGGGAGAGGGGTTAGGAAATGCTGCAAAGCCCCAAACCTGCTGGAAAAGGAGCGCTTGTCCCCGCTGGAGGTGACATTTGGGGACACGGCGGCACGAAAGCCATCAAGGTGGGTGATGGGGTTAAGGCGGGAGGAGCTGCGAAATCATTTTGGTTTCTGTTTGGAGAGGAAGGGTGCTACCACAGCGGGGCTCAACCAGGGGAAATTTGCTGCTCAGGACTCGTTAAATTTTGGGGAGGAGCTCTCAAGGCCAGGAACAGAGGCAGAGGCTTCTCCGAAGGCTCCTGCAGAGGGTTTGGGGGGGTCCTGCCACCTCTCCACCTCGTGCCCAGCCCTGTGCTTGGTGTGTTCCTAAACACTGCCCAGGGCTGGCAAGGAGCTGGTTTTGGGGCTGCTGGATTTGGGGTGGTGCTGGCAGGAGGAGCCCGGCAGCCCCTGGGGAGGAAGGGGACGAGCGGAGCTCATTTTCTGCTGCTCTCGACCCTCCTCCTTCCCCTTTTTTTCCCCCTGGTGCCTGCAGAGAGGAAAACCCCCGAGCGCTCTCCGAGCCCGCGGAGATGGCACCGATCCGATCTCTCACGATTTAGGGTGGGCTTTGATGAGCACACGCGGGGGCTGATCCAAATGTCACGGATCAAGCAGCATCTGGAAGGTTTCACCCCCTTTTTCCTCCCGCCGTGTGCCTTTTCTTCCCACCTTCTGCTGCCTGCGTGCTCGGAGAGGTTCCCACCTGGGCGTGCAGCTCGGAGGATTTCTCCGAGCAGCCCCAGATCTGAGACTTTTGCTTCATTTTTTTGGGGAAGATTTTTGCTCCCTAAAAAAACTGGGGGGCCGAGGAGGCGTTCAGGAAAACCGTTCAGAATCCTGTCTTAAATAACTCTTAAATAATGGGGCCGGCTGCTTTCCCCGATGCTTTGCCAGTCGTTGGTTTCATTTCTGGGGGTTTTCCTTTCCCATTTCTCCTAGCTCAGGAGCGTGACACTAAGGCTGCAAACGTGGGAGACTAAAGCTTTAAATCCCCAAATAATTAGGAATATTTTTGTTGGGGGCACTCCTCCTGTTAGTGGATGTAAGGAAACGTGATTTTTGCTGCAGCTTGCATTACCTGCCACTGTCTCTGGCCCCATTTCTGCTCAGATTTAAAATTCGGGAGGTTTTAGGTGGTGGAAACCAACCCCAAAATGAGTTCATTTCGCTCCTGGGGGCTGTTCCCATGCTCCTGGAGATCTGCACACCACATCGGTGATGTTTTAAGGATCCAGCACTCCCCTTTTCCACGGAGCCTCCGCCGTGAAATATTTCGGGCTCCTTTGGGTGCAGCATCGCTTGGCACGACCCCTTTACAGGTGTCAGGGCGAGGGGGATGTGGGAAGCCCTCTTCAAAGCCAGCAAGGTTTCACCGACTTATTTTTTTTGGCCAGGGTTTTCCTGTTTTCAACTCAAAACTTCACGTGACCGGAGCGTGAGCAGCAAACCACCGGGTGCTGTGCAGGGAGGAGAAGCTGCCCCCACCCAGCCCAGCCCCGAATTGCGACCTCATTTGTTCATTTGTCACTTCTCCAGCTCGGCCCTAATATAGAGAAATGCTCGGGGTGGCTTTTCCCCCCCTCTCCAGCTGCCGAGGTTGGCCGAGATAAGATCTGCTGCCCGTTATGGAGCTGGGTTTCTATCAGGGTTCCTCACGCAGCTTTTTGGGTGTCTTCCCAGAAACATTTTGGGAAGCCCGCGGCTGATGGGTGCCCTATAAAAGGTTGTCACTACACGCCGTCCCCTCCTTCCCTCCCTTGCAGTGCGTGCTGTATTTATGGAGCTTGAAGATAAATCATCCCAAAACCTTGTTCCTCCTTCGAGGGAACCACGAGTGCAGGCACCTCACGGAGTATTTCACCTTCAAACAGGAGTGTAAGTATCACCCGGGTAAGGATTTAAATCTGTTCACATCTTACCCCCTTTTTGGGGGCTTATTTTGGGGTGGGAGGCAGCCACGAGTGATACCAGGTAGGTCTGGAGCTGCAAAAAAATCACATCTTTTTATCCTGCGTAGGCTGCATTTCTCCTGTTTCAGCTCCTGCTGAAAACCAAACCCATTTTGAAGTCCCACAAAGTTCTGGGTCCCCCTCCCTGACTTTTTTCAGCCCCAGCACCGTGTAATTACTGCCAAATGACTTCCAGCTCCAGCTGGTGCAGCTGGGATCGGTGATTACCACGGGAAGCAAATAAAGGATTTGCTCCTCGGTGTTTGCACCGGGGAGAACCATCACCTTCCAGACGATTTTACTGGAGTTAAGTGACTCCCTGAAAAAGAAGAAGAAAAAAATTAAAGCTCTGCTTTCAACCCGAGCAGCCTTTTGTTGTGCAAATTAATTCACTTTTCCCTTCTCTTCCTCCCCGTGCCCCCACCCCAACAGGTCGAATCAAGTATTCGGAGCGAGTGTACGATGCGTGCATGGATACCTTTGACTGTCTTCCTCTTGCTGCCCTCTTAAACCAGCAATTCCTGTGCGTTCACGGAGGACTGTCTCCAGAAATCACGTGTCTAGATGACATTAGGAAAGTAAGTCACCTCCACCACCTTTTCACGTTTTTTTGGGGTATGTTGGGCATCCCGATTGGGGTTCAGCTCCTTCTCGCTGCCCGTTTGCTGCTCCTGGTTGGCACACGTGGTAAAACTTTGGCTTTTTGGGGTGCACAGCTTAGGATTAAGGGTTTGGTTCATGGCAAGCTCGATTCACACCTGGGCTTCCAGGTTTGAGGCTCCTGTGCTCGCCGTGCGCTGAGAGGAGGCTTAAACCTCGGGGAAAATAACCACGGGACGAAGCTGGAGGCTGTCCCCAAAGCTCCGTGCGTGCTGTCCTGACGTGGTGCCCGATTTTTCAGTTAGACAGGTTCAAGGAGCCTCCAGCCTTCGGCCCCATGTGCGACCTGCTCTGGTCCGATCCGTCGGAGGATTACGGCAACGAGAAGACCGTGGAGCATTTCGCCCACAACACCGTCCGAGGCTGCTCCTATTTCTACAGGTAAGCAGCGTTTTAGGGGGCTGAGAGACCTGAGGGTTTCGTCTCCTTGTGCTGAAATGGAAAGGGAGATGAATTGCCATTCACATCTCTCTGTGGGACTCCAGAGCAGCAGCCTTCTGTTGGCTCTAATGGACAAAATCTTGTTCCCTCCTGCAATGTTGAGCTCTCTTTGGATCCGTTGCTCTGTGAAATTGGGATATCGGGCAGCAGAGATGCTTCTGCTCGTTGGCAGCCTGCCCTTTGAGTGGTTTTCAGGCGCTGGACAGTACCGGGAGCTCTAGGAAATAATCCTTTCCTGGCTAAAAGGGGAGCGTTTGTGCTGACAGACCACTTGTAGCCTGGCTGATGGGGAGGATTTGGCACCAGGGGGCTGTTATCAGAGCGCTTCGCAATTAATTTTGGGGTGATGCAACAGATGCTGGCCTCGTTTGGGGATGCTGGGCGCAAACTGAGCAGATGCTGAAAGTGGAAACCGAGACCTCGGGCGCTCCCTCTTCTCTCTTGCTCCGTGCTAACGCGTGTTTTTCTTTTGCAGTTACCCTGCAGTTTGTGATTTTTTGCAGAACAATAGTTTGTTATCTGTAATCCGAGCTCACGAAGCCCAGGACGCTGGGTAAGTGCCCGAGCAGCCTCCCCCTGCCTCCGTGCCGGCCGCGCGGGGCAGGAGCGGCGCGTTTCACGCCTGACCTGCTTTCCAGGTACCGAATGTACAGGAAGAGCCAGACAACAGGCTTTCCGTCGTTAATCACAATCTTCTCTGCACCAAATTACCTAGATGTCTATAACAACAAGGGTAAGGCTGGCAGGACCAGGGCTGGGCTGTGGGTACCGGCGTCACGCTCCCAGGAAATCCCTCTCCATCATCTTCTGCCCTCTCCTCTGCTTGCGTTTGCATGCCTGAAATTAAAAAAAAAAAGCTTTCTGTGCTAACCCGCTGGCAGCTGGGGAGCTGGAAGTGGCTGGCTTCTCTGCCTCAAAGATCTCAGCCGTTACTGTGGCAATTAATTGTCAAGTGAGAGCCTGGAATAATGCTCTCGTTCCCAGCCGCATGACAGCCCAGCGCTCCCGATGCCATAAAAGAGAAGCTGCTTGTACAGGCAAGCTGCAACTTCCCCGTTCCCCTGGTACCATCTACGTACTATGGGGAACTTCCCTAAAATGTATTTTTTTTTTTTTACCCCTCCCTTTGGATCTTGGCTCTGTGCACAGCACCTCTGCATTGATTTTAACAGCGTGGTTAAATTCACCCTCATTATTATTACGAGTTTTTGATAAATCATCTAAAAAACACTGCTTAAGCTCTGGGTTTGGGTAACTGGTGGTTTGATTCTGCATGAGTTCAGCCTCTTGTTGCTGCTGGTAATGAAGTTTTAATTAGCAGAGGTGCAACCCCCTGAGGCTGTGTTGTGTCTCCTCGCTCTCTCCCCAGCTGCTGTCCTGAAATACGAAAACAACGTCATGAACATCCGGCAGTTCAACTGCTCCCCTCACCCCTACTGGCTTCCAAACTTCATGGATGTCTTCACATGGTCTCTGCCTTTCGTGGGAGAGAAGGGTAAGGGCTGTTGGGATGGATTTTTTGGGGTTGCACAGGGTCTGGTCATGGTTTGAACCCCCGAGTGTGCAGAACCTGTGCCACGAACCAAGTGCGTTGGGTCAGTGCCACAACTTCTTGTAGCAGATACCACGGGGAGAAGTGCTCAGGTTCAAGGAGAGCCACGTGTTACTGGCTGAAACTTGAAAATAATCATCGATACCTGCTCTAGAAAGCTTTTTCCAACAAAACAACCCCTTCCTCCTAATTCTGCCTGGCCGGTGGAGCCGGTCTCGGTCGGTATCGCCCTGCCTGGGGATTTGGAGACGTTTTCCCTCGCTCCTCGTGTGCAGCAGAGGAATGAAAATCTCCTGCTGGCTGGTGGCCAGAAAGGAAGCGTTCACTTGGATGTGAAGGCTTAGATCATTTTGAAGGAGGTGAGGCTGCCTAAAATACATCCAAGCCTTCGCCTCGCTTTCCCGGCGAAGGAATCTTTTACACCTCCTGGCGGCTCTTAAATTCCCCAGCGGAGCCGTGGGTTTCGAGGACGCCTTTAAAGTCCCCAGCCCAAGGATTTTTGACTTTGAGGGAGCCGAGGGTTGAATTCCCCGCAGCCCTGATGCTCTCGGAGCCAGGTGGCTCGGAGCTGTGCAGGTTTGGGGTGGGGAGGCAGCGATGCTGGCACCCCGCTCCCCACGGCTGCTTCATCTGTGCTGCGCTTGGACCACAGCCACCTCCTTGGCAGAAGGTGCAGAGGATGTCGTCTGCTCTGGGTACTGCTGCGAGGCACCAGCAGCGAGCAGCTCAAAAAGTGGCTTTGGGATCCTACTTCCAGAGGGAAAAACGACCTTGAAATCGTTCCTTTGTCCGGCTCGTCCTCCCCATCCCTCCTCGTGCCAAACGCGCGCGCACCCGGCCTCTCTCATCTCCCTGTCTCTGCTTCTTACAGTCACAGAAATGCTCGTTAACATCCTCAACATATGCTCCGATGATGAGTTGATTTCAGACGGCGACGAGACATTGGAAGGTAAAAAAAACAAAAACTGCTGGGACTGAGCTGGTAACGGGGAGGGGAGGTGACGGTGGGGACAGGTCTGGGACATCAGCTCCAGGGTGCTCAGCACCTGATTTATGGCTCGCTGCCCTGCCGGGGGCTCCAGATCCTTTTTGGCCAGCCCTTGTGCAGCCACGGGTGGGAAACTTTTTTCTTTTTTTCCCTTTGCTGCTCAATGACAGCGGAATTGAGTTACATTCCCTGTGACAGACGCTCCTTGCCAGCTCCTCTGGAGAACGGTTTCCTGCTCCTTGCAGGGACTGCTTCCCAAGCTGGTATTTTATTTTTTTTTTCCCCCCTGAATCTAAATTTGCTGCAGCAGAACATCCACCCAGTCTGCTCATCTGTTGCACCAAACTCCTCTAAAGTGGCTCCTCGTGGCAGCCCAGAAATGGAGCTCACAGCTTTTGGCCCCGCTTTTAAGCTGTGCGTCAAAAGGGGAAAAAAAGGCAGAGGCTTGGTGGCAGCTTGTGTCAGGGGGTGGCAGGGACATGGTGGGGGTCTCAGGGGGGGCTGCTGGCACAGGGTGGAGTAAAATCAGTCCCGCAGGGCAGCAGAACACCACGGGGCTCTAAAAAAAAGGCGCCGCTTCGGCCGACAGGTTGACTTTAACCCGCTTCTCCCATTTGCATTTCGTTTTTTTTGGTTTTCGTTGTTTTTTTTTTGGTTTGTTTTTCTTTCTCCCTCCCATGAGAAATTAAATTTGTTTCTTCTATCTCTGTCTTCATCTACTTGTTTCTTGGTGTCTCCTCTCCCTGAAGATCACTACATTTCAAGCTATCCGAAAGGTACCCAGCTAGAATTTGCTACCGGCTTTAATTTTTCACTGCCTGTGCCACCAGATTCCTCGGAGTGGATTTGACTAGCTGACTAGTTGGGCAGCCTCTTCATCCCCTTTTCAGTTTTAACATAAGCGCCGTGTGTTTTTTAACCCTTCTGCGTTCCTCCAGGAGCTCGAGGAACGGGGGGGTCACGTTTCTCTCTGACTTCTGAATGCAGCCACCTAGTGCATGGCTGGGCCATGGGTGCATGCTGGACCTCCGGTTTGGCTTGTCCTGTCCTGATGTGTACTTGGGCCATGTGAAGAATCTCAGCCGAGAGGAGATGTGTCTTGTTACCTCGTTTACCTCGGTTTCTGTTTGTTTCCAGTTACCCTCCGTGCTTTTTCTCCCACGTTTGGTCTGTGTAGGGGCGAGGGGAGCTCTCACCTCTCACTCCGTGTGCGCGCGGGGCTCCGGCCAGCCCTTGGCTGCGTGCCCGGGGTGCCCGAGCTGGTGCTTGCCTTGACACCTCCGAGCACAGCCCCGGCGTCCCGCGGTGTCCATCAGCACCCAGCCCCATCCACGTTCTGCCTTGCACACCCGCCTCTCCGTGGCTGAGCCATTTGTGTCCCATCCCGTGCAGCGCGAGCCGACCCGGTGAGCTCCTGGTGACGGCGCCCGGCCGAGCTCCCTTCCCTTTGGTGGTTCTTTACTCTCAGACCTCTCGAGTCCGTGTTGTCATCCTGTCGGTGTTGCCATCCTGGGCGCTGTTCTCTCGAGAGCCTAGCTGTGAAATCTGCAAACCATGAGTTTTTATTTTATTTTATTTATTTATTTTTTTTTTCTTTTCCCGGAGTTCAGGCAGGGGCTTGGCGCTGACGTTGCGCCTCCGAGGGGGAAAACCTTAACCATGCCGGTGGTGTTTTGTTTTTTGTTTCTTTGTTTTTTTTTTCTCCCCAAGGTGGGACAACGGTCCGTAAAGAGATCATCAGGAATAAGATCAGAGCCATTGGGAAGATGGCACGTGTCTTCTCGGTGCTTCGGTAAGGACGTGGCACGGTCCTTACTCCCATCTCGCTCTGGGGCTGGCGGTGCGCGCGCGGTCCAGGCTGCTGCTTTCGGGCAGGTGGCAGAGGCTGTGGGTGCTCTCAGGCTTCTAAAAAAAAATTTTGGTTGAGCTTTGCGTGGTCCTCGTGGTGCTGGGATGAGTTTTTTTGGTGGCGGAGGCAGAGGTGCTGCGCTCAGGAGGCAGGTTCAGGTCGTGCTCGTTGCCAAATATCAGCTCCCCGCTTGTTGCATGGACCCGTCCCAGCCCCGTGCTCATCTCTCAGTCTGTATTTTTTAATTTTTTTTTATTTTTATTCGCAGAGAGGAAAGCGAGAGCGTGCTGACCCTCAAAGGCCTGACTCCCACAGGTACCCTGCCCCTGGGAGTGCTCTCAGGGGGGAGGCAGACCCTGCAGACGGGTGAGTACGAGCCCGGCGCGCTCCGTGCCGCACCACCCCCGGCCCCTAGCTCTGCATCTGGCCCCCAGCTGTCCTGGAAATTGCTCCCTCGCTTTCCTTAGGCGTGCCTCGGGGTCCCGGGGGACCTGAGGGATGCTTCAAGCCCCCGGGGAGGAAGGATTCCCAGGCAGCAAGCAAGCAGCAGCAGAGGTGGGGGTGCGCAGAGCTTTCCGTGCACCCCGGAGAGCTTTCCGTGCACCCCGGAGGAAGGGAATACGAGGAAGAACAGCCAGCAAACAGCACCCAGCCCAGAGCACGCCTGTTCCTTAATTTTTTTTAATCTATTTCTGCAACAATCGGGCATTTCCCTTCTAACCCTGCCTCCTCAGCATCCTCTATTTCATCTCTCCGTGGCTGCTTCCATCTGAGCGCAGCGACGAACCCCACGCCTCCCCGTTTGTCCTTGGCTACCCGACCCCTCCTGGGCGGGACCCGAGGAAATCGTGCAGCCCGGCGGAGGAAGCTGAGGTTTTTAGCCCAAGCATCCAGACCCTCCGGGCCTCTGATGTTTCCTATTAAGACTCCTTTAGGCCCCGTGGTTTTGGGCTGCTTTGGGATTTTTGCTCTGCGCTCTGGCTTGCGTTGCTCCCGCCCTCGCCAGCGCTCTGTGCCGAGAGTCAGGGAGGGAGTTCTCGCACCAACACGTGTCCCTGGGGGGGAATCCTGTAATTTTGAGGGTTTTAATCCTTTCCTGCCGCCAGTTTTTTGAGTGCTGGCATGGAAGCAGCCCGCTTTCCCCCTTCTGACCAGCGCCGGGTGGTTTCCTAAGGGCTCGGAAGAGCTTTTGCTCCAGGATGGACTCCAAAAAATAGTTTGTAAGGGAGGAACGTGGCAGCTCCATCCCTCGGCTTTAGCTGCAGCAGGGTCTCCTCCTGCAGCACGGCGTGGCAGAACTGTGCCGCTTCCTTCCTCCTCCTCCTCCTCCCCCTCCTCCTCCTCCTCCTCCTTTTTTAGCCTCTCGAGGACCGTGTGGCCTTCGCGTTGCGGCCAGCGCCAAACCGGCAACGTTTTGGGGCTGAAAACGGGGGATCTGGTCAAGGAAAAGAAGTGGCTGCTCCCAGATGTCGAGGCAGGGACTCGATCCAAACTTCTCAGCCTGCAGCAGCCCCGGCGAGGGGGGGATAGAAGGGATAAAATTGCTCAGCTCCGTGGTGCCGTGGTTGCCTGGGGGCACTTTTGGGGCTCGGAGCAGGAGCGCGAGTGGATTTGAAGCATCAGCCGGGTTTTGGTGGTGGAATTCAGGCCAGCTCCCTGCTTCTGCCTTCCTTCCCCTGGGGTTTATCCCCGTGCTGGCACCCGGGGGAGCCCCCTCTCTGCCCCCAGCTCCTGTCCCCTTCCTTCTCCACCGCTCGGTTTCGGCTGCCTCCACCGGGGGTGGGTGGCTGCGGGCTCTGCACCCGCGGCGCTGATGTCGGATCACTCACTCTCACTCTTTTTTTTCTTTTTTTTTTTCTTTTTTTCTTTTTTTTTTTCTGTCTCCATTTTTGCATGCCACTCTTCTTCTGTATTACAGCCACAGTAGAAGCGGTAGAGGCACGGGAAGGTATGGCTAGAACCCGGCGAGAGCCTCGGATCATCTCCGTGTGTGTGTGCGCGCTGATCTTAACCAGCTTTGTCGGCCTCGTGGATGCTTTTTTTTTCACTCTTGCATCACCAGAAGGGAGGGAGGAGACCCTGCTGGGGGGGGAAAAGCACACAGAGGGCTGGGGCAGGGTGATTTTAGCAGTCACCGAGCCCACCCTGTCCCCTGGAGTCCTTGAGACCCCGGTGCCGGGGTCCTGCGACCTCATGGCTGAGCTCACCCCCTGGAAAACTCAATCCCATAACAACTTGACCCAAATCCTTCGGGATCAGCGGGTCGCTGATGTCATTTTTGCCTTCCCCCAGGTGGGCCAAGACGCTCCCGGGGTGGAGGAGCAATTTTTTTCCCTGCTGTTCTTGCAGAAATCAAGGCTCGGTCAGCCCAGGGAGCTTCTCCCCTCCGTAGCTCCGATGAATGTGGCCACACATCTGGGGCCGGCTTGCCAGAGGAAGTTTATTTGCAAACCAGCCAAGTCCTTGCGGAACAATTTGGCTCCAAACCCCCTTTTTTTTTTTTTTAACTTCTCTATAAGTTGAACATTTGGCCTGTGTCATCGCCGTGAGGGTCCCGGGCTCTGCCTGGTGGCGGTGACCCAGGTGCGCGCCCATGTCCGGGGATGGATTTCGTCCCCCGGGTGCCTCCTGGTGATGCAAGAAGCGCTGCACTCATCATCCGAGGCCTTTTTTTGTGCTTTGTGCTGGATTTGAAGCCTTGCGGTGGTGTCCTCGTTGGTGTGCTGTGTGGTGTTGTTGTTATTTTTTAGTTTTTTAGCATCGTGGGTTTTTTTTGCAGCTTTTCCAAGTCCCCTGACGTTTTGCCGTCCGGGGCCGTTGAGCACTTGTCTGGTCTCCGAGCTCCTTCTCCTAAATCAGATGCCACCGGGGAGCAGGGCCAGGACCTGTGCCCCCTCCGGCGCTGCTGGTGGCCCAGTTTGCATCCCAAACTGGGGGAAACTGGGAGGAACTGGGCGATGCCCAACACAGAGCCCCAGACACGTGCTTTCGGCCACCCCGGCGGTGCCCTGTGCGTCTTGCCGTGTGCCGCGGGGCTCCCCGAAGGGGGACCCCAATTCCTCATCCCTTTTAACCCTTTTTCTCTCCCCTTTTTTCCCCCGCAGCCATCCGTGGGTTTTCGCCCCAGCACAAGATCCGCAGCTTCGAGGAAGCCCGAGGGCTCGACCGCATCAACGAGCGCATGCCGCCGCGCAAAGATTCGGTGCACTCGGACGGGCCGGTGAACTTGGTAACCTCAACAAACTCTGCGGACAAGAACGGCACGGGGAAGAAAGCCCAGTAACGGGTCCGAGCGCCCGGTCTGCACCACTAAAGGATCCAAAACTTAATGAATTTTATTTATTTATTATTGGGGGTTGGGGGGCGGGGGCAGGGGAGAAAACCAACTTCACCTGGAGGCACGTTCATAATCCAGTTTGCATCCGTTCTGTAAGAGAGGTGACCATTTGTAAGTTTTTTATTTATGTTCGGTATATATATATAAAAAAACTCCATCTTTTTTTTTTTTTTTTTTTAATTTAGAAACCAATCTGACTGCTAGAGCATTGTCCCGAGCGTTGTGCCTGCACAGCTCACCCCCGGGGGAGGCAAACCTCGGCGGAGAGGGGGGGGTCACCCCGAAACAAACCCAGTCCCAGGCAATTTGGGTCGTCCACTCCGGTACAAATCTCGGTTTAGGCTGTGCTTCCCCAAGCAGCTCCTTTTAAAATCGGGTTGGTTTGGTTGGTTCTTTTTCTTTTTTTTTCTTTTTTCTTCTTTTTTTGTTCACGGCTGTCTTCTTCCCAGAGTTTGCTGTTGTTTTCTTCTGCTTCTTGCCCACGCTGCGAGCGGCTCGGGTCCAGCCCCGTGCTTCAGAGGTGACCTCCCAAAATGTGTTCCCAAGTCCTCGGGTGTTTCGTGGCACCTTTTTTTTTGGTAATTCCGTTTTTGGGCCAGCGGAGCCCAAAGCAAAAAGCGCAGCCTCTGGTTAGGATCGGGGAGGGGGGGCAGGCGCATCCTTCAAGCCCTGGCTCTCCGACCCCACGTGGCTGCGGTCCCTTTGGGACTCCTCTGATTCACAGCAGAGGAATTATCTCCAGGAAACATGCGTGGCCCAAATTTTTAAGGGAAAAGAGGGTGATTTTTGACTCATGGATAGAAAAACCCCTCTGCTGCCACTGTGGGGCTGGCGGCGCGCTCCCCTCCCCAGAGCCAAAATCCCTCCCGACCACCCCAGGTGAATTTTTTGGGGGTCTTTCACTCGATGGGGGCTTGGGGAAGGATGAGCCGTGGTTTTGCCAGTTTTTGTGCAGGGATTTTGACTTTTGAGAGGCTTTGCAGGAAGTTTTGAAATCCCTCCCTTGGCTTTGGAGGGTTTGGCAGCAGGTAGAGGAACCCAGGATCCAGGCAGAGGTTTTTTGGGGGGGCTGTTTGTTTTGGAGAGCCCCCCCCCAGGCAAAAGGAGGGCAGTGAGGGAACGAGAAGGGTTTTTTGCAAACCCTCTTGGAGGGTTTCGAGGCTTGGCTGTGTGCGCAGAGGGTTTTTGCCTCTCCGGGGGCTCTTTGTGGGCTCCTTTTGGCCCCGCAGGAGCCAAAAACCACGGAGGAGAGCAGCAATTTTGCAGGGAGCCGCCCCGTGCACCACCTTTAACTCCACGCCAGCTCTTTAGGAAGCAGCACCCGTGAGCAGACCCCCGGATTTTTTCACGAGAGACTTCGAGTCTCCGTGCCTCCACTTCTCTTTTTTTTTTTTCTTTTCTTTTTTTTTCTTTTCTACACGCCCACTGCTTTGCAAAAAGTGCGAGATGTTTTGAGCGAGCTTCTCTAAACCCCATACGAGGCGTGGGGCCAATTGCCTTTGTCTGTGAGTATCTCTCGATTCTTTTTTTTTTCTTTTTTTTCCTTTTTTTTTAATTTTTATGGCATCCTTTCCGAATCGCAGTGAGCCCATGTGTGGTATCTTCCTCCGAGAGCGCAAAAAACCGTGGCAAAGGTGCTGCCCGTGCATGTTTTTAGGGCATGTTGTTCTCACCCAGGCTGGGATCTCGCCCCAGCAGCAGTTTTGGGGATTTTTGGGACGGGGACACGGCCCCTTAGAGGGGGGGGCTCCCCCCACGAGGGATCCCCTCGTGCTCCTCCGGGGGCTTGCAGCAGTTTTGGGGTGGCAGGATCGGGTGGCACGGATGGTCCCCATCCCCTCGCCACCATGACGGGGCGTGGGTGCTAATTACCCCCTCGATTATCACTCATTAAGCCCGGAGGAGCAGCTGGAGAGGGGTGGGCAGCGCTTCTGCGCCCCCCCTTGCACCCAGCTGGGGCGCAGCCTCTCCTCCTGGCCACATTTTGGGGACGCAGCCGGCGAGGTGGGGCGAAAAAAAGCCAAAAAATCCAATTTCCACCCAATTTCCACCAAATTTCCACCAAATTTCCACCTCTGGCCGGCGCCTGGGAGCTGCGCACACCCCAAAATCCCTCATCTCAGAGCTCCGACCCGTCTCCCTCCCCGGCCGGCCCCCCCCAAAAAATACAAAACCAGTGAGCACGAGGGGAAGCCCAGCCCGGGGCTCGCTCCTTTGCAGGCTGGCCTCGCAGCCTGGGTTTTTTGGTTTTTTTTTGCATGTTTAGAGCAAAGGTGCATGAAAAAAGGAGGGGAGGCAGCGCCACGTCGGGCACGGGGTTTTTGGGAGAAGCCCTCGCCCCCCCCGTGCCAGCCCCCCCAGGGGAGGCCCCAAAACCCCCCCCAAAAGGGGCTGCGTGCTGGGATGGTGATTTATTTTTTTAGGGTTCTCGATGCTTGAAGGATCTTTGAACGCCCGTTGCCTGGAGACTGCCTCCTTTATTTTATTTTATTTTTATTTTTATTTTATTTTATTTTATTTTATTGTTTCTCGCTTTTTTTTTTTTTTTTTAGTTACGTTTAAAGGAAAAAAAAAAAATTACTGGTGAAAATGTTATTTATTGGCAGAAATTATTTAATATAATTTCTTTTTTTTTTTTTTTTGTGAACAAGGAATGAATTTGTTAGAACCGTCTTAATGTAAATCGGAAGTCATCTTTAAGGAGAAAAAAAAAAGAAAAAAAAAAAGAAAAAAAAAGTTTAAAAAATTGACGCAGTCGCTCGGCTCCGCTGTGGTTCCTTGGGGGCAGCCCCCGGGGCTTGGGGAGGGAGGGGTTGGGGGATTTTGGGGTTTGGGGAGCCCTTTTTGGGTCCAAAAAAGGGACGAGGTGCCGTGCTGGTGCTTCCAGTGCCCAGTTGCGCCTCGGCGCTTGGCCTCACCTCCTTGGAGAGCCCTCAGCCTCCTCTCCTCGCCCTTAAAATGGGTAAATAACGAAATAACTCTCTTTTTGGGGCCGGGGGGGGGATGTTGGCTCCTTCTTTTCCCCTCACCATCCTTCTCCTTTCTCTCCAAGGCTCGTCGGAGGAGCGGAGGCGCCGCCTCCCGCCGTCGAGGCCACCTCTCCATGCGCTCTCCGACCCCCTCATCACCCCCACCACCCTTTTTTTTTCCCTTTTTTTTCCCCTTTCACCCCTTTCCATGACCTCACCCCACCACCACCACCTCCCCAACCTTCCCCCCCGGATTGGGGTCAGCCTCCGGCCTCGCTCCCCTTCGGGGGTCTCCCTTTTGGCCTCGCCGTCCCCCGGCCTCGCGGCGCGCTCCCGGCTGGCATCGGCGCGCTGAGCAAACAGGAAACACTCGCCCTTTGTTAATCCTGGCCCGGCTGCGCGTTAAATATTTATCTGCCCGCGGAGGCTGGTGCTGGGAGCGGGGCGGAGGGAGGCTGGGACGGAGGCCGGTGGCACGGGGACGCAGCCCGGAGGCTGCCGAGGTGAGCGCGGCACCGACAGGGCACGGAAACGGGTGCGAAAAGGGGGGTTTTGGTGACGGTGAGGGGTCATGGGGGGGGTTTCGCACTTGGAAAGGCTGCGACCTCTGGGGGACCTCTGGGTGGCACTGGGGACGTGGTGGGGTGAGCGGGGGCGAGGACGGGATGGGGTCCCCAGCACCTGCGGGCTGTGCCAGCCTGCACCCCTAATTGCTGCCCTATAAATTGTTGCCCCCCAAATTGCTACCCCCTAATTGCTGCCCCCCTAATTGTTGTCCTCTAAATTGCTCCTGTGCTGCCTCCCCACGGCCGGACTCTGTTCCCTTTGGGGTTCCACCTCCTCCAGGAGCCAGGAGGGTGCCCTCTCCCGTCACCTTTGTCCCTTGGGTGCCCCCGCGCCCTGCGCCTTCGTCCCCAGCTGCGGTTTCTCGGTGGGGGAGGCCGGCACCGAAGCCCCCCCCTCCCGCTCAGCCTCCGCTCCTGGCGGGGGGAGGCCGGGCCTCACGTGAGGAGCACGGGGCAGGGAAGGGCTGGGGCTGCCCGGTTTCGGGGCCTGTCAGCAGTTTTGGGGAACGGCGAAACCGGGAAGCGAGCGTGGTGGTGGGGAGCACCCGGAGGGGACCAGGTGGGCTCGGGGGGCGCGCGCCCACCCTGGGGTTGGTGTGTCCAATGGGGGGGTCCCCAAATCCTGCCCCCTCCCCAAAAAAGGGACAGGAGGTCACCGTAGGAAATCGGGCAGTGGGGATGGGGATTGCGTTGTCCAGTGCACCCCCGTTGAGGGGTTGTAGGGCAGCACGGAGCCCCTCTCCGCACCCCAGACCCCAACCGAGCTATTTTCTCCCCAAAACCCCCCTCCAGAAGCCCCCCTTTGGCCAGCAGGGAGGACCCCACGGGGGGTGCCTGCAGCGGGGGGCCGTCGGCGCCGGGCTTGGCCCCGTGTCGTCAGCGGGAAGGCGTGCGCGGGGCGTGGGATGAGTTCAGCCTCTTGGCTCTGCTCCCTGGATCCCGTTCCTGGAAATGTCACTGGAAACTCTGAATGGGCCGGCCCCGCTCCAGAGCGGGGCGCACTGGGGGTGGGGGGGGACACAAACGTGCCCCAAAGGGGGGGGGAACCAGGGCACGTGGGCACCCGTCGGAGAGCTCGGGATCATCCACGGGGCTTGGGGCTGCTGCTGCAAGGGGGGGTTTGGGGATGCTGCAGGGGGTCTGGGCTTGGGGGGCCTCTCCCCGCCACCCACCCGCTGCGTGCTGAGCTCGCGGAGAAACATCTCGGGCTTGAGTTCCTCGCCCCTGCCTGCTGCTCCCCGCTCCCCCCGCCGCCCACCGCCTCCGTCCCGCGCCCCGCGGGGCTCCACGGGCCCCATGCGCGGCCCCGCTGCCTGCGGGCCCCCAGCCCGGGAGGTAAGAGGGGGCTCCGAGGGGGTTCAGAGGGGTTACAGGGGTCGGATGGGGTGCAGGGGGTGTGGGTGCCTGCACCCGGCTTTGCTCGCCTTAGGGTGAATGTTTCCCGGGGTGTTAATCCCGTTAATTACTGGCGGGTTCAGTGCGGAGCTGGTGATGGTGGGAGTGGGGGGCTGGGGGTCCCACGTAGGTGACATTTGGGGTGCTGGGGGTGAGAAGGCAGCCGGGAGGGGCTCCTCAGCCAGCTGGCTTTTTGAGGAGGGGTCTGCGAGGTGCTTGGGGCCATGCCAGGATCCCCCAAGGTGCCCAAGACCCCACACGGAGGGGTCCCACGGGTGAGGGGCGCAACGCGGTGCCGCCGTGCCCGGTGTGCACGGTGATGCTCGGGGGGCTCCCGGGCAGGGGGCGAGCAGGACACGGGTGCTGACAGCACCCCAAAGGGCTCCCCTCGTGCCGGAGCCACCCCAAAGTAGGGGGAACAAGGGGGTTAAGGGGACAGGGGGGGGGGGTCCCATCCCCATCCTGCTGCGCCCCCGCCCCAGTGCTGCAGCCCTGGCAGCGCGCTGCGGCGGTGACTCATGAGCTGCGCCTCTGCCGCCCTTCCCACTCCTCCCGCTGCTGCTCTCCTCCTGCTTCTCCTCCTCCCCTCCCTGTTTGCTTGGCAGGGTGGGGAAAAATACTTTTTGGACTTTCTGTTTCGTTGCTCGGCCCCGGGGGGGAGGCTGCGCCCGCTCCCCCCCCCCTTCTGCCCCCACATGCCCGGGCGCGCTTCGCCCTGGCGGCTCCCGGCACGGCACGGCGGGGACGTGGCTGGCACCGGGATGCCAGGACGATGTGCCACCACTTGGCCACCACGCCAGCCCTCCCCTGGGTGTCTTTTTTTTCCCTTAAAAGGCTCACGGGGATTTTGGGGGCCCCCAGGCAGAGCCCCCTGGAGTGGAGCTGGTGGAGCCGGGGGGCACGGGGCTGCCTGTGGTGGGGGGACGTGGGTTTGGGTGGGGGGTTCCCGAAGGTGGTGCCAAGCCCTGGGGGCTGGATCCGTACGTGGCCACGTGGAGAACAAGTGGGGGAGCGCCGAGGGGGCTGGGGGGGCACAGACCCGCTGTGAGGGGTCCTATAGGGACCCATGGGGGGCCCTATCCTGGCTCTGAGCCCGGAGGCCGTGCCCCTGTGCCCCCCAGCAGGGTTATGGGGACCCCCTCCCAGCACGATGGTGAGTGGGGCCGGGGGCTGTGGGACCCCTGTGCCTGTCGAGGGGGGATTTGGGGAGCTGCTCCTCAACCCCCCCCCCCCCCATTCGCCCTGTCCTCGTGCAGCAGGTGCCCATCATCCGCCACCGCGGCTCCAACACGCTGAATTTCGACTTCCACGACCCCTCCCCAGCTGAGCACGCCCGAGCCGCCCCCAGAACCCCAGGTACCTGCCCCAAACCCCCCTGGGGCGCCTGCCCTGCACCCTTGGGACCCAGCAGCTGCCCCACGCGCTGCCCAGCGACACCCAGGGGTGTCACCACCCTCCCCATCACCTCGTCCTCAGCCACCGACTGGTACCAGACCTGGCCGGCCAAGGAGGCGAAGGCTCCCGGCACCCCAGCACCCACTCAGGACCCCATGCAGGGCCCGGGGGCTGCCGCACCCCCACATCCCACCCCCAGCTGCCCGCGCCCACCGGGCTGGTCGGCCACATGGACCAAGGACAGCAAGCGGCGGGAGCGGCGCTGGGTGAAGTACGACGGCATCGGGCCGGTGGATGAGACGGGGATGCCCATCGCCTCGCGCTCGGTGAGTCGGGGGCGTGGGGCCGGGCTCTGCCACCCCCTCGGGACCCTTCCTCACCGTCCCCGTGGTGTCCCTGCAGAGCGTTGACCGCCCCCGGGACTGGTACCGCAGCATGTTCCAGCAGATCCACCGCAAGCTGCCTGGTGAGTCCCGGTGCCGCCGGTGCCGCCGGTGCCACGGCGCGGCACGGTGCCCCCTCAACCTCCTTCTCCTTCCCCACAGAGCCAGACTGGGACGCCCAGCACTGCCCCACAGGTAGGTGCTGCCTGGGGATGGCACCGCAAGGCTGGGGACCCCCAGGACCCCCCCCAGGAGCCCCAGCTCAATGTGGTGTTCCCGTGTCCCCCCCCCCTCAGAGCCGCGGAGGAAAGGGCAGCCAAAATCCGAGCGTCCCAGTGTGCCCAACGGGACGGACTGGTGAGTGTGGTGGCAGGGGGTGGCATCGCCATGGGGGCACGGGGACGCTGTCCTCAGCAAGGTGCCCGCATGGCACGGGGGGGCTCAGCTCCCCCCGGCTCCCCGCAGGGCCCAGTGGGGTGACCCCGGTGCGGACGCAGAGCCCGGCAGCATTTTTGACTACGAACCGGGGAAATCCTCGGTGCTGGAGCAGCCCGGGCAGGTAAAATGGGGGAAATTCCTCCTGAAACAGCACAAAGCCTCTCGGGGGGTGCCCACGGGCACTGTGGGGTGCCCAGAAATAACAGCCCCCTGCCCTTTTACAGCCCTCAGCAGTGGTGCCCCAGCACGAGCTCAGCCCATCGAGGTAAGCTGCTGAACCCAAAGCCCTGGTGGCTGGGGGGTGGCTGGGGGGGGCTGGGGGTGGCAACGGGGGTCCCGCTGGCACAGGGCGGTGCCCGGGTCGCCCCCCACAGCCCCGTCCTGCCCACGCAGGTGCTGCTGCAGCAGGAGCTGGAGCAGCTGAGCGAGGAGCTGGACAAGGACATGAGGGCCATGGAGACGCGCCAGCAGCCCCACAAGGTACCCGCACCCCTGCCACCCCCCCGGGGGGGTGATGGAAGATGTCTGAGCGCCCCGATGCGCACCCATCCGGACGTGTGCGCCCACCCAGAGGTGCACCAAACCCAGATGTGCACCAAATTCCAGCTGTGCGCCCAGCCAGCTGTGCGCCCACCCGGCTGTGCGTGCGCCCAGCGGGCCCCGGCGGCGCACCAAGGGGGGCGCACACCCGGCTGGATGCGCACCCAGCAGGATGGGCGCACAGCTGGATCCCCGCACATCTGGGTGGGCGCACAGCTGGGTCCCCGCACATCTGGGTGGGCGCACAGCTGGGTCCCCGCACATCTGGATGGGCGCACAGCTGGATCCAAAAGGACGTGCCCGTGGCCGTGGCGCCGTGGAAGCTAGGACCCAGCCCGGCGGCGCCGTCCGGCTGGCTGCCGCTGGCTGTGCGCAGCCGGAGCTGGACTCCCTCGCTTCCCGCGGAGACTCGGCCTCTCGGATGATTAATTTTTCTCTCTCCCACCCCCTTCCCGCTCCTCTCTCTCCGGCAGAGCTCGGCGGCTGCTCCCACCGCTCGCTCCCCTGCTCCGGCCTCTCCGGCGCCTCGGTGAGTACGGCCGCCCGCTCCCCAAAACCCCCAGCCCCAAAATCCCCCAGCCCCAAATCCCCCAGCCCCAAATCCCACAGCCCCAAATCCCCCAGCCCCTCTCCAGCCATGGGATCACCTGCGGGACGGGACCCCACTCGTGGCTGGCTCATTCCTCGCAGAGATTTGGCCTACTTTGGGGTGCCCACCCTGACATCCCGCTCGTCCCCACGTCCCCCCCCCACCACCACCCCGAGCCCCCCCGTGGCTCCGCTGGCTGCGCCCTCCCCACGGCCGGACACGGGTGGGGAGCTCGGAGGCCGGAGCAGCTCCGGGCTGGGCTGGCTGCCCGCTGGGTGGGACGGGGCTGGGACGAGGCTGACCCTTTCCCCTGTCCGGCCCGCGCGGGGACACCGTGTCCCGGAGCTTGGCTCAGCCCCAGGGGAGGTGCCGGGCGCTGGCTTCCCACGCCGCGGGGAGGGGACACCGGTGACAGCAGCCCCTGGGGGTTGGGGAAGCCACCCCCCCTCCAGGACCCCCCCACCCCATGCACCAGGACCCCAGGGTTCAATACCGGGGGGTCTTTCCTCGAGCTGCGCCCCAGGATGGAACATTTTTGGTGGCACGTCACCCGCTGTCCCCCACAGGAGCCCGCTGTCCCCCCGCCGGCTGCAGAGCCCCCCCGGTGCCCCCCACCCGCCCGCCAGCCCCAGCATGGAGAGGGGGGGGCTGGGGCTGGCCGGGGAGCGGAGCCGTGCGGCCCCCAGCAGAGGTGAGACCCCCCCCCCAATTTAAACCCAGATTTGGGGCACTCCCTGCCCTTCCTGCCTCCTGGTGACCCCCCCAAGCTGGTGGCACCCCCCCAAAGTGACACCCCCCTCCTTGCAGACCTCAGGCCCGGCACCCTCCCCAGCCTGTCGGATTTTGGGGACCCCGCAGAGGCTGTCAAGAGGGAGGAGAAGAAGGTGAGGCCCCTTCCTTGGGGGGGTCGGGGATGGCCAGGGAGGGGCCCCCCCCACCCTTAACCCACTCTCCCCCCAGATGAAAGCTGCCCGCCTCAAATTCGACTTCCGAGCCGAGTCCCCCAAGTAAGTGACGACGTCCCCGTGTCCCCAAGGGTCCTTGCAGGGGGGGGGACCAGAGCTAAGGGGGGGGACACACGCCGGTGCCCCCCCCCCCGGGGCCGGCGTCCCTGAGGGCTGCTGCTGGCAGGGAGCTGACGCTGCAGAAGGGGGACATCGTCTACATCCACAAGGAGGTGGACAGGAACTGGCTGGAGGGCGAGCACCACGGCCGCGTGGGCATCTTCCCCTCCAACTACGTGGAGGTGAGCCTGGGGGTGCCGGGGGGTTTTGGGGGGTTTTGGGGGGGCTTGGAGATGATTTCCACCCCCCTGTGTCCCCATCCCATAGGTGCTGCCCCCCACCGAGGTGCCCAAGCCCATCAAGGCGCCCAGCATCCAGGTGCTGGAGTACGGCGAGGCCCTGGCGCTCTACAACTTCCGCGGGGAGCTGCCCGTCGAGCTCTCATTTCGTAAGGTATTGATGTGCCGAGCCGTGCCGGGCTGTGCCGGGCTGTGCTGACCCGTGCCGAGCCGTGCCGGGCTGTGCTGAGCTGTGCTGAGCCGTGCCAAACTGTGCTGAGCTGTGCCAAGCTGTGCCAGGCTGTGCCAAACTCTGCTGAGCCATGCTGAGCTGTGCTGAGCCGTGCTGAGCTGTGCCAAACTGTGCTGAGCCATGGCGAGGTGCACTGAGCTGTGCCGAGCTGTGCCAAGCCGTGCTGAGCTTTGCCCAGCCGTGCCAGGCTATGCCAAACCAAGCTGAGCTGTGCTGAGCCATGCCGAGCCATGCTGAGTTGTGCCAAACTATCTGCTATGCTGAGCCGTGCTGAGTCGTGCCGAGCTGTGCCAAACTGTGCTGAGCCGTGCCAAGCTGCACCGAGCTGTGCCTGGCTATGCTGAGCCATGCTGAGCTGTGCTGAGCCGTGCCAAAATATGCCAAGCCGTGCTGAGCTTTGCCTAGCCGTGCTGAGCTGAGCTGTGCTAAGCCATGCTGAGCCATGCCAAGCCGTGCCGAGCCATGCCAAGCTGTGCTGAGCTGTGCCAAGCCGTGCCGAGCCATGCCAAGCTGTGCTGAGCTGTGCCAAGCCATGCCAAATTATGCAGAGCCGTGCCAAGCCGTGCCAAGCTGAGCTGTGCCGAGCCATGCCAAGCTATGCCGAGCTATGCCAAGCCGTGCTGAGCCGTGCCAAGCCGTACCAAGCCGTGCTAACCCATGTTCCCCCCCCCGGCAGGGCGAGCGGGTCTGCCTGGTGCGCAGGGTGGACGAGCACTGGTACGAGGGGCGCATCTCGGGCACCAGCCGCCAGGGCATCTTCCCCGCCAGCTACGTGCAGGTGCTGAAGGAGCCGAGGGTCAAAGCCTCGGCCGACGACTTCCCACCCTCGCCCGCCTCTGCCAGCCCCCGGCTCCCCGCCGTGGCCCCCTCCCCGCAGCACTCCCCCGGCCCCCGAGGCCCCCAGCTCCCCGCCGGCTCCCCCGGGACCCCTCGGCGGGTGCCGGAGAGGGGTCCCGGTGACCCCAGTGGGTGCCCGTCCTCCCCTCACCCCCTTGGATTCGCCTTTCCCCCCTCCCCAAAGCTGCCCCGTGCTGGAGCCCCGGCCCCCAGCCCCTCACCAGCCCTCGCCTGGCCCCCTGAGCAGGTGAGTTGCCCCCATCCCCATCCGTAACCCTATTAGGGCTGCGGGTGCTGCCCCATAACACCTCTCCCTTTCTCCCCCCCGCAGCGCCCAGCCGTGGGGGACACCCGCCAGCACCCCCCCTACCCCTGCCCCATCCTACAACGGCTCCGAAATCCAATGGACCCCGTAAGTAGGGCCGGGAAGGTCCCGGCGTCCCCATGTAGGGCCAGCAGCCCCCTCACCACGGCACCCCACAGGTACCGGGCTCTCTACCAGTACCGACCCCAAAACGCCGACGAGCTGGAGCTGCAGGAAGGGGACCGCGTGGATGTGATGCAGCAGTGCGACGACGGCTGGTTCGTGGGTGCGTGGCCAACGGGGACGGGATGGGGACACTGCGGGGGGGTCACCGCCGGCCTCACCGCCTCGCCTTTCTCCCCAGGGGTGTCCCGGAGGACGCAGAAATTCGGCACTTTCCCCGGCAATTACGTGGCGCCCGTGTGAGCGGAGGAGCCACGGCCCCACAACCCCCCCCCTGCGGCCACCTACGGGGGCACGAAGCCCCCCCAGCTCCTGCCGCCCCTATGGGGTGCCTCTAACAGGGACCAATCCTCCAGCCGGTGCCTTAACCCGACCCTTTTTTCGCTCTGCCCGGTGCCTTATCGCCCACAACCCGGTGGCCGTGCCTCTCCTTCCCTCTCCGGGTGGTGCCGAGGGGGGGTCCCCGGTGGTTCCCCGGCCCGGCTGTGACGGCTGCGACCCGAAATGCCGGCCCCGGGGCTGTGCCACGCGTGCCTTTGTTTTTGTCCAGCATTAAAGCTCAGCTCAGCCCCACCTGAGACCCTGCCTGGTGATGTGGGGTTAGGGGGGGAGCCGGTGGGGAGGTGCCCATATGGGATTTGTGGAGGCAGGGGCTGCGTGGGGGGGACGGCGAGTGGCCCTATGGGGTCAGGGGCGATGCTGCGGGGGGTTGCAGTGGGGTATGTGGGGCTGCGGTGGTGCTGGGGGGGGATTTTGGTGGTGTTTGTGGGACTTGCAGCGGTGCACGGGGCGTGCCGTGGCGCTTGTGGGGCTGCAGGGGTGCTTGTGGGGTTTTTTGGTGGTGCTTTGGGGACGTGCAGCCGTGCTCACGAGGCCTTGCAAAGGCGCATGGGGGGGTTGCAGCGGTGCATGGGGGGGTTATAAAGGTGTACGGGGGGGTTATAAAGGTGCACGGGGGGGTTATAAAGGTGCACGGGGGGTCGCAGGGGTGCAATGGGGCTGTAGGGCGGGGGCTGCATTTATTCTCAGGGCACATCCCCGATGCTGCGGGGGGGGGACATCCCCACGGGGCAACCACTTGTGGGGTCGCAGTGCCTCCCCCACCCCCAAAAAAAAAAGGGGGCAGGGTCCTCGGGCACCTCCTGCCCCCCCCTCTCCACCGCCCCACACCGTGCGCCCCATCGGGGTTGCCGTGCCCCCCAGACGGCGCTGCGGAGCCGCCGCCTCCCGGCCCGGCCCGGCCCCGTCGGGCTCCGCCGGCCCCTTCCGAGGGGGCGGCGCCGCCACCGGGGCCCCGTTCGGTTCCTCAGCCCCACGGGGCCCCCCCGGGCTCGGCCACCGCCGGTGAGTGCGCCCGGAACGAGGGGCGCAGGGAGGGGAGCGCACGGAGAGGCTGGGGACGGCGTGGAGAGGGGCAGAGGGGTCGGGGGGCGGAGGGGTCGGGGGTAATGGGGTCGGGGGTAGTGGGGTCGGGGGGTTGAGGGGTCGGGGGTTGTAGGGGTCGGGGGGCGCAGGGGGTGGGGGGGTGCAGGGAGCCGGTGCCGGGGTGCTGCGGCGCAGCTGTCGGGGTCCCGTTGGCACCAGCCCCGTCGGGGGGTGCTGGTGCCGGGGGGACCCCGGGTTTTTTGGCGTCGCCCCCCAAGTGGGCTGCGGGCAGGGGGTCCCGCAGGTGTGTCCCGTTCCCCCCCATGTCCCTCTTTTATCTCCTGTCACCCCCTGGCATCTCCTGTCACCCGCTGTCCCCCCCCCCAGGGTGGCACCGCCAGGCGCTGCGGCCACAAAGGCAGCGCTGTGCCTGTAGGGTGCGGGGGGTGGGAGGGGGTAACGGGGTCGGATTTGGGGTGCTGGAGGAGGGTGTGGGGTGAAGGGGATGGATTTGGGGTGAAAAGGATGGATTTGGGGTGGAGGGGACGGAGGGGGGCTCGGGGGCTGCGCGCGGACTGGGTGATGGGCACGGCCTCGGGGATGCTGCCCCCCAGGCTGGGCTTGGGGAGGGGGCTTTGGGGTTTCCTCCCGCCGCCGCTGCTAAAGCCCAGCCCAGGAAATTCTTCCGGGCAGCCTCTCAAGCCCCTCTTTGTGAGCCTGGGATTTTTAAAATGCCTTCCCCGGCGGTTGCGGACGCGGTGCCCGGCTCCCGGGGCTGCTTTGGGACGAGGGGATGGGGACGGGGCAGGGAGCGGGGCCGCCAGACCCAACCTTTAGGGCAGGGGCTGCCCCCATCCCACTGAAGCCACCGAACCCGAGGGTTTCCACGCTCCCTGCGCACCCCTCAGCATCCTCCAGCACCCGTTGGGCTGCAGGGGACCGGGTTCGGATCCCCCGGGGTTTGGGTTCGTGCCTCCTTCCCCAGCTGGCCGCAGCCTCCCCTCCAAACCCCGCTGGCTTGGCCCTGCTGCACCGGCCCCGGTGCCAAGATCCCAATTTTCTGCCTCGCACGAGGCCCCCGGGGTGACCTTTATCAGATATTGGGGTGCTGGGATGCGGGGTAAAGGCTTTAAACCAAGAGCGGGGAGATTGGGGTTGGAGATTGGGAATGGGGTCCTTTCCAACCCAACCCATCCCATGGGTTTTTTGGCCCCGTGATTCCTCCCCAAACCGATCCCCTGACCCCACAGCTCCATGAGCACACAGCTTGGGGTCCCCCTCGTCCCCACGGGGCCGCGGTGGGGAGGAAGCCACCGGCTTCATCCGGGGCTGGGGGGGCGGTGAGAGGAAGCGACGGCGCGAAGGCGCGGGTCCCCTCCCCGGAAGGAAGGCGCTTTTGGGGCCCAGCACCCCACTACCGGGACCCCTACGGTGTGGGGCCAGGGGGTTCCCCTCTCCCCTATCCCTTTGGCACCCCAAATTTCCCCACGCCGCAGCCCCCTCTCCGCGCAGAGCCGCCCGCTGCCATGCCGCTGAGCGTGACCTTGGCCGGCCCGGCCCCGTGGGGCTTCCGCATCACGGGGGGAAGAGATTTTGGGAAACCCATCACCGTCTCCAAGGTAGGAGCTCCCCTCCGGGTTGGGGTGCTGGGCGGGTGCTGAGCAGGGCTGCCCGACTGGAGCAGGATCCTGTTTGCCCTCCTCGAGGGTTTGCGCTCTGTGGGAACGGCCGCCGGCCCCACACGGGCTGGGTTGGTGCCGGGGGGGGGCCGTCTGTCCTCGTCCTTTGTACCCCAAAGTGGGGCTGGTGCTGTTTTGGGAGGGCCAGGGGTGAAGGGAGGCTGTGGGTAAAAGGGATTTGGGGCCGGATTTGGGTGGATTTGGGGTGGATTTGGGGCTGGGGCCAGCCCTGGAGAGCAGGTGACCTTGGCCACGGAGGCGCACGAGGGGCGCGGAGCCTGCTGCCCCGCTGCTCGGTGGCTCTGATCCCGGTGGCTTTGTCCCCGTGTCCCCTTCTCCTCGGAGGTGATGGAGCAGGGGAAGGCGGCCGCCGGCGACCTCCGCCCGGGGGATGTCATCGTCTCCATCAACGGGGAGAGCGCGGCCGAGATGCTCAACGTGGAGGCGCAGAACAAGATCAAGCAGAGCCCCGGGGAGCTCCGGCTGCAGGTGGAGAGGTGGGCGAGGGGACGGGGAGGGGAAGGGTCCCCAAGGCACAGCACAGCAGCGTCCCCACCCCGTGCCTCGGTGTCCCCCGGGGGGGGTTTTGGGGTTGTTTTTCCCCTCCGGCATCCCCCGGGGCTGCGCCATCCCTGCGGGGAGCCCGGCGCAGCTCTCTAATTAAAGCGTCAGGCGCTAACGAAGCCGGGCAGCCCTGGCAGCCGTTACCTGGCCGACCGGTGCTGCCTCTCACCGGGGAGATGGGGGGGGATTTGGGAGGGGTACGGGCACATCTGGGGGCTCCCCATCCCCGTGCCCCCCTTCTCTCGCCCCTCTCCAGCAGGGTGGGGAAGCGCCGAGGGCTTTGGCCACCACCCAAACGCCACAACCCCGGCGGCATTCCTCTCATACCTCTCCCCCCGGGGCGCTCGCCAGCCCCTGAGCGACTATTTCAGGGCGTGGGGGGGGTCCTTGGGAAGGTGCAGGACCCCTCCCCACTCTGCCCCCTCCCCAGGCTCCCGCCGCCCTCTCCCAGCCACAATGGGGACAGCTCTCCGGACAGGCTGGCCACACGCTTCCAGGTGAGACCCAAGTAGTCCCCAAATGTTGTGTCCCCCCCCCCGGGGGGCCGTTTCCAGCTGCCAACATCTCCCCTTCCCTCTCCAGGACACCATGAGGATGCGGGAGGAAGGCTCCTGGAGACCCCCACCCTTCGCCCCCCAGCCCGCCAGCCCCATCTCCCTCATCCCGAGGCTCGCTGATGGCCGGGGCGAGCTGGGGCTCGGTGGCCACGGGTAAGGCTGGGGGTCACGGGTGGGATCTGGCCAGGATCAGGCCCCCCCCTGATGGCCCCGTGCTCTCCCCACAGCTCCCAGTCCCTGCCCAGTGCGCCCGAGGAGCTGCCACCACGGCCCAGCCTGCCCCAGGTGAGCAGGGAGCTGGGGGGACTTCAGGGGGGCAGGGGAAGGGTGCTTGGGAGGTTGCTTGGGGTGAATCTGGGTGCTGGCAGGCTTTGCAGCCCCAAATCTTTGCCCTCTGCACCCCCCGTGCCCCCACACAGCCCCGTGCCCACCCTATTACCCAGCCCCTCTCTCCCCCAGGGCCCTGCCGCCGGTGCCGCCGGCACCCCCAGCCCCTTGGGCACCGGCGCGCCGCCCTGGGATGTTTTCCTCGCTCCTACCCGGCATTTTTGGCAGCAGCACCGAGGCTGGGGAGGCCAAACCAGTTTGGGGAGGGCTTGTGGGGGGGGTGCCGGGGCGTTGGTTGGCAGGGCAGGGACCTGGTGCGCCCCCGGCTGCGTGCCGGGTGCCACCTGGGTGCCCGGGGTGGGGCTGTGGTGTCTCTCCCCCGGCACCCCGACTGGTCCCGGGGTGCCCACGGCCCCCCAGCCCTCCTCCCTGATGTGGTTTCGGGAGGTTTTGCCTCCCCTCCTTCCCTTCCCCTCTGTCCCGGGGATGTTTTCCAAGCCCAAATCGGGAAGCGCGGTGGCCCCGAGCGCCGCCCGTTCCAGCTGCCTTTGGCCGCGGCCCCGGCCGCCCCTTGGCTCCCGCAGCCCTCCCGCTCCCTCCTTCCCCCCCCCTGCTCTTTATTTGCTTTGGAGGGACCCCGCTGGGTCCCTCCCTGCCCCAAAACCACCCCGAGGTGGCTGGGGCAGAGCATCCTGCAGCTGGGGTGCCCCTGGAAGCGCCGGGACCCCCAAGCTGCGGCGAGGGGCGAAGCCTCCCTTAGATCCTGCCTCTCCTTGCACCCTTGGCGCTGGGCTCCTCGGATGAGGCCAAGGCGCCCAGCTCCACCCGGGCCTAATTTTAGCTCCTTCTTCACCCTCCCGTGGCCCTGCGGAGCCTCGGTGCCGCCTCTCTCCATCCCCACGGGGTCCGGGCAGGCGGCAGCGAGCGGGGCCGTGCGGGGTTTTCCTCTGTCCCCGTCCCCGCGGGTTCCTGCTGGGGGTTTTGCAGCTGCTGCGTGGCGGCTGCTCCCGGGAACGTCGGGAACATCGGCTTCCACTTAGCGGGGCTGAGCCTTTCCTGCCTCGCCGCTAAGCAGGAGCAGATGCCGGGGAGGGGAACGGGCGCAGGCATAGGGTTACGGCACGGGGAGCAGCCCCGCACCCAGCCACATGGCCAGGGGGGGGCACGGGTTGGAGCAGGGCTCCTGGAGCCCAGCCCCGTGCCCCCTCGGTGCTCTCACAACCCCTTTCTCCCCGTGCCAGGAGCCAAGAAGCCACCACAACAGCTCCCCAGGGCCTCTCCTGCCTCCTTCCCCCCGGCCACCGTCGCCACCGCACCCCTGGGAGCCGGGCAGGGAGCAGCGCCTGCCTTCGCCCTCCCCCGGCCCCCGCAGCAGGTACGGAGCGGGGTTTTTTGGGGGCCAGGACGGAGGCAGGAAAGCCCCCAGCCCATCTGGAGTGGGATCAAACCTCTCCGAGGGAACCCTGCAAAGAGTTAACGCACCTGCGAGGCAGGTCGGGGTGTGGGAGGATTTTTGGGCAGGCTGGGGCAGGTGCGGGCAGCGGGTGCAGCGCGGCCGATTCGGGTGCCCGGAGCCCCCCCCAGGTCCCTTCCCCACGGTGTTGTTCCCCCCCAGCCCGGGCCCCGAACCGGCCATGAGGCGCTTGGAGGAGGACTCGGAGGTGTACAAGATGCTGCAGGAGAACCGGGAGCTGCGGGCGGCCCCGCGGCAATCCAGCACCTTCCGCCTGCTGCAGGAGGCTCTGGAGGACGAGGGCGGAGGTGAGGGGCGCGGGGAGAAAACGGGGAGCTTGGGAGGTGTGGGGGGAGCTGAAAAAAGGGGTTGGCACCACCACCCTGATGGTTTCGTGTCCCCGCAGCCGGCCCTGCAGCCCCCTTCCCCAGCCGGCTCTCGCCCAGCGCCCGCAAGCCGGTGGCCGGCGTCCAGAAGCTGCACACGTGCGAGAAGTGCGGCAGCAGCATCGCGTGAGTTGGGGGGCACTAAGAGGGGTTGGAAGGAGGCAGGGACGGACAGACAGATGGAACAAGCTCGGGGGGGGACAAGTGGGGTGACCCCAAGCCGCCGCCTGCCCCCCCCCCCCCCATTTTCCCCCAGGACGCAAGCGGTGAGGATCCAGGAGGGTCGCTACCGGCACCCGGCCTGCTACGCCTGCTCCGACTGCGGCCTCAACCTGAAGATGCGGGGACACTTCTGGGTGGGCGACGAGCTGTACTGCGAGAAGCACGCCCGCCTGCGCTACCAGGGCGCCCCCACTGCCCCCACCCCATCCTGAGCCCCCCCCCCTGCCACCCGCCCCCCAGCATCTGCGGGGAGCAGAGGGCACCCGCGGCACCCCGGTGGCCCCGCTGCTTTGGTGCTTTTGGGTGTGCAATGAGCGGGGTCGGGTCTCAGCCTGGCTGTGCCGTGGGGTCCCTCGCTGGCACCCATGGGGACGTGGGGGACACTGGGGACATGGGGGACACGGGGACGCTTGAGCACGCAGGCACCGGAGAGGGGGCTGGCACCGCTTCGCACCCTGCCTTCGAGGAATTAAAGCAGATCTCTATATAAATATAATATATTCCTGCTCCACGCCCGTGTCCCGTCTGTGTGGGGCAGCTGGGGGGGGGGGACACGCCTCTCTCCCGCCCCCCCCGGGGGTTTGTCGGCGTTTTATTGCTGTTATCAGGGGCCTTTGTCCCGCCGAGGATCCCGGAGCTCTTATCTCTGCCCCTCGTGCCTGTTTGCACGGAGGGGGCTTTGCTCTCCCCGCCCCGTGCCAAAACCCCAAAGCGCTCCCATCGCTGGGATGCGGCACGGGCAGGGGGCGGCCAAACTCCCCCCACCCCTCCTGGCCGCCCCCGCCCCGCCCCGGGGCCGTGCCGCCCCACAGCCCGGCCCCATAAAGAGGCCGAGGAGCGGTGGGGCTGGCCCCTCTGCCCTCCCCCCGTGCGCCCACCCCCGTGCGCCCACCCCCGGTGCGCCCACCCCCGTGCGCCCACCCCCGGTGCGCCCACCCCCGGTGCGCCCTGCCCCGTGCGCCCACCCCCGGTGCGCCCACCCCCGGTGCGCCCTGCCCCGTGCGCCCTGCCCGGTGCCGGGGATGCTTCGGCGCCGCGGAGCTTTCAGCGTGGAGCCGCTCAGGGGGCTCGGTGAGCTTTTGGGGGGGGGTCCCCGGTGTGCCGAGGTCCTGCCGGAGGGGGCCCTCGCTGAGTTATCAGTGCTGGGGAGGGGCCCTGAGGGTTCCCAGCAGCTCCAAATTATGGTGTCTGTGCTGGGTGGGTGTTCGAGGGGATCTGACAGCACTAATTTGTGCTGGGTGGGTGTCCTGGGGGCCCCCAGCAGCCCTAATTTGAGGTGTCTGTGCAGGCTGGGGGGGCCCCAGGGTGTTGGCTGAGCTGAGGAGTTTGCCTTCAAGCCCATAGTGCTGGGGTCAAGGTCAACGCCTCCCCCACGCTGGGCGAGGTCTAGCACCCCCAGCCCATCTCTGCATCCCAAAGGACCCCTCCCACAGAGCCGGTGGCGGGGGCACGATCCCCTTTTAAAGCTTCCCAGAGGGGGGGTGCTGAGGGGCTGGGCAGGATCCGTCCCGCGGTGCCCACGCAGCGCGCCGGGAGCCCGTGGAAGTCGGGTGCGTGGGAGCGGCATTGCTGGGATGCGCGCGGGCCTCGGGGGCTGCTGAAAGGCAGGATTGTCCCCAAGGCCACCGCTGTGTCCCCAGCGCCCTGCCGAGCCCCGAGGGACCCGCGGTGAGTGGACGTGGGGCAGGAGAGAGCCCCGGGAGCGGGCGGAGAGGGCAGGGAGGTGGCGAGGTTCTCCCGGCACCCGGCTGTCTGCCTGCAGCCTTGAAGTGCCCAAATCAGGCTCTCGCCTCCCTGTCTGGGATGGGGAGGGAGCCCTAACCACCGGCCCAGCCAGTATCACCCAGCCCAGATCCCGAAAGGGAACCAGTTGGGAACCAGTCCGGTAATGAGGTGCCTCTGGATACAGGGCTCTGGCTCCAGGCTGGGGCGGGTATAAAAGGCAGCGCTGGGGACGCGCGCCCGGCACTCGGCTCTCGGCGATGTGGGGTGGCTCCCGCGCCGTCTGGAAGAGGAGGTGCAGCTGCTGTGAGTGCGTGGGGGGGCTGGCCGGGGGGGTGGGCAGCTCTGCACCCCGATTTGGGTGCACAGAGGGGGGGGGGAAAGAGCAGAGGCTTTGCTCCCCACCTCCCCGAGCCCTGCGCCGGGTCCCGGTGGGAAGGGAGGCGAGGGCTGAGGCTGCCAGTCGTGTCCTGGGGTGCAGGGTGGTGGCTGCAGAATGCGGCCCAGCTGGGGCTGAGGATTTAGGGCGAGGAGTTGAGGTGCCTGGAGCCAGTCCTACAGCTGGGGGAAGCCAGCCCTGCAGTCCAGCTGGGTGCTGATGTCGGCTGAACCCCCCCGGTGCCACCCAGGGGCTCCCTCCGGAGAGGGGTCCCCAGTTGGCGACGTCTCCAGCAGCCTCAGGGCAGGGCACGGGGCTGGTGGCCACGATGGGAGCGGTGCTAGCCCACACCCAGCTGCGTGCACCCCTTCTGTGGGGTCAGCTGGCGACCGTGCCCTGCCTGCGGTGCCCTCCGGGGACCCCCATCCGACGCCCTCGCCCCCGCAGATGGTCCCTGGGAGACGGCAGAGAGCTGCGTGGTGCGCACGTCCGCCAGCGTCTACCGTCGGCTGCACGAGAGCCCCCGGAGCCCCCCGGCGGGGATGAGCGGCGAGGAATCGGGCTCTTGGGGCCCCCCCCAGCCTTTGCCAGCCCCGGGCAGCCCCCAGGCGAGCGGGCGGCTCCTCAAATCGGAGTCAGAGGACTCCGGGGTGGAGATGGCGAGCAACGAGAACTCGCCTTCCACCCCGCTGGGCTCCGAGAGCAGCTTCTCCCTCGACGGCTTCCAGCAGCCAGCCCATGGGGACCCTCCGAAGAGCCCCCCAGGAGGGGAGCGTGGCGCTGAGCCCCCCCGGCCCTTCCGCAGCCGCTCGGCCAGCAGGAAGCCGGGGCAGCAGCGCAGCAGGAGGCAGCGGCAGCTCAGCCGGCGCAGCACCAGCGCCGGGGACCCCCGGGAGCTCAGTGCCGAGGAGCCTGAAACAACCGGGGTGCGTGCCGGGGAGCAACGGAGGGGGGAGCAACAAGGGGGTGCCTCAGCCCCCACACATCCCTGGAGCTTTTTCTCACCCCCCAGGTGGACGCGGCGGTGCCGGGGCAGGGGCTGCGGTACCTGGAGCACATCTGCCAGATGCTGGAGCGCGTGGCGAGGCTGCAGCAGGACAACCGGCTGCTCCGGCAGCAAGCGGCGGGCGCCCGGCGCGCCGGCAGCGTGGTGAGGGTTGGGGCTGAAGGATGGGGACTTGTGGGTTTGTGGGGTGTGAGGATGGGGTCCTCATGCCCTGCCTCTCCTCGCACACAGCCCCACAGGGAGCAGGAGCCGGCCACGTGGAGGGGTGAGAGGTTCCGGGCGCGCTCGTGCTCCGACAGCCATGCGCCAGGTGAGGGAGGCAGGTGTGGGGGTGACACTGGGCTCTGTCCCCAATTTGGGGGCTCTGTCCCTGACCCTGTCTCTGTCCCCAGTGTGTGGGGTCTGTCCCTGACCCCATTTCTGTCCCTGTTTTCAGTTCTGTCCCTGACACCATCTCTGCTGGGGACAACCCATGTTGGGGACCCCATCAATGTCCCCAGTGTGTGGGTTCTGTCCCCAATCTATGGGTTCTGTCCCCAGTGGGTTCTCCCCTGACCCCATCTCTGTCCCCAACATGTGGGTTCTGTCCCCAATACACGGGTTCTGTCCCCACCCCACCTCCATCCCCCCGCAGCCCCCGACCCCGTGCCGTGCCGCAGGAGATGGGTGCACTCCGCCAGCTCCCCCAGCCTGCTGGAGCCCTCCGAGAGCGGGTCGGGCACCCCCTCCCCAGACAAGGTAAGGGCTTTGGGGGCAGGTGGGGGGGTCCCCAGAGCCCCCCCTCCCAATCCATCTACCCCCCCCGGTGACCTCCACCTCCCCCCTGCAGGACGGGCGCTCGCACTGGGGGCGCGTCAAGGTGCTGCTCACCCGCCTGGCCCGGCGCTCCCTGCGGGGTGGCCGCTGCCGGTAGGGTTGGGGACCCCCCCACAACCCCCCCACTCGACCCCTGGATGACGTCACACCCCACTGGATGACGTCACACCCCACTGGATGACATCACACCCTGCCAGATGACTTCACACCCCTCCAAATCACGTCACGCCGCACCGGGGCTGGTCCCCGTCCAGGCGCACCCCCCATCCCCTTCTCTTTAATTTTTTTTCCCAATAAAAAGCTTTTTCCACGATTTCTCCGCCCGGTTGCTGTGTTGTCGCTTGATGACGTCACACCTCCCCCTTCCCCCCCCCCCATACCGTGACGTCACGCTGGAGCTCTCGCCCCCTGGCGTCACATCCGGCGGTGCGCTCCGGCGGGCGGCTCGGGCTGCGCCGTTTCCGCCCCATTTATCTGCGCCCCCCCCGCCCCAAAATCCCCTCACACCCCCTCCTCATCCCCTGACCCCCCTCCCTTTACCCCCCCACCCCAAAAATGGCCCAATTCCTGCAGCAGCCGCCTCCCCCCCACCCCCAGAGGGCCCCATCCCAGGTGCGCAGCGGTGATTTTTGGAGAAGTTTTGGGGACTCCCCAAAATTTTGGCTGACCCCCCCCCTCCTATAGGGCCCCCCCACTCATCCTCCTTGCTGGGGCCACCGCTGACCCCCCCGGTGCCTGCTGAGCTGCTGCAGGGCACACGGCACCTGCAGGTGGGTGCGTGGATTTTTGGAGAGGTGGGGGGGACCCTCCCCAAAAATGAGCTCCCCCTCCCCAAAATGAGCCCCCCCCCGGGCACAAGGGTCTCCTCAGGTGGGCGAGAAGCAGCGGGGTCTTCATTGGGGTCGCCAGCAGCCTGCATGAGTGCTTCGGGGTGGTGGATGAAGAGGTTTTCTTCCAGCTCAGGTAACAGGCAGGAGGGGCGCACGGGGTGGGGGGCGCAAGGGGCAGCTCCCCAGCCTGCTGATGGGGCCCCCCCCGGTGCCCCCCAGTCCCCGGTCAGCGTGGTGAGGGGCCGGGTGCCACAAATTGGGGGGAAGCCCCCCTACAGCCCCGGGCAGGCGGTGCCATGGAAGGCGCTCAAGGTGCAGACGCTCTCCAACCAGGTACCCGCGGTGAGACCCCCCTGGGGGCTGCTCCATCACCCCCCCGCTTGTCCCCGACCCCGTGTCCCACCTTGTCCTGGTGATGCTCCAGGTGTCACAGGTGTTTTGGGCACCTCAGGGTGATGCTCTGGGTGTCAAAGGTGTCCCTGAGCATCACAGATTGCCTCGGTGCCCCTACCTCTCCTCAAATCCCCCCCCCCCCCCCCAACAAGGGGCTGCTGCAGACCTTTAGGTTTTCCGGGTACCCCAAAAAAAAAGAACACAGAGATGCTGCGGGGCTCGGTGCCCAGCTCAGCCCTCGAGGTGGTGACGGCCCCGATGTCCCCAGGGTGTCTGCTGTGCCCCCAGGTGCTGCTGCTGTCCTCCCTGGGCTTGCAAAAAAATCTGGGGGTTCTGCAAAAAATCTGCGGGTTCTGCAAAAAATCTGGGGATGGGGGCTTTGGGGTGGAAGGGGGGCGGTTACGATGCAGCCCAGGCTCAGTGCCTGCTCGCCCTAGTTCCTGCTGGGGATGGAGGAGGATGAAGCCGTGGTCACTGGGGGGGAATTGGCCCCATCACTGGACGGCCCCGATCCCAAGGCCGACCCCATGCGCTGAGCGGGTTCACCAAGTGGTGAGTGGCAGCAGCGATCAAGGAGCGCAGTGTGGGGTTAAATCTCCCCCTCCTGGGACCTCTTTCAGCTTTGGGATCTGGTGGGTGGTGCAAGAAACCCGCAGGTACCCGCTGCTGCTGTGGGAAACGGGGCCCTCCTGTCCAGCCCCGTGCCGGGAGCGCGCCGGGTGCGTCCCTGCGGGTGCGCAAACGCCGCGTGGCGAGCAGCTGCTGGCACTTTGGTGTTTTTTTTTTGGGAACATCTCCAGGAGCAGGGGGCTTACGATGCCTCCTGGGACCCCACTGCTGTGTGGAGGGCGAGGGGCAGCACTCGGCTCTCTCCTGGGCTGTCCCAGTGCCCGTGCAAAAAAAAAAAAAGCGTGGCTCGCCGCACCGCGGATATATTTTCTATATTTTTCTCTCTCTTTATATATATAGCAGTCCTGCTCCGGGTAACCGTGGCAACTGATTTTATTTTGCTTAAACCTGGCCCGGCATGTGATGCGGTGGGGAAGGAACAGCTGAGGGGGGGAGAGGGAGAGCTCGGTGCCGGGGGGAGGCTTGGCACGGTCCCAGCCGCGCTCTGGCTTGGAGCCGTGGCGCAGGCTGGGCTGCGAGCGCCACGAGGTTGGGCTCTGCTCCGTGTCCCCCCAAAATGAGGACATCAGGTGGCCTTCGTGAGGCCGGTCAGGGTCTGTAGGATCGCTCCTGGGGCTGCGTGGTGTCCCTGGAGCAGTGGGAAGCCTCCGGGCAGCTCAGGGAGGAGAAGGGGACCTCGCTGTCCTCCGTCACCGGAGGACAAAGCCGCGATGGTGAGGCTGTGCCATGGGTTGAGCCGCTAAGGTTGCAGCTTGGATGTCCCCAGAGGTGGCTTTTTCTGTGGGTGGCCACATTTTGGCATTTTGGAGAAGGCAAGAGGCCTGCCCGACTGGCAGCCTCTTCATTTCCACCTAACCAGGGCCTTTTTTTAGCAGATGGAGACCCCCAAGCAGCACACAGCCTGCTGCTGCTCCCGGAGGAGGAAGAGGAGGAGTTGGGTCCGCACCGAGCAGGGGCTCAGCCCTTCCCTGGGGGGCTGCAGGTCTGGGGGTGCTCCCTCCTGCCCCTCCCCAGGTGCCGAGCTGCGCTCCGACGCCTCCAACCACCTGGAGCTGGAGTTTTTTCCCCCCTCCAGGACTTGGTGAGCCCCCCACAGCCCCCTAAAACCCCACCGAGGGCTTGGAGCAGGGAGGGGAAGCTCCGTGTGTGCTGGGGGAGCCTGGGGAGAAGCGGGACTCACATGCAGCAGGGTGAGCTCAGCCCCTGCCATCCCCCCTCACCATTTCGGCAGCCCCAGGAGCTGCACCCCCAGCACCACCCTGCCCCTGGGCACCCTCCTGGCCTTCGTCTACCTCGACTGGAATTTCTGGGGCTGCCTCCACCACCAGGGACATGGAGAGGATCCTCCTGGTGCCGGGGCGTTGGAGCCCCCGGATGGAGCAGGGAGGGAGCCCTCCAACAGCTATCCCAAACCCAAAAGCCCCCTGGCAAGCTGGGGTGTTGGGGAAGAGGGGTGTTAGGGCAGAGAGAAAGCCCTAAACGCCGGATTTAATTCAGTTTCAGGCTGTAAAAGTGGCAGCAGCGCCTTGTGTTTAACCGGGGATGGTTCCTGGCGTCCCTTCAGGTTTCACCCCGTGGCTGTTCCATCCCCTTTTCCCCTTCCAACCCCTCTCCAGCTCAGCGCAGCCCCTCTCTACCCCTTAAAACCACGACCCCTCAATAAATTTGGTCAATTTTGGGGCAGTGCCAGCTCCGTGTCCCCCTCCCGGCCCCGCAGTGCTGCCTGGTGGCAGCAGAGGGCGGCAGCAGCCCGGCGCAGCGGCACCGCGCGCCCCGGTGCCTGCCCTGCAAAAAAACTTTTGGGAAGCCCAAAACCTGCTCCAACACCCCCCTCTGCTGCCCCGGGACCCTCTGTGCGCCCTGCTCCCTCCCCCTTTTCCTGGATTTGATGTTTTTCGCCCTCTTTTCATTTTTTTGCACGTTTTTAGCCCCGGGGTTTTGCGCTCCCAGCTTGGCACGGGGCCCCCCCAGCTCCAGGGTGAGTGATCCTACAACTGTAGGGTGGCCCCATGGAAATCAGCAGCCCCAGCACGGTGTCTGGATTTAATCTCTCTCGGATTTAATCTCTCCCGTCCACAATCTCTTTCCTTTAACAGTGTTTGGTCGGGTGAGGGCTCCACCGAGGCACTTTGCACGGCTCCTGCAGGGAACGGGCTGCATTCAGCAGGGAACCCCTCACCCTCCTCCTCGAATGCTCAGCTCCCCAAAAATGCATCCCATGGGAATCTGAACGCTTCTGCCCTCCCCCCGGGGGCACCGGGCTCCTCTTAAGGCACCAAACCAGCACCCTACAGGCAAGGAGCCTGGGCTGGATCCTGGCACGGGGAGCCAGCAGGGTGCTGGGTCAGGGCAGGAGGGCGCAGCCTGCTCCTTTTTCCACCTGAGCTGCCCCACAACCACCTATTTAACGAGAAACCGGGCTCCCAAAAATTAGGAGGGCAGAAATGGGATCAGGATGCCCACGGCCACCCCATCCCGCAGCCTCGTAGCAGCTGGGGGAGGCCGTGCTCTTGCAGGAGCCCCCCTGGCAGAGCTTTAAACCCTCCACCATCCATCCCTGCACCCCGGGACAAGGCAGGGAGGGGGCTCAGGAGCTGGGGGGCTCCATCCCCAGCCCCGTTACGGGTCCCCCCCCCGCCCTCCCCATCCCTCAGTCGTCGGCCACGATGGAGAGCGCCCGCAGCTCGCTCAGCTTGGCTTCGTTCTCCCGCTCCCTCTGCTCGTCGCTCAGCCCGGGCTGGTCAATCTGCGCCGAGAGGTCCCCAAAAATTTTGTGCATCTCCGTGTAGTAGACAACCTGGGGGAGGAAAAAAAAAATAGGGGGCAAGTGAGCAAAGCTGGGGGTCCTCCCTGTGTTAATGGGGTCCCCTCCATGTGTTAACGGGGTCCCCCTGCATCCAGCTGGGATGTCCCCTCCCCGGCACTGGTGGCACTGCCTCCAAAACCTCCGGGGGACCCCGCATCTCCGCCAGCAGGGCGCACGATGCCACGGGGCCAAATAAAGCCCGGGCAAATATTTTGGGTGCTGTTTTTCCCCCCCCCAAACCCCTCCCAGCTGAGGCTGTCTGCGCAGGAGGCGCTGTTTCTCCGGGTCCCCTCGGGGAAACGCCTCTCCCAGTAGGACCCAGAGCCTTCCCAGTAGGGATTTGTGGGGTGGCTGCCTCAAACGGGGTCCTGGCCATCTGGGGGGGCTCCGGGTGGGACATGAGCCCCCGGAGCATCACCAGGAGATGGGGACACTGCGGTGTCACCCCTCTGGTGGCCCTGTACCTGCTGCCTGCTGGTGGCTCAGTACTTTTCCAGCCCCGGCTGCCCGAAGCTCCAGCCACGTCCCCTCGAATCCCATCCCCAGCTCGCGTTTGAGACGGAGCCAAAGGCCCCGAGCACACCTGTCTTGAACTAATTCTGTTTCGGGACACCGTGTTCTCCCCATTTTCTATAGATCCTATTTACAACGCGCGCGTTACCGTAGGTCCTGCACAAAACAAAGCCCCGGGGCTGCTGCCAAAGGCCCCGAGCCCACCGTGGCCATACAGCCAGGCTCCAAATCCCCGTTTAATTCCCAGCTCCGCCACGAAGCCGGAGCAGGATCGCATCTAGCTGGAAAACAAAGCACGGCGAGGGGAGGAAGTGTTCCTCGAGCCGCCGCCGGGGCACCGCCGCTCCCCCTTTCATCTCCACGGGGCCACTTCAAAGCCCCCAGGCGGGGAAATATTTGTCTCCGTCGGCTCAGCCCGGGCACGTGGGTGGACAGAAGCATTTGGTGGGGGGTGTTGGAGGCTCTGCTCCCTCGTGGCACGCCGTCAGGGCACACCCGGCTCCAAGCTGTGCCATGGGAACCCAAGCGCTTGGCACGACGGCACCGGAGGGGCTGCTGAGGGTCAAAATCCTACAGCTGCTGCTCTAGGGCTGGTTTTTTCTCCTTTCTTGTAGGGGAGAAGCTTAGCAGCCAGTCCTTGTTCCCAGTCCCTGATCCCAGTCCCTGTTCCTAATCCCTGTTCCCATTCCCTGATCCCAGTCCCTGATCCCAGTCCCTGTTCCTAATCCCCGTTCCCAGCCCATCCCTGTCTAATTTCAGCCCCGTACTTTTTCCAGGGCCATAAATAAAAGGAAAACTCAGCAGTTTCACACCAGATCTGCCTCCACGTGGCAGTTTTGCCCCGGGGATGAGGTCTCCGAGCACCACGGGGCCCGGCACACCCTCGGTTCCTTGAGAGCCGTGGCCCCACAGGGCAGCCCCCGTGGGCTGTGCTCCTGGAGCGATCGCTGCTAGAGGTAGGGGCAGGGGGGGGAAGAAAATAGAAATTGCACCGAGCAGTGAAAAAGCCCCAAAAAGCTGCTCAGTGAGGCGTGGAGGCAGAGCTCAGCCCCGGGATGGGATGGGATGGGATGGGATATGGGATGGGATGGGATTGGGATGGGATTGGGATTTAATGGGTTCAGGGATGGGTTTAGGGATGGGGCCACGGTCACAGCACCCCTGCCACCATCCCCCTGGCCAGCCCCCTGCAGGTGAGCAGTGACTCAGGGCTCCCGGGTGCTATTCCTGGCTCGCCACTGACTCATTAAGTTACCTTGGGCAAGCCACTTCCCTTTTTCTTTTTTTTTTTTTTTGCTTTTTTTTTGCTTTTTTGCCTTTTTTTTTCAGCCATCTGCAGCAGGGGAAACGCTGCGCAGCCCCTTGGGGGGTGAGGAACGGGGTGGGGGGCACAAATGAGGCCTTGTAGGAGCAGCAGGGTGGGGTGCCGGGGTACCCTACACCTTGCTCTGCGCACCCTGCTCGGGGCACCCTGCTCGGGGCACCCTGCTCCAGCTCACCCCAGCATCCACGCCAGGGCTCCCGATGAGCAGGAGGCAGAAAAAAACAAGGAGGCAGGGACATTTGGGACATTTTGGGCAAGGCTGCTCTCCGGGGAAAGCGCCAGCAGCTCCCTTGCTGCCCAGACAGGGCAGGCGGCCGTTTGGGTTTCAAGGTCTGGGTGCCAAACGAGCCACCCACAAACGAGCGGCCGGGGAGGGTTGGCGTAGCTTGGCAGGGGGAAGAGGTCGGCGAAATTTGGCCGTGGCTCCAGGGAGTCTGCTCGTTTCAGCTGCCACGGCTGGAACACGGGGCCCCTGCTCCTGATTGTGATGGGAACGGTGAGAAAAAGCATCCCCAGCACCCAGCCAGGCGGCGGCACGGGATCGGGAACCATCCCCAGGAGCAGCAGTGGGGATTTCGGGGGGACCCCTGGAGCTCATCTCACCTGCGCCCGGACCAGGGACTCGAAGCTAGGCTTGAAGTAATCGATGCGGCTGCTGTAAAATTTGGGCATCTCCTCCAGGAGCTGCTTGTTTTTGGCCTCGAAGTCCTCCTTCACCGGCCGCAGCTCCTCGCGGGCCTGGAAAACGAGACGGGAGGGGAGCCAAAAAGTTGGGGAAAGCCCTGAATGGGCAGAGCTGCGAGGATGGTGACCAAAAAACCCAAATTTTGGGCCCCAGGCCATCGGGAAAACCCAGGGCTGTGTCCCCCAGGGCTGTATCCCCCAGGGCTGTGTCCCCCAGGGCTGTGTCCCCCCATCCTCACCCCCTGTCATCCCCAAGAGCATCGCCAGCTTCTCCCCCCCCCCCCTCTCCTCTTTCGCCCGTGACCTTCAGCTGAGCGAGCCCACCCGGCTTCTTTAAACAGAAGCGTGGGGAGAAAGGGAAATGTCTCCGGGATGGTGTGGAAAAGGGCAGGAGGGGGTGGGCAGTGAAATATTAGACCCGGCCAAGTCTGCCGCTTAATCCTGCCGCAATTCCGACGGGCGGGGGGGCACCGGGGTGCCAAAAAACCCCATGCGCGACGCTGGGTGGAAAGGAGAAAATTTGGGGTCGGGGAGGAACGGGGCAGAAAGGCTGGGACGGGGAGCATTTTAATTCACCAGGGAGGAGGGTTTGAACTCGTCCAGTGTTGAGCAGCACCAGGTTTTGGGCTCAAAAAGGCACAAAACTCGACGGTGAGCCCTTGCTGAGATTCCCCAGTTTGCCACCAAATTCGGGGACACCAAATTTGGGGTTTCTGGAGAGCAGCGGGCGTCTGAGCTCACGCCGCGGTGAGCTGTCTTTGCAGATGGGGGGGGAATTATATCACAGGGAAGTTCATTAGGGGGAAAAAAAAACACGAAATAACTAAAACCTGCTTAATCACCAGGACAAAAGCGCTCGCAGTTTTCCAGCCGCAGCTTTAGGCACCGAGGCTGAGCAAAGTAAGCGGCTTACGGCTAAAGCTGAGGTCTCTTTTGTCAGCGCCGCCGGGGCTGTTCTTTAACACAAAACTTCATTTTTTGCCATCAGAAAAATCCACGCTCTTCTGGCACCCGGGAAAGCCACCCGGCTCCTCCCAGGATCCCGCAAACCTTCTGCTTGGGGTGAGAATTTCCAAAGAAAATCGGGGCGATTCTGCTCAGATTTGGGAGAGAAAAAGGGGAATCTGGCGAAGCTGCCTGGTGACCGATTACTGCGATTTTCCAGGACGAATTTTTTCTTTTTTTTTTTCTTTTTTTTTTGTGCAACAGGTGGCAAACACGACGGCTCGGGAGGCTCCGCTCCCTGCCTACAGCTGCTCGGGCAGGCGCTGAGGGCGAGGGGAATTCCTCCTGCTCATCCCAACGTTTTTCTCTTCCCATGGATTTTTTTATTTCCCTTCATTTTAAAACCAGAAAGCTCAGCGTGGCTTTGAAAGAGATCCACCTGAACCCATCGGGGCTCCCGAGTGGCCACGAAACTCGTGGCCGGGGTTGCCCCAAGGCTTCGGGGCCGTACCTGGTGCAGCTTGGCGAGGACGGGGCCGGTTCTCTCCTTCTCCTCGTACTTCTCCACCTTGGACTGCAGGCGTTTGTAGTCCTGCAGGGCTTGCTCGCGGCGCTTCACTGCCATGTTCAGGCTGGGGAAAACGCTGCTGAACCTGCCAGGGAGAAAAACACAGGAGGGGGTTGAGCGGGGACGAGGCACCGAGGACAAGCTGCCACCCCAAAGCCTCCCCGGGGGAATGTGCCACCCCAAAAACCCCCAGGGAAATGCGCCACCCCAAAAACCCCCGGGTAAATGTGCCACCCCAAAGCCCCCCTAGGGAATCTGCCACCCCAAAGCCCCCCAAATTGCAAAGGGGTCACTCGGCGGCCCCACTGCTGTCCCTACAGGTGGGAGCTGGGGAAAAAGTGCCCCTAAATCCCCACTTGGTCACGCATCGTTGTTGTGCTACAAAGCCCTTCAGATCTCCCGCAGCTCCTTCCAACAGCTGCACCACCACGGGCCAGGAGAAGCCAACGAAGCCCTGGGAGGTGCTGAGAGGGCTCAGGATACGGCCCCGGCACGGCAAAATGCAGGGGATGGAGGAGAAGCACGGCCGGGAGCTGCAATCCCTGCTCTGCCGGCCCCGTTCCTGTCCAAAATTCAGCCCCGTGCAGGGCCAGGATTGAGAAAAACACCCAGGGGGGTCAGCGCAGCCCGGCCCCAACCCAAAAGCTTTCCTGAGGTTCCTCCAGGAGGCTGAAAGAAAGGCATAGACACGATTTGTGAGCCCTTGCCAAGGTTTTGGGGTTTTTGTAGGGTCCATCCTCGTGTTTCGGGGTGTGTTTTTCAACAACTAATAGAAAAAAATCTCGCCCGATTTGGGAAGCCTGGTAAAAGCGCTCGGAAGGTCCCAACCTGCTTCTGGGCTTGCCTGCCAGCCCTTCTGGTTTTACCATTAATTCCGTATTTTTAACGGCTTTCCCCCTCTCTCCCAAAGCTGCCTTATCTGGGACGGGGACGGAAGCTGCCCCGGAGAACAATGCTGTTAATTCGGGCGAGCAAAGCAAAGAGGAAAACAAAAATTGCACTTTTTCCCCGTTTCCTTGTGCGTGCGCAGCTCGCTAATGTGTTTTTTCCCCCAATATTTTGCTTCGAAAAGCAAAAAGCAGGCACGAAGCGTTTAGGAACGTCCCTGCGTGGTGAAGGTGAAGGGAGCAGGAGAAATATTCCCTGCTACGCCTCCCGTCTCCTATATGGCAGGGCTGGAGGAGCGCTCCCCACCCCAAACAGGAGGGCCAGGCTAGGGGAAGCCTCCTGTTATTAAAAGGTGTCATAAAAATCGAGGGAATGGGAACATCTGACAGCAAGGACGGGGCCCCGATGGCTGAGGACGCCCACGCTGCCGTGCGCTCACCCCGCTGGCGTCCCCGCTCCCTGCAAAGCCACAAAATGCCCCCAAGCTGCTCCCCAAAACCCCGAGAGCAACCCCAACCTCCCCGTGCACCCCCTTGAGGACATCCCACGGGGGGTAGCGGTCCCCAAAACCACCCGTGGGGGCAGCCCCCCTCGTCCTGGCAGCGGGAAGGAGGGTGCCCCCCGCTGCGTGTCCGCGGTTGGGAGGCGCAGCTGGGAGCTGAATTTACGGCCCCGTGCAACCTGCAAAAGTCATCAGGGAGCGGGAGGCCGGCCGGGCGTCACCCTGCCATCCAGCTGGCCCCCCGAGTGTCAGATGCTGCTGCCCCGAGATGGCTTTTTATGGTAAACCTCACATCGGGATGCCACCAGCAGCCTGCGGGGGCTCCCAGCGGGGCCCGGTTGCGCAGGGCTCCGAGCTCAGCCTCACCGTCCCATGGGCTGTGGGGAAAAATCCTCCTCCTTTTTCCGCACGGTGCCCCAAAACGTGCCCAAAAAGGGCTGGGAAGGGAAGGATGTGGCACGGGAACAAGGGGCTGCATGGAAAGAGGGGTTGGGGTGCCCAGGTTTTGAGGTGGACACGGCACAAAGGCGCACGCGCTCGGTGCCGGCAGCATGACCTTGTCAGCAGCTCCTGGCTGCAGTTTCGGGAGAAATAATCCTAATTATTAATGGGCTGGTAATGGGGACGAGCAGTGCCATCAGGCCACGGGGACACGTCTTGATTTTTGGGGTAATTCCCCAACGGGGGGGCGCAGAACCTTGAACTACCGGGTGCCTCCCCGGTGCCGACGGGGTGGCCTCAACCCTACAAACCCAGCTGCTTCCCCGCGATGTATGGGGCAGGAGAAGCCAGGAACGGGGTTGGGAATGGTCCCGTCACCAGCTTGTGGGGTGGCAGAGCACCAAAAGCCACCTCCGGGGCTGCCAAGCATCGTGTCACCACCACGCACAGGGTTTTAAACAGCGATTTTCCCCTTTTTTGAGAGCGTTCTCAAGCTTTTTCGGCACTTCCCCGCTGCTCACACATGAAAAGAGGCACCGAGAGGAGCGGAGAATTAGCGTGCAGCCCTTTTACATCCGACAAGCCCCGTCCCGCAGGGCGAGAGCAAAGCCTTTGGCTCCGAAACGCAGCGAGGGAGAGCGCAGGAGACCATCGGCGACATAGTTTCCACGCGCTTTGAAGTTAAATCTGGTTGGAAAGCGAAAAAGGCTGGATCGTTTTCTGGTCCCTAGCATCCACTCCATCATTTTTTTCCCCCTTTTTTTTGTCCCTAGCATCAACTCGATCATTTTTTTTCCCCTTTTTTTGTCCCTAGCATCAATCAGAGGGCGAGAGGAGGATCCCTGCGCCTGCCAAATTATTCCCAGGACGTAACCAAAGGGTGAGTGGCCGCACAAACATCCCATGTGTTAATCACAAACCCTCCTGGTGGAAAGCAAAAAAAGCCCCCAAAAGCCCCCAGCACGTCCCCCTGCCTCCCAATCCCTGCCCCAACAACCCCGTGAGCATCCCAAATCTTTCCCCAAGTGCTTCGGAGAGCCAAAAACACGCCCAGACCCCAGCCTCTTGCTCCGTGCCCCGCTTTGAACACAAAGCAGCCAAAATTGGGGCTGGCTCCGAGAAAATTTAATGGGTACGGTGCTGAAAACACAGGGGAGGGGAGGTGAAACAGCAGCAGCACGGGGCATTAGGGCCCCGGCCACGAAAGCAGCTTGCAGAATAAGCTGCCGCCGCTCCTTGTCACTTTTTAGGCAGCGGATTACGGCGCAGGCAGCTTAGGAGGAGCAGGTGAGGGGAGATAGGAGGGGATAACCAAAAGGAAATCCCAATTCCTGCCTCCCCGCTGCCCGCCAGGGTGAGCTCCTCTTAGGGTGGCGGTTTAACCCTGAAAAAATAATGTATTTTTAATTTTTTTTAAGGAAAAAAATAAGAATTCACCCCGTTCTCTGAATTATCAACACCGTTGCCACCTCGGCTCTGCTCCAGCCTCCCGTAATTAAAATTGAGAAAAGGGCTCGAGGCGCAGGGAAAAAGGATGCTAAAATTTCTTTTTCCTCCCCATTTTGCAGGTGCCCTGAGCACGACCAGGCTGGCACGCACGTGCGCTCATCCTTGGGGCTTGGGAAATAAAATCAAAAGCAATTGTGCAGGGGTAGCACCGGGTACGGGGGGACAAAGAGCGACGGAGACGCAGAAGGGGAGGAGGAGGAGGAGGAGGAGGGGCACGAGGAAGGCTCAGCGAGGCCGAAGCATGCGGGCTATGCTGGGGGATGCCTGCCATGCCTCAGCCCGTGCCCACGCCGTCCGTCGTGGGCCCGTCCGCCCACCAGGAAGGGGAAATGAAAAGCAGCCCTTCCGAGCCAGAAAAAAAAATATATAAAATAAAATAAAATGAAAATAAAAATACCCCAAGCGGGCTGGGGATTTAGGCTAAGAGCCACGGGTCGATGTGGGGGGGGGGGTGTGGGGCAGCCGTGTGGCTAGCTTTGTGCGTGAAATCCTCATTAGGGGCTCGTAAGGACACGAAAGCTGCTTTTCCTTTTCCGGTCCCCGGCACCCCTGGGGCTCCTCGAGCGCCGCTGCTGCCAGGGGGGGACGTGCAGGGTGAGGGCTCAGGGGGGCTGGAGGGGTGAGGAGCCCCCAGACCCTCGTGTGCGCACGGCCACGGGGGCTCGGCCGCTCCCCTCGGGGTGGTTTTTGCCTCCCCGGATGGGATCTGGGGGCGAAATGCTGGGTTTTAGGACTGGTGTTTGGCTTTAAGGGAATTGCTGCAGCAGGGGGATGGGGACAGGGGGACGGTGGCACCGTGGTGACACCGTGGTGACACCGTGGCTGCTGCTCAGACGGATGGAGCTGGTTAAACCGAGAGGCTGGGGGAATAAAAGCGGCTCCCAACGCCAAAGGCATTAAAGGCTGGGGATCTCCAAACCACCTGGCTCCCCTAAGCCGCTTCCTTCCTCAGAAGGGACACCGAGGTGACAGCACACGGTCTGCCATCAGCCCCGAAGGCACCTCGCTGGGAACAGGGAGAGGGAAGCAAAAATCCAGCTGCTTTCCACCCGCCGTGCCCCAAAAAAACCCAATCCGGCGTGAATTCGGGCTCCAGGAGGGGTGCGGATCCCCCCTGTCCTCCCCCAGCTCCCCAATCCCCAGCCCAAGCCCCCTTTAAATCCACTGCTGCTTCCTTCTGCGGGGTTTAACCTAATATATTTCCCCCAAACCTACCAGCAGAGTGGAGCCTGCGCTGCACATGTGCCTCTGATTACAGCCCCGCTAATTGCTTGGCTTCTACTTATCTGTGTCTTTGGCTAATAAACCACAGAAGACCACCAGTGAAGCCCTAATAAAGCGCAGCTGGCGGAGCAGAGCCCGTTTCTAGGTCAAAGCCAGTTTGGGAGAGGCTGGGGAGAGCCGTTTCGGAGCGGGGAAGCCCTACCTAGCTGGAAATCAGAGCTCCCCGAGGCAGCTTGCATTAATCCCAAACTTTTATCCCCGAAACGTCGCCGGGTTTTCTCCGGCAGCAGGACAAGGGGAGGCGCAAGCTTTGCGTTTCTCTCCTGCTTCTCATCAGCCTCCAAAAGGACCCTTGGGCTCCTCAGAAATGTTCCTGGCTCGTCCACGCACGTACCTATGCTGCTGGAGGTTCAGAAAGGAGGGAAAAGGGAGCGATTTTGGGTTCATTTTCTGTTCGGCACCGAGGCGCAGCCTCTGCAGGCGGGGGGCGGGAGCCGTTGAAGAGCACGCAGCAACCGCTCGCAGGTGCCAAAGGGCAGGAAAAGGGAAAAAAAAAAACCACCCCAGTGGAGTCCAATGGAAATTTGGGAAGTTGGAGAGGATTGCCAGGGCTGGAAAGGAGCCAGGGTGCTGAAGTAAACACCCTCATGTCCATTTAACCGAGGATGGGGCCGACCCTACAGGGATGCCCCCAAAAGGGTTTTGCCCCTCCTGCGCCTCCGCCCCGAGCCGAACGACAGCGGCGACGCAGGAACGGCTCCGTCACCTCGAGCTGAAGCTTGGCTGGGGTTTAAAACACAAGGCGAGGTTTGCAGGGAAAAAAAAAAATAAAAGGTATTCTTGTTCAGTTGGGGGAAAAAAAATGAAAAAAAAAGGGAAGATTTCAGACGCACGAGCCCTTCTTCCAATTTTAACAGAATGCTGGAAGAAGAAGTTAATGTATCTTTCATGAGGACAATCTAGATAATAAGCAACACAATTCCACTGCACAAGCCTGTGTTGTTTTTTTTTTTCTTTTATCTTCATGTGTGTTTTTTTTCCTAAATAACCGAGGATTTCTGGCCGCTGATGGGCGACCAGGGCGATGCTTGAGTCACCAAACATCCCCCGACCGGCGGCGCCGCGGCGTAACCTCACGCGCGGAGCGGTACGCAGGGATTTTGACTTTCAGATTTGGGCAGAAACAACAACTTTAAGAAAAAAAAACACGCATAAAAAAAAACCCCAGCCTGTGTCAAAGCTAAACTAAAATTGTTATTCAGCAATTTGCAACACTTACTGTCATATTAAAGTCATTTTATTTTATTTTCGCTCGCCTGCTCCGTTCCCCTAACAAAAGCAGCAGAGCTCCGGGTTTCAGGAGCTGTTTGGCGCAGCGGCGACCCTAAAATGTTTGGGGGGGACAGCCTGCGACACCGACACCGCTCAGAGCTGCTGGAAATTGGGCAGGCGGAGGTGAATTTTTTGTCAACAACCCGATTTTTTGTCAACTGGGTGGCAAAACCGCTGCGGTGCCGAGGCACGAGCGAGCCGTGACGCACCGCGAGGCTGAAGTGAGCTCCTGGTGGCAGGGAGGGAAAGGGGGGAAAGGGGGAAAGCTGCTCCCGGAGCAATGGGGTCAGCAGCTAAGGTTTTAGTTCCAAAACTGGGGATGGGCACATTTTGGAGAGGGATCCGGCACCGAGCCTGGCTGGAGATACATTGCCTGGGGAAACCCCAAAGCCCCCAGCCCCGAAGACCTAAATCTCTGCAGCCCCAAAGCCCTGCAGCCCCCAGCCCCAAAGCACAGGGACCCCGCTCCTCCTGGCAGGGGGCTCCCCGCGTGCCTGCGGTTTCAGAAGCATTTAAAGCATCGTGCAGAGGGCTGCGAGATGCTTTCCAGGGTCTCGGATATCCCAACCCTTCACCAGTTATCAACCTGGGACTGGGAACGCCACCTGGTTTCTGTCCCTATTCCCCACCTGCCCTTTGCGCTGGCACTGCGATGACTCTTTCCTTGAATATGCTACAAAAACACGGAGCAGGTTTCCCTTAAAGCAAATTAAAAACATTTCCGTGCTTTAATAAAACCCTTTCTATGCTTTTTTAATAGAAAACCTGCAGAGGAACGGAGCTCGCTCAAACACTCAGTGCCCACAGCGCTGGGCTGGGCCACCCCACCCCTACCTGCTGCCCATTTTGCTTTTTTAACCGGAAAAAAAAAAAGGTTGGAAGTCACCAACACACCTCTGGGTGACCCAACGCGCTCGTTACCACTCCTCCCAGGTGTCCTTGAAAGCACGGATAAATAAATTTGGCGCTAGGGCACCAGCTCTGTGCCTTCCCCACCAAGGGGGCCACCGGTTTGTCCTGGGGGTGTGCACGGGGCAGCCCTAAAAAGGGGCAGGGGTGTGATGAACCCCCGATTTGAGGCTGGTACTTACTTTTTCAAAGGCTCTATGACTGTTTTCTGGATCTGATTCACCTGTGGGAAGGAAGAGGGAGGATTAGATGCCAGGCTGGTGGGAAAAAGGGTTTGCGCAGCGCCCGCTGCGGGATGAGCAGTGCCCTTTACCCAAAACCAAGCAATTTGCCTCCCGTGTCCTAAAACCTCCAACACGGAATCAGAAAAAGGATTTACGGAGGTTTTGGTGGGGAAAACACAACTCAGAGGCGAGGATAAAGAGGGAAGGATGGGGCTGGAAGGGGCAGAGCTACCCCCGAGCACCCCCGGTGCCTCCTCCCCAAAGCCACCCTCACCTTCTCCTGGTTGAAGGCGTCCATCCTCTTCATCGCCGTGTCGAAGGCCGTGACCATCTCCAGGAAGCCGGGCTCCTGCTCGCACAGGGGGTTGGAGAGCAGGTCCGAAGAGATTTTCACGGCCGATTTGGACATGGCTGAGCGTGGCCGGGGCCGGGGGCGTGCGGAGGGAAGCGGAGAGGGACAGGTCTGAGCGGCTGGAGCTGCGCACCCCCGGGGAACCCAGCCCAAACCCTGCGCGGGGACGGATTCGGGGACCTCTGCACATCAGCACAACCTTCCCGGGGGCATTCAGCACCGGCTGAGGGATGAAAAGGGAAAAAAAACCCAGCCCTTCATTCATGTAAACACCCCGAGAAGTGTTTTTATATAAGTTAAGCCTGCACCACTTTGATGTACGGCTTGTGATGCTGCCAGAAATAATACCAGACTAACAAAACCGCTGCTCTTTTTTTTAAAAAAAAAACAAAATGTAGATTTTTTTTTTAATGTCTTTTCTTGACAGACTATTAAGTGTCACTCTCAGGCTCACTACAGCTCTTCCACAATGAGAAAAATCACAGTCCATTAAGTCTTTCAAACAGCTTTACAAAAATATATATCTGAAGTGGGTTTAGTGCCGGTGGAAAAGGACCAGACTGACAGGACTGGAAGACGAGGTTTCTCTCTCTTTTCCTCTCAAAATAGGCACTACACCAAGCGGCAGAGACACAAGCTTGCTAAGCACTTTCCCTCGATGAGCCTCATTTTTCTGCCCGTGGAAACCGGACTCCAAAAGCAAGAGGAAAATGCAAAGACCCCGAGACCAAAGACCAGGGCGCAGGCTGAGGGGCTTCGGTTCCTGCCCTGCCGAGCCCTTTTTGCTCATTTTCCATCAGACAAATCCGTCCTCCTTTAATTAAAGAAAATTAACCCCCCCCACAACGGGGCTAGGACTAAAGACCGGTGAAACAACCGAGGTACGGAAGGGGAAAAGATGAGCAAAAAGGCAAGCGTCGACGTGAAATGAAGAAAAAAAAAGTCAATGCTACTAAAAAAAAAGTAAAAATCGTTCTTTTTCGTCAGCACTGCTGCTGGAAGTTATTCAGTTGAAGATCAGAAAGCCAGATGCTTGAGCCCAGCTCTGGAAGGGCTCCTACTGTACGAGCTGAGATAGAAAAAGTTCAAGTCGGCTGAATAATGGGGCTTAAGATCATAAATCAGGGGGTTAAGCGTTCTGATTTAAAGGTTACACACAATTATCCGCAGCTCAGAAGCTCAGTGGCTGGGCAGCTCGCTGCGGAGTAACAAAGCTGCCGTCCATCACCCCAACATGAAGGCTTGAGGCATTTCAGCCCTGAAACAGAGGGGCTCTAATCCATGTGTGCGACCACATCTGAGGAAGGATTTGTGCCAGGACGGGCTGGAGCTGAGCGTGGCCGAACTCCCTCGGCTGGAAAACAAATGAGTTTCCCTTCCCCGACCGTGTGCCGCAGCGAGGGGATGTGGGGAGCAGCGGGGCTGGGCCAGCAGCTGGGCTTTCTCAGGCTGAATGCAAAATTTGGGGTAAAACATCCCTGATCTCACCTGCACGGCCCCAAAAAGGCAGCCAGGGGGTGACGATGCCCCTGGTTATTTATTTCACCCATCTGGTGGGGACCCCATTTCCCAAGGAGAGGTTTGGTGTCCAATTTAAGATCCTCTTCCCATTATTAGGACCCTATTTTTTTTATTTTTTTTTGCAAAAAGGGGGTTATTGATCAATAGCCACAGCAGCGAGTGCTGCTAATAACCCGTACCCTTTCCCCGGGCACGCTGAGCAGGAAAAGTTTGGCACAGGAGGAGGAATCGGCCTCGCTGGGAGCTCTTTTGGCACAAGGAGGAGACTCCGGCCACCAGGTCCAGCCTGCTGGGGAGGGTTTGCAGGCAGTGAATAATCAGCCCCCTCGGCGCAGAGGTAGAATGGAAGAAATAAGACACTCGGGGGAGCACACAAAGCTGATGCACTGCTGCTTTGCTCGGGCACGGGGGCTAAATGTTAGCTGAGCAAGCAGGGCACCCCCTCTGGGCAGCCCGCAGCGCTCCATCAGATTTGTCTCCCTCTTCCTGCGGCCGTCCTTGCTCGGGCTGCCTTCAAAACCTTCCCTTACGCTCATGATTTCATGCCTTTAAATGAGAAATCAGATCTTCCTGGAGCTGGCCAAGGCTCGTTTTGTGCCTCTGCCATGTAGCAGAACGGAAAAAGAAAGTCCTCCCACAGCTCCTCCGGGACTTGAAATGCTCCATATAAACAACGCCCACTGCAAGGGAGGGGAGGGGAATCCTTCACAAGGAAAAACTTACCATGGAGCCCTGACAATGACCAGAGTCCCCAAAAAGGGCACTTTTCACCCTGGAAAGGACTCGTCCTGGTTACTGGTGCCTTTCCCAGTGCTGTGCTGGGAAGGGTGGGAGATCATGGGCAAGAGCAGGGATTTGTGCTCATCTCTGGCTGAGCACATACACAAAGGTGAGAGCCTCTGCTATGGGAAAACCCCAAATTTGCCACCCCTCCTGCTGGCACGGTGCCCTCTGGGGCTCCTGCCCACTCCTCCAGCCCTCCGTGAGCCCAGCTCCCCGGAGATGTGCTGGACCAGCCCAGCCCACACCTGGCTGCTGCTGCATCTGCCCCAGCTCCTGGGGCTATGGGGGCCTGGGACAAACAGGGACGACCCCAAAAACCCTCTGAGAAAAGCCAGCTGTGTTTAAAACAGCTCCTTGCTGTGTCTCAGCAGGCTGCCCTGCTCGTTTTGATGCCCAGCACCCTCTGGATCCACTTCTCCAGCTGCCGTGGCTTTTTTTTTTGCCTTCAGCTGGCACGAGATGCCTTCAGCTGAAGCACCTAAACGGGCATCGCTCAACTCTACAGGCTCCTCCTGCCTGCCCGACACGAGAACTGGAATCATTTCTCCTGGTTTTCAGTCCTAGAAACTGAGGCAAAGGAAAGAAAGCGACTCGTCCAAGGCCACACAGCAAGGCACAGCCCCGGAGGCACGGCCCCAGCCCCTACCACGCTTCCAGCTCCCTTGGTTGAGTCGCTGCTCGGCAGCCCTCGTGCAGATGGCCTTGTAACTAAGAAAACTGAGTGGGACTGAGATCTAGATTTGTTTTCCAGGCTTGTCACAGATTACTCATGTGATCTCGAGAAAGTCACTTCGTCTCTTTGTGGCCAAGTTCACAGTCTATGTATCCTACAGTCACATACCCAAGTCTGCATCTGTGCTTTTCTTCATATCCTTCTGAAGTTTTTTGGTCTGATCTTCCAATCTGAAAGATGGAAGAAGAAGGCAAAGGCTGAAAACTTGGAAAGAAACAAACCGGAGCGTATCATGCATGCAACAAATCATTTACGTGCTGAATGTGCTGGCTTCTGTCGGGAGTTAAAAATATCCAGGCAGGGCTCTGCGAAGTTCAGCGCTGCCCAACCTTTTCTGGTTACTGTCAGATGGTTTTCCCCCTTTTTCGTTTGGTGATCTCTGGTTCAAAGCCACGCATTTTCCTAAGTCCTTACGTTTCCTTACAGAGCAGCAAAGCCAAATGCTTCCAGATGATAGCTGCGAGCTTACGTGCCACGGTCGGCGTGGTAAAAACAATCCCTGTCCTCGGAGGTGCCGGGCTCTTTGGTAAGCCTCCAGCATCCCGGGAATTTTACACCCTCTGCTTCACAGCCGCCCTAATCTGCAAACCTCAACCCCACTGCAAAGATGTCTTAGGACACCTTTGGCCACCCAGCCAGGAGAGAAACCCCGAACAATTCGAAATTACAGGGCAGGGAACGAGTGGCTGGGAAGAGCGTAACCGGCTAACATTTCCTGGGCAGATGCAAGGAGAGGGCAGAGAGGGAGGTATGCTGCTCGTCTTGTCGTACCGGTACGCTTCATACTTACTGCTGCAGCTTCCCATATTCCCTTTCAAAGTCTCTCTCCACCTGGGGGAAGAAGAACAGAAGGAAATCAGCTCAGAAATACTGCAGGGGGAGGGCAGCGACCTGCCTGCTCCATGCCCACGCCTCGGGAAATGCCCACGAGGACCCGGAGAGGCATAGGCTGTAAGGGGAGCTATGAGTCCGAAGTAAATCGAGTCTTTATTCCCTCTTCCAGAAATCCAAATCTCAATTCCAAATATCCCCAAAGCAGCGAGGACCTCCTCCCCTCTGCCAGCATCGTGCTAAGAACCACGGCACCCAGCAGCCAGACCCCAGTAGCCACTCACTCATTCCCCCTCCTCTCCAGGACAACTTTTCCCCCAAAAAAACCCTCAATCCGCTCCCGAGCCCTCCGATCCCCCGGACTGCATCCTCCGAGGTGCCCCTGGGTATGCTCCTAGGACGTTTTCCTCCGTGCTCCCGCAGCAATTCCCTGCCACGAGCTCCTCCAGCTGCAGCAGGGCTCCCCGCAGCGCAGCTCAGCCTTCTCCCCGCGCTGCGTCGCCGGCGGCTTCCTCCTCCTTGCGAGCTGGCAGCGGCTCTCCAGCGACACGAGATATTTTAAGGAGCTTTCCTGCCATGCTCTCTGTTTGAACACACGCCGAAACGTGCGCTCCCCACACCTCACAAGCTTTGGATGGACCAGCCGAGGGGGAGCGCACACGCTGGGGTCGCCGTGGGACGGGCAGCGGGGTCGTTTGCCTTCTCAAGCTGCCCTGCTAGGAAGGAAATCAAGGAAACCCAAGCAGCTAGGACGGGCAGGACCCAAAGATTTGCTCCCAGCCCTTGCCCTGCCCTGAGGGCTTCAAACCCAGGCTAACAGCGGGGTGTGAAAGCAGACCACTTAGCATGGATATTTGTTTTTGGATCAAAACTGTGCTAAGACCGATATTTTAAGAGGGAGCCCAGCAATCTTTGTCTTAAAACCTCCTTTCTGCAGCATCTTTTTTTGCTCTTTTCAAACCCTCGGGCTGGCTGACAGCCCCACGGGGTGAAGTGTTTATCCCCGTGCCCAGCAGCCAGCTGTCCTCGCCATCCTCTCCCACCATCCCAGGGACGCAGGCTGGCTCTCCCCGCTGCCAAAAGAGCTCCACCGAGCCCCAAATCCCCTCGGTGCTGCTCAAAACCCTCGCTGGAGAGCGGGCACGGGGCGCTGTGGGGGCAGCTCCCACCACGGCTCGGCGGTTCGGCAGCAGCTGGTGCTTGGAGGTCAGGTACCCGGCTTCCAAAATTAAAAAAAAAAAATCAATCGCCCTCCGTTTTCTATGGCTGTTCCGGCTGCGAAAATAACCGCCGAGTCTTGAGCTCTATTTATACGTCCTAGGTGTGAATTGTTGGGGTTGCGAAGCAGCGAGGGGTCAGGTGGGACTCAGAGAGATGTCCTCTGAAGGCTGCCCGCGTCCTTTCCCCGGCACCGAGCTCCAGCCCCCGACCCGAGGGTCCCCCTCGTGCCAGCCCCCCAAAAATTCCCCCAAAGCCCCCGACCCGCTTTGCCCGCGTCCCTTCCACACGGGACCGAGGTGAATGTCCCTGGCAGCTCCTCAGCCTCCCGTCTCCAGCTCCATCCCTGCGCAGACAGCTGCCCGAGGACTGCTCTTATTTTTCACGCCCACAGGAGCAACTGGCTGCCCGTCTGCGCGCCGCCGCGGCCCCCCCCCGAGCCATCAGGAGCCCAGGGGATGCTCCAGGGGCAGCGAGGAGCAGGGTCCCCAAGGTGCTGCTTGGGTACAACCTGCTTTTATCACGCAGATTTATGGAAGGCAACAAGTGATGGGGGAGAGGCACGTGGAGAGAGCGAGGAGGAGCGAGCTGAGCCATCAGCCGTGGCCGCGCAGCCCCGACACTCCCGGCAAAGGGCTAGGGATAGGATTAGCACGTGGAGGGTAACGAGAAGAAGCAGCACAGGCATGAAAATTGCAATATCCCGAAGGGAAGTTGCTGTGGTGTTAAAATAATCCCACTTCGCCGCCGCCTCTTTCTGAAACCTCCAAATCGAAACGCGTTTCTGTACCCGCCGCTGTTTCTTCCAGGCATCGCGGGCTCCTCCATGCAGAATTGCTTTCTCTGGCTTTTCCTTTTAAATCTTTTTAATTTTCTGTTAAAGGAACGACGAGTTCTTAAAAGCACCGAAGGGAAACGGGGCTCTGCTTTCTCACCCACTTATTTTTGGTTTGCAGACACCCGCGATAACCTCCCTCCGCTCTCGGGGCAGTTTCCGAATCCACACCACGGTTACGAGGCGATGAAGCGAGCCCAAAGCCAACACTACAAAGAGATGGAAATAAGGGACCGTGAGGAACCTCCTCGCTCCCCTGAGGTTAATTTCTCTTCCCGGAGGAGGAGGACTAGCTGATTTCTACATGTTCCAGTGGTCTCAGCCTTTTCACGGGCCTTGGGAGAAAGCAGGAAGCAAAAGCTTCCTCCTCCCTCCTCTCCGAAAGAAGAACGCCACGGAATTAGGCCACCAATTCTGCCATGACCTGGAACTTCTGCTGAGCTTTTGTCGTGTCATCAAACAAGGGGAGAACCAGGGCAGGATGCTCTCTCACGGGGGGATGCTCTCTGCGGAGCCCTGAGCCAAAGCGATGCCCCGGGCAGGGTCTGGGCATACCTGGGACTCCAAGGGCTCTCCAAATCCTCCATCCAGCGAGCTGGAGGAGTGCACGGAGCTCCCAGGAAATGCTGGGAACACTAAAAGGGGAAAAAAGCAGCAGCTCCACCTGCAGAGGTGGGTCACATCCTGCCGAAGATTGAATGAAAAGAGCGAAAAGGAGCAAAACGCTTGAACTCATGTCCCTGGGTTTCACCCCACCGCCGTTCCCTCTGTTTTTTTTGGAGATTTCCAGCTCTCTGGTGGGGCCCGATGGAAAGAGGCGGCCGGCAGGCAGCTGCACGCAGCGGAATCCTCCTGCTCCTGCTCCTGCTCCGCCACCCCTGGGGAGCCCAACGCTGCCGGGATGAGTCAAGGCGGGGAGGCTTGGCAGGCTGGAGGGCTCAGCTCCGCTCCCTGCCAAGCTGACTCACCCCAGGTTAGCTCTCCAGCTGAGTCAGGCCGGGGTAAAAGCTGGGTGAGACAGAGGGGGCTTCATCCCCGCTCTGACCTCCCCCATCCCGAGCGGGGACGAAGCCCCCGGCTCATCCCCGGCCGTGGGTGGGATGCGGCGGAGCCGTCTCTGTGCCCCACAGGGACACGAGGCCGGCTCCTTCTCCCATCTAGCTGCCTGCTCGCATCACCCAGACCCCGGTGAGGAGCAGGGGACAACCTGGGGGTGACAGCGGTGAACTTCAGCCAGCCGGAGCCGCAGCGGAGCTCGGGTGACAGCCACGGCTCCGGCGTAACCTCGGCGCGGATGGAAAGCGGCCCGGGGGAGGGCAGGGAGAGCAGCTCTGCCCTAAGAGGCTTCAATTCTGCGTTGGGTTGGAGCGAGGAATGTTATGCAGAGAGATCCAGCTCTGACAGGTTCAAGTCCTCTCGCTGGGCACGGGTTTAACCGGGCCGTGGCACCGCGTCCCCTGCGCCCTGCTCCGCCGTGCGCATTAGAGCCCCCGCGCCCCGGTGACAGCTGCTCTTTGCAGGGGAGAGGAGGGGAGAGATTACGCTGTCTGCCCGTGGATTTGCCCAGGTTAAGGTGGAAAGGAGGCAGGGGCAGGGCTGGGGGGGGGGCTGGGGGAGCACTTCAGTTCACCAGCCGCCCGCTTTCCACGGGGGTTTCCTTCCACCTGAAGAGCTGAGCCGCGGCTGACACCGTGCCCTTCTCCGGAGGATCAGAAGCGAGTGGGCACAGGGAGTCATGACTAATCCCCTCTGCAGCCCAGACAAATTGCCTTTCAGTACTACTACCGGCCTAGATCTGACACCAACCCCGGCAGCGTTTCATCAGAAAAATAAAAAGAAACAGAAAAAAAGAGAGAAAAAAAAAAAAAAAAAAAAGGCTTGCTGGTGAGCTCAGCCTCTCCCGCAAAGCGATCCTCCCCTCTCCTGCGCTCGAGCTACGGAGAGCCAAATAAGTTAGATGCTGATAAATGCTGTTGTTTTTTCTTTTTCTTCTTCTTCTTTTCTTTATCCTCTTCTTTTGTGGCCTGATCTCCGTGAGTGGGAGATTTTCTCCCCGCAACCACTTCCCCTCGGACCGGCTCGGGACGCGGCGCTGGCGGTGCCGCACCTTCCCACTTCCTGCAGCGGGCTCCGGAGGCCGACATCTGGAACATCACAGGCCACGAAACCAGAGCTCGCCTGCCACCGCCGCTCCCCCAGGCCCCCAAGGCAGATGGAGAAACCTCTCAGCCTGCAGCCGGGAGCTAAAACCCGGGGGCCTCGAGGTGGCTGAAAGCTGTGGAGCAGCCCCGACGCTTCCACGCCACGGAGCCGGGGCTGAGCGCCTCCTTCCCGGGGCGATGGACGGTTTCCTGCCGTTTGTTCTCCTTGGAAGGGCTGCACTTTGCACTTACTGTGAGGTTACCAGGCTCTGGGCTTCCTATTTTCAGCTCTCCAAGGATCTGCTGCCTGTCGAGGATCGGCACGATCCATAAACGGGGGGGCACATCAAAACCGGCGCCCGGCTGGCACGAAAATTGCTGTGCTGCTTTGGGGAAGGGAAGGAAAAGGCCTGGAAAAGCTGGTGCTGCCGAATGAACCCCTGCCTGCCGGATATTCTGGGCTGTTCTATTTAATACACACACACGTATCTATATCTATAAGCAACGCCTGCCAACTGCCTCCCAACAGCGCACGGCAGCGGCTCGGGGGAAAGCGAGCTCCCCGAGGGGCTCGCGTGGCAGGGAAAAAACAGAAAAAAAAAACAGAGAAAAAGCCAAAGTCAAATAGGATGGGATAGAGATGTCCAAGGAAGATGTCCAGGTCACCCCGAGCTGCAGAGGAGGTGGTTATTGAGAGAGCAGGAAAGGCTGCCGGGGTTGGAAATTGGGGGTGAGAGGCAAAATCTCAGAGCAGGGCAACGCGGGGGTCCCGAAACGAGCAGGATTGGGTAAATAAATTGAGTATATATTGAGTAAATCAATAAAAAATGAGAACTGAGCCATAAAGGGAGCGGCAGAATTAGCCCCTGGGAGGGGGAAACATCATGACCCAAGGAGAAACTGCCCCAGAACCACGCGTGCCCACTCGCCCCCAGGAATTAGCGTTATAAGAACGAGGTCTCCCCCGTGCTCGCTCTGATTTTAGGGCAAGGTACACGGGACAGCTTCCAGGGGCAGCTCCCGAGAGGTGCCAGAGCTTTGCTGCACGGGACAAAGGCAAGGACCATCTGCTCGAGGAGGGAAAACACCGCAGGCAGCTGCGAGGAGCAGCGCTCGGGATAGGAGCCTCGAAAACGCCCGAGAATACAAAATGCTTTTTTAATTTGCTTTTAAAGCAAATGCTGCGCAGCACAAATTAATTCACGCCCGAGCACTAAGCATCTCGGCTTATAAGCCTTTCTTTGGAAACAGTTATATTCAGCGAGCTGAACCACTCCTCCTCCTCCATCTGCTCAGCAAGGCTGAACAAACAAGCCATTGCTGAAAGAAGGAAGGAAGGAAGGAAGCCCGTTCAGCCATCTCCGAGGAAAACCGTGCCAGCCCCTCCGAGCTCTCCATCCCCTCGTCCCCCCTCCCCAGCCCCGAAAAGGGAGCGGATCCCAACCGAAATCCTCTCTCCCAGCTCGGGACTCCCCCTCACTCCTCGCACGAGGAGCTGGGCGCTGGTCAGAGCTTGCAACAGGTTTCTTGCTCGCTCCCATCTCCCTCCCACGCGCGCGCACTCACACACACACACACGCGCGCGCTGGCAAAATGGGACGAGTCAAAGTGCTGGCTTGACTCATCAGCCACATGATCAAAGGCTGGAGCTAAAAAAGGGGGAATCGGTTTACTCACTGTCTTGGGTACAATCTGTTTCTTGGGCTGCCCGATCTTGAACGGTATCCTGGAAAAGAGAGAAGGGAGAGAGGGGAGGAGAAGGGGTGAGCGGAGCCGGCCTCGAGCGCGGCGCCGCAGCAAAAGCCCAGCTCCGCCAGCCCCATCCTCAGCAAAAGGGGTGAAAAAGGCTGGATTTTTGGGGCAAGAAGCCTTGTACAAAGCATGCTCCCCTCTCAGAGCCCCTTTTTTCCCTCCTGCTCGCTGCTCTCCAGCCGCCGCCGTCCCCTTTTCCCTGCCCCGGCGATAGGAAGCGAGGAGGGATGCTGCAGGCAGTCCTTGGCACGGCGAGCGGCTGGAGAACGCGCCACGCTTCCCAACAAATCTGAAGGGGAGGGAAAAAAAAAAAAACAACACACACACACACACACACAAAACACAACAAACCCTGTAAATATTTAGCAAGAGGATATTAAAAAAAGTAACAGCCCGAGTGTCTGGAGCTGCAAGCCGCTTCAAAGGATTTCTCCGGTACAACAGCTGTAGGAGCGGCTCACCTGCCAGCCTTCATTCTTAAAATCCCTAATAGGGTTGCGAGTAAAATCTGGGTTACCTAAATTGGTTTCCCCACGCGAGCTAGCTCGGAGGTGAAGAGTACTCGAAGGAAATCGCACGCCGTACGGCGGGGCGCCGCGGGCAGGCGGCCACCCCGGGAATAACAGGGTTTGTTCCCCTTATCGGGATCATAAAAAGCCAGGAATGCAAGTGCTGTCTTTAATTAAGTCAAAGAGATTAAAATGTTGTGCCCAAAATCTCCCAATGTGTGCCATTTGGGCATTGTACTGCTTTAATTAACCAAAAAAATGGTCCCAAAGACAACGCCAACCTCTCTTCCCGGAGATGCCTCAACGGGAGCCCTCCTGTGGCTCCTCTGCAGGCACGTCCCAGCCCCAATTTTTTGGGGGGCTCTTCCTGGAGGGTGGCAGAGCCCCCTCGGACCCCTCTACCCAAAGAGGGGCTGCTGAAGGGCACGGCAGGACCAGGGTTTGGCCACCGGCCGGGCCGGCTCCTGAGCTCATTCCGCTTGCCATCGGATGCCGCCAACGGGTGCTGGGCAAAGCGCTCGCCATGAAGCCCCACCGACTCCAGGAAAAGCCAAAAAAAAGAGGTTAAAAACGAGGTTATCCAACCCCTCCTGATCCCTCCCTGCCTCTTTTCGCCGAGTTTTGGCAGCGTTTGCCAACCAACGGTGTAATTAGCCGCCGGTAACGAAGCCGGCCCCGAGCCCTTAGCGCCCAGCCTGAGTCACCGGGCTTAAATTTAAAAATTTCTGCAGAGCTTCCTGTTTATTGTCCTCCGGTTCAAGTGTGAGATAATTTTAGGGGTTTTTAACCCTTTCCAGCTCCCGGGGCATGCCGGGCAGCCGTGAATCACACTTCTTTTCTAAACAAACACTCGCCTGGCGTATAATTACCCCGTCACTAACCGGGCGTGCGGTGCCTTACAGGAAGAAAGAGTGAAAAAAAAAACAACAACAAAACAACGTAAATGAAGGATTTTTGCTTTCTGTTTTCCTGCACGGGTCAAATTTAAACCAAAATGAGGTAGCTCCCTTCTTCTCCCAGGCACAGGCTGTCCTGGAAGCCAGGTGCCGTCACTAGATGTTTTTGGAAGTGACTGCATAAACCCAGCTCGGTGGCAGGAGGAGAAATCCGCACTGGCTCAGGCTGGGAAAGAAGCCAGGACGAGGGAGCTGTGGGCTGCAGCCAGGCAGGGCCGAGCAGCGATTGTGGGGGGAAAAAGGCACAATTTGGGGAAAAAAAGACGGGGTCTTCAGGGCGAGAAGCTTGGAGGTCCTGGAGCTGCGGCCGGGCAGCGCAGGTTAATTAAGATGGCAATTAAAGCGTGGTGGGCGCGCTGCCGCTCCCCTCAGTGCCTCAAATTGAGGAAAAAAAGCAAAAAAAATGAGGGGTGAGAGGCAGAGCGATGCCATGAGCCCACCTGAAGCCGGGCTGGAGGGAGGAAGAGGAGGAGGAGGAGGAGGAAGAGGGGCGCAGCATCTCCCGTGCGGTGCCTGCCCCTCTCCCCGCGCCGCGGGATTTCCCGGTCCCCAAACCTTTACCTTGTCACACGGATCTGCAAGGATGAGGAAAAACGCACGAGCAGGAACAAAAGCAGCGAGGGAGAGGAAAGAGGAGATGATTTTAGCCCAGATTTTAAAGTAAATGATGGGCTGGGCGCTCAGGACCGCGGTGGCAGGGCGCTGCTGGCAGCGGGGACTTGGTGTCCCCTCGGTGTCCCCCTGGGGCTCCGTGTCCCCCCCCTGCAGAATTGAGGGGACAGCAGGCACCCAAAAATACAACGCTGCAAGCATTCAAGGCATTAAAATAAAGAATAAAACTTCAGAGGGGTTTTATTCTAGTTGGAGACCGTACGAAGGGCGTTTTGTGACAAATCCCAGGGAGGTGGCTCGGTGCCGCGAGCCCCCCGGGGTGACGGGGGCTTTGCGCGCACCCAGGGGGGCCAAAAATCACCCCAAAATCCGGCCGTGGGGCTGCACGCCCCCAGGGGAAAGCCGAACGGGCGCGTTTTTGGTTTCTGCTGAGCGAGAGGAAGCCGGGGCTGTGTTTGGGGTGTGAAATCCCTTGAAATCGTGTTCCTGAAGAGCGCGCGGGCTGACTCACAGCAGCGTTCCCCCTCCGGTCGCAGCCAAGCCCCTCGTCCGTGTCCCCCCCCCAAAAAAAGGGGCTGGCCGGGGACACGGCGGTGACTTCTGCGAGGCTGACGGGGCTGGGACGGGAGGGAGGAGGGCGAAGCACCGAGGGGAGGGGGTGGGAACGGCTGAAAGTAGGAAAAAAAGTGTGGGTGGAGAGAATCCTGCGAGCTTCTACTCGGGGATGTGCAGGAACCCCAGGGAGGGGAAGGTGGGAGAAGCTGTGGCTAATTTGCTCTGAAGTTTTCCCAGCAATGTCACATATTTACTTGGCTTTTCCATGCACAAACCCGTGCAAAAAAAAAAAGAAAAAGAAAAAAAAAAAGAGGCGAATCCTCCCCGGGATGCACGAAACAAACCTCGCAGGCTGGGGGGAGCGCGGCTCGACGAGCTCCGTGGGGACCTGGGGATAAAAAGACGGAGCTCCCACTCCGCCACGGTCCCCTGAAACGAGGCCGGGCAGGGACTGCCAGCCCAAAACTGCTTTAATTAGGGAAAAAAAAGACCTTAAGGCTGCGTCCGGAGAGCCACCATCCTGCGGGACCCTCCCCAAGCACGGCCGGGCACGTTGCGTTTTTTGGTTGGGTTTCTGTTGGTTTTTCTTTTCCCCCATCAAGAAAAAAAAAAACAACAAAAAACCAAGTGGCAGCAAAACAGCGTAGCCTGGACTTCGGCCAGAACTATTCACTGCTTGAATTTCCACCAAAATTTCCACCAAAAACATCGATTTTTCGCACCGCAATGAAAGCTCCCTGAGCGCAGCCAGGCCCCCAGCGCTGAGGACCCCAAACCTTGACCTGTGGTGTGCTGAGAGCTCCTAAAAATAGGATGCTCACCCCTAATCCCCCCCAAAAAAACATTTTGGGATGAAAACCAGCCCTAGGACCCCCTTTGTGGGGGTCGGAGCTGTGCCAAGAGCTCCCCTTCTCCCCGCTGGTGCCCAAATTTTGGAGAGGGTTCGGTGCAAGGTGCAGGGACAGCGGCGTGTGAGCAGGGTGGAGGCTACCTGGGAGAGATCAAAGCGCTCCCGCACGCGCCAGCAGGTCGGGGAAATCATAAAAAATAGGAGAATGGAGAAGGAATGACTTCTAATTCCTCACCAGCAGACCTCAGGCACCGCCTCTGCGTCCGGAGGGAGCTCTGTCCCCTGCAGCGGTGCCTCCTGCGCTCAGGAAAGCATCAGAAAGGAGAGGCAGAAACTCCAGAAAAAGGCAGAAATCGCCCCAAAAGCTCTGCTCCTGCATGGCCCCGAGGTGCCATCGGTGCTGGGTGTCCCCGTGCCACCGGCAGGGTTTGGCCAAGGGGAAGAGGAGCAGGAGCAGCGCCACCGGTGCCGGGTCCTGCCGCCCCATCACCTCTCCCGCCAGCCAAAGCGGCGTTTTGGGGTGCCACGGGGGACACCAGGGCACCCCAAAGGCCTGGAGGTGTGAAGGCAGCCCTAAAAATGCTCGAGGAGGAGCCCTAAGTTTCTTATCGGGTCTAAAACAGGACCCAAAGAGAGAAAACGTGGGGAGAGCTGGTGCGAAACCCGCCCCCAGCCTCCTGCCCCAGGGGTCTCCAGCCTCGGGGCCGCCCGAATCCTTTCCAAATCCTCGAAAATCCCCTAAAAACAGCTTTGTGCTCTCGAAGCAGGGGAATTCCAGCCCGGCACAGGTGAGGAAGGCAGCGGTGGTTGGAAGGAAAACCTCTCGCATGGCTCTGGCTGCCTCGCTGTACTCCGGGGTGTCCATGGAAACCGCATGCACCGTCCCACCCCGCTCCCCCTGCCTCGGAGGAACTCCTGGCAACCGCTCCAAACAGAGCCCTGATGCGCAAGGAAAAAATGATTCCAAGGGCTCACAAACAGCTTGTGTGCCGGGCGAGACGCTGCGCCAAAATTCGGCCTCGCTTCTCCCCGCTGGAGCCCCGCGGGAGGTCACGGGGTGGGGAAAAAGGCACCAGGGAGGGAGCGAAAGGGCGCGAGGAAGCGCGACCCTATAAAAAAAAAAGCCCCGTGGCTGCAAGCACGGAGAAAAAAGACACTGAAAGGTGGCGGGGTGAGGTCTTGTGGCACGGGATGAGACCATAAAGACCTGTTTGGGGTGGATTTGGGGGGTTGGGTGGTTTGGGGTCAGAGCCCTGCGTTTAGCCCGTGCCCAGCAGCGCGCGGGGCGCCGGCGCTCAGCGAAATCCAAAATAATGTCAGAACTCTCCCACCCGATCCGAGATGAGCGCGTTAAAAAAAAAAAAACAACACATATATATATAAAAAAAAAAAACAACAAAAACTAATGATATTTTACTCACCCATCAAAAGAAAATTACTCACGCCAGGCGCGTGGGCGAGCAGAAATTTTGCAAGGCTGTTTTAGGCCCTGCCTGCGCTACAAAAATATCCATTTTAAGCACGGTTGTGAAACACGGTTGTGGCTCAACTAGAACATTGTTGGTTTTTTTTTCTGCTACCTGCACGAAGGAAACGGGGGAAAAAATAATAATTAAGGGATAACCGCGCGTGAAGCCCGCCGGGGGGGCGGCTCCTGAAGGGCACCCATGGGTGCTCCCCTCGGCACGGGGTGCCCGAGAGCCTGATTCTGTCTGGTTTTAGCCCGTTTTTATCTCCGGATCCTGATTTCTGCTGAAATCTGGGAGAATAGGGAGCGGTGCCGTCGACCCCAAGGCACGGCACGCCTCCAGGTCTAAAACACGCTTAAAAACCCAGCCTGAACCCCAAAATATTTAAAATATGGCTGAAAAACTGACCCACCCATCTGCCACAGCCCCGCTGCGCCCAATCCCCGTCCCCCCAGCACCTCTCCATGAATTCCCCTTTTGGGGCCGCTCCCCCAACCCCCTCACCCTACAGCACACCCCCAAATATTTCGGGAGCAAAGCACCGCCAGCCCCCACCGCCCCGACCCTTTAACACCCGGTGCCCTCAGCGTGAGCTCGGCTCAGCCCCACGACCCCAAAACCCACCCCAAAAGACGTCGTGCCGAGCGGTGCCGCGCTACCAAACATTCCCTTAACATGTTTTTTGGGGTTTTGACCCCATAAATAGCAGCTCTAGCAGGCTGCCTGCGAGCTGCAGCAGCTTTTTGGGTTCACAGGTTCCCAAAAACCTTAAAAAAAAACATTTGGGTTGCCACAAACTGCTCGGAAAACCCACAGAAAGCGCAGAAAATCGGCACAGGGACGAATTTTCGGACCCCAACCTGCTGAACTCTTAGAGAGGAGAAAAAACGGGATTAAAAGGCGGAATTTATAAGGCCCCGATTTATAAGGCTCGCAAACGGCCTCGTTGTACCAAAATCCCCGTTTTTTGGCAGAAAACATAACGCTGGGCCTCGTGGCAGGGCAGCACCCACCTCGGGTTCCTCCTCGCTCTGACGCCGCCCCGCGTCACGCCGCGCTCCCCCCCGTGAATAGCTCGATTCATCGTTGGGGGGGGGCAGCGGGATTTAGGGGCAGGCAGGGGTATTTAGGACGCACTGAGGCCGATTGTGTCCCCCGCGGGGTCCCGGCCCCGCTCGAGGAGTGACGTGGGGGGAGAAGAAAGAGGAGCCTGATGGCGGGCGCGCTATGGCCCCCCCCCGTTCCTCGCCGTGACCTTTTTCTTCCTCCCCGGGCGAAAGATGAAAAGGAAAAGGACCCAAAAAAACCCGATCTTGCGGCAAAAGGCACGTGCGGCGTGTGCTGAAACCCCATTAATCCGTGAGCCCCCCCCGGCCTCTAAATCCATGACTTTTCCCTGCTCCCAGCCCCAAAATCTCGCATTTTTCCCCATCCTGGCCCCCGACCCCGGAGGTTTTTTCCTCTCGGGGCCGGGCTGCGGTCTGGGGTCGTTTCTAGCAGAATCGGTAAAAAAAGGCAGCGGGAAGACAGGAGGCAGTGGGAATAGGGCAGTGGTGTCTGGACGGACAAACGCAGGGGGGAATTTGGGGGATTTGGGGTCTTTGATTGGGGTTTCACAGCCTGGCCCAGGCAGCAGGAGGCTTCGGGTCCTTATGGGGTGCCCATGGGGTGGCACAGCCCCGAGGCTGCGCTCACAGCCTGAGAGTTACCCTGTAAGTCACCCCGTAAGTTACCGTTACCCTATAAGTTACCCCACAAGTCAGTTATCCCATCAGTTACCATATTAGTTACCCCACAAGTCAGTTACCTTGTCAATCAGTTACCCTATAAGTTACCCCACAAATTAATTACCCTATAAGTTACCTTGTAAGTCAGTTACCCTGTAAGTTACCCCACAAGTTACCCTGTAAGTTAGTTACCCTGTCATTTACCCCACAAGTTAGTTACCCTGTAAGTTACCTTGTAAGTCAGTTACCCCACAAGTTACCCCGTAAGTTAGTTACCCTATAAGTTACCCTACAAGTTAGTTACCCTGTAAGTTGCCCCATAACTTACCCCACAAGTCAGTTACCCTATAAGTAAGTTACCCCACAAGTCAGTTATCCCGTAAGTTACCCCACGGGTCAGTAACCCTATAACTCACCCTTTAAGCCAGTTCCCCTATAACTCACCCCACAAATCAGCCACCCCATAACTCACCCCATAAGCTGGTTACCCAACCTGCACCCCCCACCCGGTGTCAGTTCCGTGCCCACACCCCCCACACACCGGCTGCGGCCCCCCCACCTGCTCCATACACGGACCTGCCCCCCCCATACGTGCCAGCCCCCCCCCCCCCAAATTATTACGGACCAGCCCCCCCCCACGGCCCCCTATATCCATACACCAGTACAGGGCAGCCCCCCCCCCATATCTCATTATAACCCCCCCCGGCCATACACCATTACGGGGCAGCCCCCCCCAGCCATACATCACAGCTCAGCCCCCCCACACCCTGTGACCCCCCCCAGCCCCTACATCATCACCCCCCCCCCCAAATTATCACAGACCTGCCCCCCCCAAACCCTATTCTCCCCCCCAGCCATACATTATTAGGGGTCAGTGCCCCCCCCTTCCATACCCTGACCCCCCCAGACCCTGTGCCCCCCCCATTATCACAGATCTGCCCCCCCCAAACCCTATCACCCCCCCAGCCATACATTATTAGGGGTCAGCCCCCCCCAAACCCTGTGACCCCCCCCAATGCCGCCCCTACCACCCCTCAACGCCCCCCCCAGGCCCCCCCCCATGCCCCCAATGCCCCCCCTACCCCCCCAGGCACCTCAGGGCCCCCCCCAGGCCCCCAGTGCCCCCCCCAGGCCTCTCAGAGCCCCTCAGGGCCCCCCCCAGGCCCCAAACGCCCCCCCCAGGCCCCCCTTAGGCCCCTCAGGCCCCCCCCACGCCCCCCCCCCACTACCACACCCCCCAATAACCCCCCCAACCCCCCCCCAAACCCTCTCCACGCCCCCACCTCAGCCCCTAGAACCCAAAACGGACCCCCCAGGACCCCCCCTGGACCCCCCCGGCCCCCTCAGGACCCCCCCGGGCCCCCCCGGCCCCCCCCCGCTCACCAGCTCATGGTCCCCGCCGCTCCCGGAAGTCGCAACCGCCCGGGGCCCCCGCCCCTTCCGGCCCCGCCGTGACGTCACGGCTCCCCGGGGGGGGGAGTTAACTCTTGCCGTGCCGGGCTGGGTGGTGGTGGGGTGGGGGGGGAGTGATTCGAGGTGTGACGTCATGGGGGGATGGCGTGGGGAGGGTGACGTCATGGGGGTGCTATGGGGGGGTGGGGGAGGGGGGGTGGAAAGGGGCTGCTGTGGTGGGGGCCCCGAATCCCATCCCAATGGGACCCCAAATCCCAGCCTGGTGGGACCCCAAATCCCATCCCAAATAGGACCCCAAATCCCATCCCAAACAGGTTCCCAAATCCCATCCTTGTGGGATCCTAAATGATCTCCTGGTGAGACCCCAAATCCTGTCCCAATGAGTTCCCACATCCCATCCCAAGCAGGATCCCCAAACCCCTCATGGTGGGATCCTAAATCCCATCCTGATGGGACCCCAAATCCTGTCCCAACAGGTTCCTAAATCTTATCCTTGTAGGATCCCAAATCCCATCCCAGTAGGGTGCTAAATCCTGTCCTGGTGAGAACCCAAATCCCATCCCAAACAGGATCCCAAATCCCATCCTGGTGGAATCCTAAATGACGTCCTGGTGGGGTCCCAAACCCCATCATGATGGGTTCCCAAATCCTATCCTAATGGGTCCCTAAATCCTGTCCTAGCAGGCTCCTAAATCCCATCATAACGGGTTCCTAAATCCCATACCAATGGGCACCCAAATCCCATCCTAATAGATCCCTAAATCCTGTCCTAATAGGCTCCCAAATCTCATCTTAATGGGTTCCTAAATCCCATCCTAATGGGCTCCTAAATCCTGTACCAATGGGCTCCCAAATCCTCTCCTGTAGGGCTCCCAAATCCCATCCTGATGGTTCCTAAATCCTGTCCCAATGAGCTCCTAAATGATGTCCTGGTGGGCTCCCCAAACCCTTCTGCTGGGCTCCTAAATCCTGTACCAACAACCTCCCAAATCCTGCCCCAATGGGGTCCCAAATCCCGTCCTGGTGGGCTCCTAAACCATGTCCCGATGAGATCCCAAATCCCATCCTGGTGGGCTCCCAAATCCCATATCGATGACCTCCCAAATCCTGTCCCATTGGGATCCCAAACCCCATCCCAATGGAATCCCAAAAGGGGGAGCGAAAAGCATCCAAACAAAAATCCCATAAAGCCCCCCAGCTGCCCCCAGACCCCCAAAAAATGTCCCCTGGGGGTCCCCGTCCCCTTGGGGGCAGGGGATGGCCCCGTCCTGGTGCCACCACCCCAACCACCCCATAATTTCCCCCCCCCCACCCCAAAAGGAAAGGCACCGCTCTGCCAAACCGGCGACTCCGCGCAGCAAAATAAGGAGGGGAAAAAGCAAGTGGGAGGAAATTATAGTTTGGGAGTTATTTTCAGAAAGGAAACAGAAAAAAATACATATATAAAAAAATAAAATAAAAAAAATATCCTCGGTTTCAATACAAAACATGGGAAATTCGGGAAAATAACTTGCAACAGGTTCTGGGGTGGGGTGGGAGGGGAAGAGGGATGGGGGAATTATCTCCCTCCCCACCCTGTGTTGGGATAAATAATATAAAAATAAAAATAAAAATAAAAATAAAAATAAAAATAAAAATAAAAATAAAAATAAAAATAAAATAAAAAAAGACACTCCCTGGGTGAGGAAGAGGAGGAGGAGGAGGGGAGGAAGGCTGCTGGAGAGGCTGGGAGCAGGCGGAAAGGGGGAAAAATGAGGATGGGTGAAGCAGGTTTTGGGGTGAAAAGCCACAAAAGTGGGGCTGGAGGTGGGAATGGGGGTGACAGGGGAGCAATGGGGTTTTTGTAGGGTACGACAAAACCCTCGGTGCCACCAACCACGCTGTCCCCAACCCCTCTCAGCCGGGGAGGGAGGCGAAACCCCAAAAAGGTGTCGGTGGCACCGGGTTGGTGCCGGCACGTGCCCCGGCACG